TATGAATTTATTCAACACATATCTGCAATTCTAATATCAGAGGTATTTGATAAACTAATGGAGAATGTTCTACAAAATAAAGTAAAGGGTAATATATTTTTTAATGTAGAAGTACTTAATTACATCAATTTTAGAATGTATCCTTAGTACAAATATTAGGACAGCTATAATATTTGTTGCTCAAAAAAAAAAAAGAAATACTAAGACGAAATGAAAACACAGCACTTTCATAAAGTTTTGGTAAATTTCCAGCCCACAAGCATGCCAAAGCCAAATTTAACATATAACTCTGTGATGCGCTAAATATCAATAATGTTCGTCCTCTCATGACACCAATGCTTCACATCAAATTTCACACAAAAGTCGTGGTAACAATGTTTTTTTGGGGGCAACTACTGTCTGAAAGGTTGTGAAACACTGAATATCGATAGGCTTTCACACAAATTTGAAACAAATCTTTAACCTTTATTGAAATATTTCGTCCTCTAATGACCACACAATTTGAAAAAAAATTGTTAAAAAATGAAATTGTTAAACACTGTAGCCTGTATTGCATTCACAAGCCAAATGTTGACGGACGGACATGGTAATGCCCACATTTAAGACTTCCCGATCCAGCAGTCATGAAGATGGAAAAAATGAATACGATCTGTGTTTTTAATCAGATTGTTACTGATTTATATTGACATCCCAGTAATATTCCCTACATTAACATGAATTGAAATTTAAAAATCACAAGTACCTTGTTCGCTCACCGTCTGTTTTGTGTAATCTCTTTTATCTCTCCTTATACCGTAATTACTTGTCTAAAAGACCGGGTTATTAATTTCTTAGATTGAGGAAATTTACTACATATGTCAGGAGATAAGATATTGAATTAAGGTGCTAATGAACATGGGTTGTGTAGGCACTAAAGGATTTGTGTTTATAAAACTTTGTATTAAACTGCCCACAATATTCAAAAGCATAGTACTGTCCAAAAGTTATTCAAATTAATAAGTCTTAATGTAATTTCTTGCCATCTGAAGGGTACATTCTGTCTGTTGATTTTGTGTTGCCATCTTTAAATTTACACCTTTATAATTAGCAATAATTAGCAGAAACATCTTCTATTTATCTTTTTTGAGCCATGTTTGTTTAATTCAAATAAATAAGGATCCTTTATTGTTTGTTTTTTTTTTGTCAGACTTGACTCTTTAAATTATGGTTACCAGTAATATTGAACATAGAAACATGTGGAATATTTTAAAGACATCAATGAGGTCTGACTATATCATGTGTTAGTGGTGACTAATACTTTACTTTCAATACAATATATTTACAGGTACAGTGTACATGTACATGAAAATTCTATTTGAGAACCCAGCTCTTTAATAAACTAGGTTATTGAACCAACAGTTAAATGTGTTTTCTCAAATGAATTATAGGCTTTTATTTAGAACACATTTACCAGTTGATACCTATTGTCTAACACTAACAGAGAAATCTATGTTCAACCAAATTATTTTTACTTACATTAAATTAATTAAAGGAGCTAAACCTCTTTGATTTCGGTGAAGATAGGGTTTGGGTTGAGTGATCTAATATGTGTACTTTAAAATCTTTGTCAGTGAGTCAAGTGATGTGGTTTTGAACCCAAGCTTTGTCAGTGAGTCAAGTGATGTGGTTTTGAACCCAAGCTTGTGTGCGACAATGGGACAATGGGACTGACAAGGAATAGGATCGCTGGCTTAGCTTCTTGTTTGAGTTTTTTCCCACTGCTAAGGAACTATATGCACAAGCAAATTATTGATATAAAAATGTATGTTAGTTCCAAAATGACGTTTTTATTTTCGACCAAGATCAAAGCTGAACTCTCATTTTAACAGCAGTAATTTTCTGTTGAAATAAATAATATTTTAACTAAAAGAATGTCTTAGCAAGAGCACTGGTCCAACATGTATTTGATAATTTCAAGATGTCCTTACAGATTTACTTATTGGGTTTCCAGTAATCATGCATCAAATTTCCATAAATCTGTGTGTGTAAGCTCTAGTGCTGTTTATTGTGACCCAAATTCATCAATTGTAGATGTATCACAATATATTGCGAAATCCATTCTCGGGAGAAAAAACGTATTATTAATGGATTAGCCCACCAGTAAAAACAATTTTGCATATAATTCTGGACGCCAAAAAGAAATATTGAAATTTCATGTAGAATGCTTGATTATTGTCATATATAAAATTAAACTCCGATTTTATATGAAAGGGACACATTTTTGGAGAATAGATAATAGTTGACAGTGTTCTCTATAATAGTTAAATAATAGATAACGTAAATAGAATATGCTGAAAATTGCTCCACTCTGAACCAAGATATTAGCTTTTGATTTTAGGCTAGCCGCGATCATCATTACTAAAGTTGGTGCGATAAAAAACAAAGTCTTGACTATCCATTTTTATGCCCACATTTTCATGTGGACGTAAATTGTCGTCTCCCCTGTCTATCCGGACGTCCGTCAGTCCATCCACAATTTGTTTGTGGACACTCTACATGTCTAAATTTTTATCCAATTTTGAAGAAACTTGAAATATAGGTCTATCTCCTAAAGATCTTGGTTCCTATCGATATTGGCATGTATCAGACCATAATTTCATTGATTATGGCCCTTGATTGTACGAAAAATCACGTTTTTAGCTTGTGGACACTCTAGAGGTCACAATTTTGATCTGATTTTGATGAAACTTGAAATGCATGTTTATAACCCAAAGATCTTGATTCCTTTAGATACTCGCGCATACCGAATTGTAATGTCCTGAATTATGGCCCTTGATTGTACGAAAAATCATTTTTGAGCTTGTCCCTATACAGGTCACAATTTTTATCTGATTTAAAAAAAAAATGTGTGGATATATCACAGTTATACACTAATGATGGTTGAGTTCAAATTTCGTGAAAATCAGACTAAAACTGACAGACATAATGGCCGCCCGTTGTATGCAAATAGTGTAAAAATATGGTATATCAAGGTTGTGGATCCTCTAGAGGCCACAGTTTTTATCACAATTTATTTTCCGATTTTAAAAATCGTTTAGATATATCACCATTCCACCATAATGAAGGATGATTTCGAATTTCGGGAAAATCGAAATGAAACTGACGGATAAAATGGCTGTTCTTTGTATGCAAATTGTGTATAAGTATGTAATACAAAGGTTATGGAGGTCATAATTTTTATCTGATTTTGATGAAACTTAAAACATATCTTTAAATTCCAAAAATCTGAGTCCTGGATTATGGCCCTGATTGTACAAAAAATCGTTTTTGTTTTTAGCTTGTTCTCTATCCATCTCTTGCAAAATGTGGGTGAATCCTGCCTGGCAGCCGCTGGTTACGTTTAATCATCCTTCACAAAATGTATTCAAATCTGCTAAATATTGCAGACTATGGATGGCATTGAGAATTGATTATTATTATTATTATTATTATTGTTCGATTTATATAGCGATTCATTACACATGAGTGTTTCTAAGCGCATTCACAACAAAACAGTTCAAAAACATTTTTGAAATAAGTATGTTTTTAAGTTAGTCTTAAAGCTCTGGATGGAAGAGGACTCTCTAAGAGTTATGGTCTGGATAAGTTAATTAAACAAATGTCTAATTAATACTTTAGATAACATTTCATGCCTAAAGAAAAACCTGCAACAGGCAAACTTAGCTCTTGCATAATGTAGGTTTAAAAATATACGTCTAAAATCATCAATATTGATCTGCTAATGTTTATATGGATTTTAATGAATTAAATGAAAAAGATACGTTTTAATACAGTTAAACATGCATTATGCAAGAGCAAAATCTGCTTATTACAAGTCTTTCTTTAGGCCTGAAATGTTATCTAAATTATCAATTAGACATTAATTAACTTATCCAGACCATAATAAACTCTCGATGTCAAGGCTAGCCTTCGATGTTGGTTGGATTAGATTCCTATATGCCGCTAACGGCCGTTGATAATTAAATCAGAAAAAGTGGATAATCGAGACTATGCTGTTTATATTAATGATTTTAGTAATGATGACCGAGACTATGCAAAAATTTCACCCGCTTCTTTCTCGGCTCATAGTTGATCAATTTGACTGAAATTTTCAGCAAATTACCTTTACACTATCTAGTTTTTAACTATTATAGCGAGAACTGCCATCTCTTTATCTTATCTCCCATAATGTATCTTTAAATAAAAGAAAATAGGTTTTTTTTTGAAAATAGAGAAGTAATATTGACAGACCAAATTTATGGAAGACTTGTATTGCAAAATATTGATTTCTTTTTGACAGTCCAAGTAAACTTATACCGAATTGATTAGTAGAACCATACAGAGTCTATATCCTCTCTCTTCAACACTGTCTTTTATTTGCAAGATATGAGTAAAGATAGGGTCAGTAGCTCGGTAATCTGAACCATCCTTGGTCAAATCTGATAAGTTTTATCACTTAAAGTGATAAGTGGACACATCCCTTTCTTACAGCTTGTAAGCTCATACAGTGTACATTGTAAGACCATGAGACCTTTAAGAAGGCAATCATATAGTAATTTCAAAGCTGTTTGAGAATCAAGTAACTAGTGTTTTGATGGAAATAGTTGGTTTTCTTCACAGTTAGATTTTTAGTTCAAAGTAAAATTTTTAAAATATACTTTGTACCCATTAACCATGCCTTAATTACAACGCATTGCATGTATGGTAGATGTGAATGACATTACCTACTTACACCTACATGTTCAAACTTACATGTATATCAAATCATTCCATGTACATACAAGTGGACTACTGTGTACATTTGTGTGGGAGAAAATTTAAAACTTGTCTGCTATATTAAGAGAACTTCCTGAAATTAGTGTGGTGTTAAAAAAAGGTGATGAGAGTCTTAAATGTAGAAGTTATCTCTATTTACCAGACTTTCAACTCCGGCATCAGTGTGTAAATTATTAATAAATATTAAAAAAATATTCTATTCACAGGATACTGGCATAGATGCTGATAATCTTCATACATAATGCTAGAATAACTAAGTAGTGGTAAAATAGCAACATGAGTCGGATGCAAGATGGGAACATGGACGGCTCCTTGCCGATCCGTGATATGGGATCCTTTGTCAGAGCGGCAGCTCCAAGTGATGCCGACATTCAAGGTAAGATTTTTAAGACAATTGTTGTAGACAAATGTTAGAATGTGTAAAGCTATTTCCTACAGATTTTACTGGTCGTGTGTCCACAGGATTACTGGTAGTATGATGCTGATGGCCTGAAAGTTATTTAAGAATTCTTTGATGGTTTACAATGTCCTTTTGTTTGTCTTACTGGTTTTGTATGCCCACATTAAAATGTCATATTCTGATATTGGCCATGTAGTAAGAAGAAAATCAATGATTGACTTTGCTGCTGTTGGCATATGATTTGTTGCCTGTCAAGTAGCAACATATCTTCTAATTTTGTGACCTCAAGCACTGAATATTAAAGTTCGTTGGCTGAATAAAGTGCGACCCCATGAAACCACATGGATCAATGTGGGTATGGCAAGCCATCAATGGTCAGGTTTTGTTGTAAAGGTTAATCAAAATTTATTTAATTATTGTAATAATTTTCATTACAGAGCATCGAAATCAAGACAAAGTTTATATTGGCTTACACTTACCTCGAACACGACCTCAGAGACATCGTAGACGACATCGACATCATCGCAGTAGCGATCGAGATAAACTTGCCAAAGAAGAATTTCAATCTGGTAATTGTCTTAAATCACTAATAACATTATACAGTTATAGAGATTTAATTTGTATTAGTACTATGATTATAGTAAATTTCTAATGCTTACAAAATAGCTGTACATATTAGATCTTTCTTAGCCAACTTGAATTTGAAATTTAGAGGAATATCAATGTCTTGTTAGTTTTAAGATTGATTATATAGTGGTCAGTCTTCATATATCAGGAATAGTTTCTGTTTTTAATTAATATGATTTCTGCTGCTGGCAGGTAAGGAATCTTCTGATGGCATTCAACATCTAACCAGTAATGAATCAACCTCAAGAATAGGTACTTTTTCACCAATATCGAACATGAATGGCTGTTTGATGTTGTGGCAATTGATTCTAGGCCTTTATTCTTGAAAGGTGACTGAACTATTAACGTTTTTTAGACCTGATGTAAAGATCTTTTATAATTAGATAGGAATCATATAGACAATCAATGACTTGCGGTTACAATCATTTCTTGTTTTATTTATGTGTAAGCATTCGGCCCTTGATTATATTTTTTCTTATTATTAGTAATTACAGTTTTATCACATATAGACAACTATCCACCATTGAACCCAGTAGATTCAATTAAACATGTACATGCAACCATCATTTAATAACCAAAGCAAATACAATCCTTGCTTGTAAACTTTTAAGATACAATCATTACTAATTTATTAACATTTTAGTTTTCAAGGTTAACTTGTTTCCCTGATTATAACCACATTTTACGTAGCGTGTTAATTTGTTATGGATAATTAAGCCCTATTCTTGGTCCTTGATGAAATAATGTCATAAATCAAGATATTTTAACCTTTTAGCTATCCTTACGGATTAAGATACAGTCTTATCGCTAAGCCTTATGGTTTTAAATCTTCAATTCCTACCACGTTATTATACTTTCAACTGACTAATTAGTGTTATTTGACCATTTTATAGAAATCTGTTTTTCAATTATAACTTTAAAAATAGATTAAACTGCAGCAAACATCACCTTTCTAGAATAATAGTCAATCATTGTATTGCCAATTTCATAGCTCAAGTATAATTTTAGCTTTAGAATTTGTGAATAATTTTCAGACATGATTGAAAAACATATCATCATGCATCTTTTTAGTTTTTGATGCACCGATTTTTTTTAGTTTGCTAATTAGAATTAGAAGTTTTTCATTTTTGCCATGAAGCTTTTTCATTTTTGTTTTACAATAGTGAAAATTAGTGCTCCTACGGTTAGGACTTTTTGTTATTCGAATAGCTGTAGCTATTAACCGGTTAGTAACCGTTAACCATATGGTGTCAACTTTAAACATAATACAGAGCTTGTCAGGAGGTGCGAGTCATTACTCATGCGCACGCTATACTCGCCTAAAAGGCATTACACGCGCAAAAATTTCAGGAGTTTTTTTTAGACATGTACAATTCTTTAATGAAAATTTAAACTATCTAAGGCCGTAGTTATTTATTTAATTGGTTAACTTGGTTCATTTGAAACATTTTTTAATTCAATATATATCTACTATAATATACAAGACAATACTCTGTTTCCCTTCGTACGTGACAGATGGCGATAATATTACGATTACACATTGTTACTATGGATAGAATAAAGTAAATTGGAAGGCGTCTATTGATTGGACAATAAAGTAATAATTTCTCACTTGCAAGTAGAATTTTTATGATTGGTTAATTTAACTAAAAACCAAAGTAGAATTCTTGCGAGAAATTACGAGATATGAAACGTGTTGAATGTCGTAACGAATCTATATAATGTCATTTTCTAGCCTTTATGGTTATATTTTGGATGGTGGTTACGTTTTTAAGTAAATAATAAACAAGGTATTGGATTGGATTAACAATAGCTAAAGTCAGAACCAGGTCCGTTGACTTTGCCGTATGACTACGACGAGTGCAAATAGTATTATTTTTTAGCAGTCGACATCGTATTTTAAGATTTTCAAACATCAAATACAAAATGAAAACGGGCAAGTTTTGTTATAAAGAGGAATATAATCAGACACAACTCTATGTAATGGGGGACATCTCCGCCTAACCGTACTGTTGAATTCGAACTGTTTAACCGTCCAGTTCTAACCGTTTACGGCTATCCGACTAGTCGTAGGTGCACTAGTGAAAATATCCACTACAAGTTGGCATTTGATTATTTAGAGTGTGTGTGTAAAGAAGTGCAGAAATGTTAACTTGTAATCTAAGAAGATAGGTAAATCTCCCATTGGAAAGTTGTTTATATTTGATTTAGTTTGAATGTTCCAGTTGTTTGAGGTTAAAAAGCAGCGTAGAGGGGAAATTGCGATAAGAGAACAAAGACCTCACAAGTACTCTAATCTACTGTCAAATTAATGTGTAGTTAATATTTATAATAATCTTGCCATATTCATATTGACGTCACCGGCATTGATGTGACAATAACAGATTGTGGTTTGTAGCTTTTCATATAGAAACAATAACATCTGTTGCGAGGTCGTGTTCCCTGACAAGAAACGTCAATGTATAGGATGACGTCTGTTGACAAAGTAGTGAATATACTGGTAGTTAAGTCAGAGAAGAAAGTAAGAACATAGTAACAGATACATCTTGAATTTTATTCTGTAACAAATTCCAGTGTCACTTGAGGTTGATATGAACTCATGAACTTAGACAAGATGATTGAATAAAATCACATACTGCTCATTAAAAAAACAAGACGTTTTATTTTGTTATTTAGTTCAAGGCTTGGAGCTGATAGCAATAACCTATGCCAAAATAGCCTATTTTCTTTTTCTGAAAGCTTTAACTCCAAATATTGAACCATTTGGAAATGATCTTCAATACAGTTTCTATAGGGCATATGTAACTTTTTAGAGCACTTGGCCCCAAATATTTTTTGAATGACCTGATAAACGTAACAATTTGCTGTTTATAAGTTTGCTTTGGCTTGCATGAAAAAAAAAGTTTGAACATTGGTTTGGTTATCAAAATAGCTGTTTTAATTGAGGAAAAATAAAAGTTTTAAGAAATGCTTTTCAGATTTATCTTTGTAATATTAATTGGTGATAAGTTTACTTTGCTTTGACTTCTTTACTGTATAAAATAAATGTTTTTATTTAAAGGTTTATTGGCTTTAAAGGTTGATGCATGAATTCAAGGTGCTTTCTTATCAACTGAATATGTATAGATTTGATTCAAAGATATTAAATATTTTTGCCTTTCTAAATTTCTGTCAGTTTAATCTTTGCTGTTAAAATATCCTAGGTTTCATTGATATTATACATTGCTTTTCTTTATTCTAATTTGAAAGAGAAAATAATATTCTTGGAGTCATTTGCTATTTTCATCACAATAGGTTTTAATTGGATGAATTTGGAATGGAATGAGCTTTAACCACTTTAAAATATCATGGATGGGAAGAAAGACAATTCTTGAGAAATTTGCTTTCAGCCCACTCTTTGTATATTATTTTCTAATACCAATTGCCGAAGAAGAGTTTTTTGTGTACACTAACATTGTGTAAACTGTGTTTCAGAAACAGATCCCTGCTGACTTTGCCTCTGACATAATGTGAATGTTGTTCTTAGCTTGTGTCGGGGTTCAAGTCTGTGTCATTGATTTCCAAAATCTGAAAGCCCCAAACAAAACTAGTGTGGATCCAAACTGTAGTTAATTAATATAACAATACTTTTGCTTGGATTCTTAGAATTAACATAGCCTTATCTATTTTTTAAAATTTATTGTAATTTATTATATATCGGTACTAGTTATATGTTTATCTCATGTAGAAATGATTTGTTTCATATGTTTTCTTTATTAGCTCATCATATGCACCATGATTTGGAAACAATTCCAGAAAGTATATTTTAGTTCCAATTATCAGTTTGAATCATATACATCCTTTAGTATATATTGTTATAGGTCTCAACATTACAACTTTCTTCTTTTGCTGACTTTACCTTTTAGATTAATTTACCATTTAGATTATGTATCAGATATATAGGTAAATTTATATTATGTTTGATAAATTTATTCTTAGAAGACAAAATTATTAACATTCTGGGATGAAAAGTTTTAAAGTCAACAAATTAGGGAGCAGGGTTTTACATAGGCTGTACCTGTTCCCCCACTGTTCCCAAATCCCCTTCAGATATGCTGAATGAAATATTGTTTATAAAGTCAGTGAATTCTAGAGGGTATTTGTAATGAGACTCCTGCCAGATTTCATGTGTATCATCTTTAGTTTTCAATATGCTTCCCACTGAATATTATCCTTAAACATTTGGCATTTCTGAAAATACATTTCTGACTGCAGCAGATTTCCAATAATTAATATCTATGGAAATGACTTTTATACGCCAGGGAATTTATGTAGTGCATGTTGTTAGATGATCAATCTGCTTAAAGTAAAATGTATTTTCAGGAAAATTATGCTACATGTGTTGAGCAGTTGCGTTCTTAAATATTAGAAACGTTTTTGGCAGTAACCAATTCATATAACTAATTGACTTTCATAAGGATTGACAATTTGTCATATTAATAAACAGAACTGTATATAATGAAATAGGGCATATATTTAAATGAATCAATCAGAAAAAGGAATTGTTTTAATAACATGTCTAGATTAAAGATGACAGTAATATAAATGATAAGGAATAAATGATGTAATAAAATAAAGTGAATGGTGCTGTTAAAGATACTTTCCCACAAAAGTATTTATCGGGTGGTTAAACATGTTGATAAACTTGATTGAGAGCTTAAGTGTCAGCCAAGTCACATGACACAAACATGACTTCTTTTTATACGCCCACATTGAAATGTCGTCGTACATTGTTGTCGGTCCGTCCATCCAGAGTCCACATTTGCTTGTGGACTTTCAAGAGACTGAATTTATACATAGTGTTTAAGCTCATGAGACAAAGAAACCTATTGATTTTCAGTGATTTCCAATAATTACTGCCCGAATTATGGCCCTTGATAACTTTGACTTTAAATTTATACATAGTGTTTAAGGTCATGAGACTAAAAAGTCTATTGATTTTCAACGATTTTCGATAATTACTGCCAGAGTTATGGCCTTCGATCACTTTGAAAAATCTTGTGGACGGTCTGGAGTCTAAAGTTAATATCAGATTGACTTTAAATTTATACTCAGTATTTAAAGTAATGAGACGAAGACGCCTGTTGATTTTCAACGATTTTTGATAATTGCTGCCAGAGTTATGGCCTTTGATTTGTGGACGCTCTGGAGGGCATAGTTAATATCCGATTGATTTTAAATTGATACACAGTGTTTAAGGTCATGAGTCGAAGAATCCTATTTATTTCCAACTATTTCGATAATTACTGCCAGAGTTAAAACTCTTGACCTCTAAAAAATCTTGTAGCAGCTCTAGAGGCTAAAGTTGATATGATTAACTTTAAATTTAAACACACCGATTAAGGTCATGAGACGAAGAAGCCTGTTGATTTTCGTTTATTTCCGTTTATTACTGCTAAAATTATGGCCCTTAGCTGGGGTATTACCTGGCGAACACAATGTTTTGAGAAGGATTTGAAGCGAAATTTTGATAGATTAATTTGTTTGAATATGTTTTTAGTCCAAATATATCATCAAAACACCCAGTTTTTATGTGGGAAGGTATCTTTAATTATCATTCATCTAGATTTTAAAAAGTCTTAAAAGATGTCTTTTGATTTCCTATTTGAGGTCTACATTAAAAATCAGTAATTATATAATTGACAAGAATTGAAATTGTTAAACAAGATAAAATGTATACCAAATTATGAAACATAAAAAAAATGACTAAAACTGCAGAACATGGTTAATGGAATTAACAACATGATAAATAAAATGATGAGAAACCACATTGAAATGACTTACCTGAACAAGAGAATTAAAATCAGTTACCATTACCATTTAAAAATATTTTGCAAAACTGCTACATTTAATTGAATTGCTACACCTTTAGATATTTAAGAATGTTCAATTGTAATGCATGTAAATGTATTTCATATAGAAATAATCAATAATTCTTGTATTTTGTGTTGTCTGTTTAATTCTCCTGTTTAAAACTATTTAGTATCATGTAAAGGGTGTTTTATAATAATTTTCTTTTTCCTATTGGTAATTAAAACATGGTGTTACTATAATGATAACTATTTTTAATTCTTTTAATAGAAGTGTTTTAGCTAATTTATTTTTTTTATAATATTTTTGAGGAAGGATTTTTTATTTGGATTAATCATTTCAATTAACATGAGACAGAATAATTGATATGGAAAATCTTATTTCATATATTTAGATAAAATGTATGTTAATCTGATTGGTATATAATAATACATTATAAGATTTGATCATTATTCTATCTCAAATTTCTATGTGACTTCTCAAGAAAGCTTTGAAATTTTAATAAAGTTAAACCAATGAATGTAAATAAACTTTTATGTCTTAAAGTTTGTTGAATTAAGTGTACGATGTACTTCCATAAATCTATGTCAAATTTACTAAAACTAAAATAATTTCTGCTCACTCCATTGTGTGTACATCCTAAAACTGAAGAGTGCAGTTTTGACTGAATTTATTAGCAGATGAGACTTCAAGAAGCATTTGTCTAATGATGTGCACTATGATTGTTTAAGTCCTACTCAGTTTAATTGACTGCCCTTTTTTCATAATCTTGTGGTTAGAAGGTTAGAACACTAAGTGTAATAGTAAAACTTGCCCAGCAGATATTAAGGAAGTAAAATTGTTGAAAATAAATCTCCTGGACAAGATAATGAGTATATTGTGTTTGTGACCAATACCCATTAATTTAGGAATAATCCATAACATTAAAGTTTTTCTTTATTTAAATTGTAGGCCAGCCAAGCAGTAAGCAATTATTATTTGTTAACTGTGTTCAAATTCTATATTCTACTTTACATTTTTAGATGTCTTTTAATCTTTTTAGTTGCTTGTATAAAGTGTTGATCACTTGAAAAATACTTGTAGCTAGTTCACTAATTTTTCTATTTCTGTTATTTGTTATGAACTTTATAAAATGTGTTTTTCTTGGTTGTAGTTGCTTTTTGACAAATTAATATGACATAATTTTTTAAAGGGGGTCAATGGGGTTATTAAAAAGCAATAAAATAGAAGCAGTGATATCCAACCATTGTAGACGACAAGTTGTTAAATTTATTATTAGATAATGTGAAAATTCTGACAATATTCACTGTAGCTGGCATTGTTGATGCCTTATTTTCTAAAAGAGATCTGCTTTTGTACAGATTGTGAAAGATGTGAAATCTACAGCTATGAAAAGGAATCTGAAGAAATACTAAGGACAATTAGAAAAAAATTTTACAAACTGTTTTGTTATTACGATCAAATTATTCTGTAGATAAATTGTCGGGTGAAATTGTTTGTAGGATTGATTAGGTGTTGCTGTCTGATTGTTATTCATAGAATCTAATAATAAGTACCAAAACCAATTTATTTAGATAAGAGAATTAATCTACAAATCGCACCATTCTTCGATTTGAGCTTTTACTAAGTACAATATTCTACCCCCAATCCTATTTATGTATATAGTTATTTATTTTTATCAACAAAATAATGCTTTATTATGGTATCCACTTTTCTATCCAAATAGGAAAGTTTTTCTAATTTTGTTTCTTTTGTTTCAAAATTCTTCAAAATAAACATGCTCAGATTAGAAATTAATGTACTGGTAAATTTGAAATTTGGATGGTTTCTGATATAAATTTTAAAATATATATTTACTGTCTATGAAGGGTGGACCTCGACTTGCTAACTTACTTGCAAAACAACATTCTATTTCCTGAAAAATCTGTTAATTGATTGCTTTCTAACATTTATTTTTATATGCCCACATGGAAATGTGGTAGTATATTGCCGTCGCCCCCCCCATCCGTAATAGGTACATACATACGTCAATTTCATCTAGAGTTATGACCCTTGTTTTACTTTGTTAAACTTGTGAACATTCGAATGACAAAACTTATCACCTGATCTGTATGAAATTAATATGCATTATTTGAATTAGTAAACCGAAAAAGCCTGTCTAATTTCAACAATTTCTGTAAATTACTTCCAGAGTTTAGGCCTCTGTTTCAGTTTGTAGAACCTTGTGGACCCTCAAATGAAAAAAATTATAATCTGATCTGTATGAAATTGTCTTGTAAATGCCCCCAATTATCCACAAAAGAATAAATATGTGACAACCCTTGTTGTCCACTTGGACGATTTAGCTGCTGTGGGCGTACGTTTCATTGCCTGGCAACCTATCGTTACATTTTATTGTATATTATTTATATAGTAAATATAGATTTTTAATTAAAGGGACATGTACTCTTACTATTAAATGGATTGATTGCTTTCCTTAGGCCCTTGTTCTTGAAATAATAATACCCAAGAATACAAGTCCCTGTTCAAGTATCATCTATATCAGGGTGTTGTCATCATATTTTTGTCATTTGATTGGTTTTTCAGTTATTTTGTTCCACTCAGATTAGTCTAGAATTTTTCTTTAAAAAATACAATTTTAGTATTATTTTAATTTATAAATCAATTTCTTGCGTGTCAATAAATATAACTGTATTTAATGTTGTTTACGGTAAAGTAGGTTACATTAAATAGTCAATCAATCAAAATGAGAAAATATGACTGAAAAAGGGCCCTGATATATATATTTGAAATGTAATTGAATAAAACATGAGGATATTGGTGGCATAAAATTTATGCTTCAAGTTCATGGTTTATTAAGAATTAATTTGTTTAGATATGTAGTTCACTGTGTAGATATGATATAGTCATGTATCAATATTGTAATGTTAAATTTCACTGGTGTTTGAAATTTTTGTTTTACTACCCCAGTGATCTATATATAAATGTCAGTGATTGACATTTGGGATGAGTTACAGACTGAAAATAATATAGGCCACTGTTTTAAAAACAGCTGTCTATATATTATTATAATGGTTGCTTTTTATAAGCCCATATGGAAATGTGGTCGTATATTGTCGTCCGCCCGCAATGTCTTGTGAACCCTCTACATTTATCATCCGTTTGTTTTCAAATTTATGTGTTGTTTTCATTCGTCAGATGAAGAAGTCTGAAATTTTTATATGCATTATCTAAATTATTAAAACAGAGAAGCCTATCGAATTTCAACAATTCCTTTTAATAACGTCTTGGGTTTCCATTAATGAGTTATGGCCCTTATTTTACTTTGTGATGAAATTTATATGCGTTATTTAAATTATCGAATTTCAATCTTTTCCATTATTTAGTTGCTTTATTTAAACAATATTTTTATTCAGGCTATCTAAATGGGAATGTGGAACAGGCTTAACCTATATAAAACCCCTCTCCCTGAATAATGTTTATACACATAGTATTAATCCATTATTTACTTGTAAAAGTTGTGACCCCTGTTTCGCTTTTTAGAATGTTCAAACAACAAAAGTTATCTTGCAATTTATATTAAATTGATATCAGTGCAGGCCTGTGTCAGTGTCTTACTAACAGCTTGCATTACCCACAAGAGAATATATATGGGACAACCCTTGTCGACTGCTCAAACGATTTAGCTGAGCACTGTAGGCGTATGATTCATTGACTGGCAACCTAACTATTGCCATGATAAGATGATGGAATTTCAAAAACCATAAATATTTGAGAGATGAGATGGTTTCTTAACATCACAATTTTATTTTTTAAAAATATAACAATAAAATATACCACCAGTGATTTTGTACCTACATGTATTTAAATGCATTCTTGGCAAAAACAACAAAATACCGTGAAACTTGTCTAAACCAACCAACAAGGCTGAAAACACAATGTACAAATTGACATATTAAATCTTTAAAAGTCTACTGTGTTACTTACAGTTTTACTATAATAAGAAATTTTTTGACTGTAGCTTTTGATTCAAGAGTATTTAATAACTGTATGATATATATTTCATCATTGCATGTTAACTTGTTTATTGTTGTGAATGTGATATAATATGCACACTGATTAGAGTAGGTAGTAACATATATTTACACAGCTGTATTTTAACTGAACATTTCTACATGAATTTATTATTAAATTTTAACTGAACATTTCTACATGAATTTATTATTAAATTTTAACTGAACATTTCTACATGAATTTATTATTAAATTCAGAAAACTTCCCTGCGACAGAATTTAAGGTAATATTGACTGGTCTAAATAAATCAAAACAAAAAATCCATGGAAATGTCAAGAATGTCAGTATTGATAGTATTTTAGAAATTAAAGAAACGTCTTCAATATCAGTACATAATTTGTCAGCGGAGACAAACGATTTGGTAATGAAGTCAATTAATCTATGAAAATCAGTTTTCAGATTTGTACAAAGTTTAAATACAGCTGTTTCTGTTGAACAATATTTATTAGCTATATATGGGTATACTTGTTTTCTTTTCTTTCTTTTTTTTTTTGATTCAAATTCAAATGGAAAGTTCTTAAAAAATTAATTACAATTTTTAACTGAACTTATAAAAGGATAAAACATTGGTGAAACTAAAAGAATTTTTTTAAAAAAAAGCAACAAAAAAAGAGACTTAATTTCTAAAAAAAAAAATCAGTTTTTTGTTATTTTGTGTATTATTTCAAATAATTCAAATGGTAAACTTTTAATGAACAATTACCATTAATATATTGTACTAATTGATCTTTTTGTTGTTATTTTTTTTAGCCACCCCACCGTCACAGAGAGTACAGTTTATATTGGGAGAAGAGGAAGATGATGATCACCGAGCCCATGATCTCTTCTGTGAAATGACAGAACTTTTTACTGATGGGGAGAAAATGGAATGGAAGGAAACTGCTAGGTGAAAATGACAGATTAGATTAATATTGGATCATACATAATATTTTAGTTCATCTAATAATATCCATTTTTCCTAGTCTAGATTAAATCCTCTGGTCCTAAATGACATGGGGGAGTTGGATGGCTGAAAGTTAAGCGTGCACATTGTATCATAAATTCTGTCATTGATTCAACTGGTGTGGTTTCGATTCCAAAGTTGTACGTGACAAGGAGTAAGGTCACCTGTCCAACCTTGTGGGTTTTCTCTGGGTCGTCCAGTTTCCGCCCACTGCTAAAGACACCTACACTCAATCAAATTATTGAAATAAAATTGAACCATATGTTAGTCCCAAAATGACCTAATTGTATCGAGTGGACGTTAAACCCCATTTCATTTGTTTTGGATGTTGATTTGTTTTATTGAGGTGACAGTTGGTTATTGTTGAAAATTTGACATCTATAGATAAATGCATTGTTTCAATGAGCGTGCTGTGGACCAGGAACAGAGAATTAATTGTGACGTCTGTCAATTGATTCCATGGAACTAGCATGGCATGCCAAGTTTCACGTCGATCATACTTGAATGTCACCCCCAGGAAGATGAAAAACAACAAGAAGATGGGTAAAGCTTTGGACCCAGCTGCAGGTCCAAAAATGAAATGAAAATTAGTAAACAAAGATACATCAACTTCATTTAAAGATGAACATACATATTTTTACAATTCCTCATGTTAATAATAATTTTATATATGGATATTATAGATGGATTAAGTTTGAAGAAGATGTAGAAGAAGGAGGAGAGAGATGGTCTAAACCTCATGTAGCGACATTATCTCTACATTCACTGTTCGAATTAAGATGTAGTTTATTATCTGGTACAGTTATGTTAGATATGGATGCATATAGTCTTGATCAAGTCATTAGTAAGTAATGAAGAATTGCCATTGTTTTGTCATATAGTCTTAGTCATTCCAGTCAATGTTATCAAGACTTAAGGGCGTTGCCATGTCAAAGATTTGCACCAACTTTCCAACCTATTTCTCGGTGATATATCAGTACCTTTCTCATTTACCTCTAAAAACATAAATAGTCAACAGAAAGAAACATTCACTTCGCCAGATAGGTCAGGATGATTGGTCAAAGAAAGGGTATTTCAGACCTTGGTTGATCTAAAAGTAGTAACCAAAGTTGTTTTGAATGTCACAATGAATATAGTACCTTGATTTTTTACCTTCTGTTTCGGTAGCCTCGTTTTGGTCATTTCCATTATCCAGCTTTTTGACAGATTATTTTTCACAAAATGCACAAAATGAAGTGGCAAAGTCTACTCATTGATATTGTATCCAAATAGTGTTATATGTTACACGAATAAGTTATGATTCACGATTACCTTTTTTGTAAACCAAGGAAAACGATGAAAAAAATCCGAGCTCTACTCCAAACATTTCTAAGGGACAATTTGTGATTATATGAAATAGATTTTATTTCAGGCCAGTTTATATAACGAGCTGTGAAATTTTTTGAGTTTCAGGAATTTTGGTATATTATTGTCACAATGAAAAAAAAATCTCGTCATTTTATAGAGGACTAGCTTAGCTATTTGCAGGCCAAAAATCATTTAATTCTTCATATCAGACAAGACTGAGAATTTTGTGGATTTATGACAAAAATTTACTAGTTTTAAGCTGATTTCAAAATTTAATATGTACCCAAATTAATTGTGAAGTTACCAAAGATCAGACATGGCAACTCCCTTAACTACAAAGAGATAATTAATAGAACTGCGAGGTCATGTCAACAATCAAGATACACCATGAAATATCGAGTTTAGTCACGTCAAATACCTATTAAGGAAAAAAAACCCTGGCCATTTTGAACTCTGAATAAAACCAGAAGTTATACTTTAAGATCAAGGATTTTGTAATTACTTGTTAGTAGAGTTTGGAGTCATTGCAAAGATCAAAGGTCATTGAAAGAATATGGTCAGGTGATAACATGTTATTAAGTGCTTCAAAATTCGAAAAACTTCAAAGTGGAACCAGAAGTAAACAAAATCGAAATTCCCCTATTTCCTTCAAGAGAAGTCATCGAGATATGATCAATCTAAGATCATTTTTTGACCTATCCGTAAACACTTCCAGTTTGTCAAAATTGACCCAATTTATATTTAATAAATATGATGGAAGAATGTTTGTGCAATTCTGACTGAAATGCACAAAAAAAAACCTATTTAGTGCACAGGTGCTTGTAACATAGAAAATCCTTTTCAGAATTAACACTGAACTGAGGCTAAGTATATTCTGCCTAAATTCAGAGGCGAATGACTGATCTGAAACAGCTATCAGTAGAAGAATACAACAAGTGGAGAAACACAGATTTTATACTTACCTTGTCTATTTCTCTTTAATTTTCTCGAAAATAGCTGCTGTGTAGGCATGATGCTTTGTTGCCCTGCAACCTATCTTCATGTCGCATATAGTGTAATTATAATATTTTTGGGGGGTAAATTACTTATTGAAAAGAACTTCAAACAATTTTAGATATGGTCTTAGACAACATGGTAGCCTCTAAACAACTGGAAGATAATCTACGAGATCAGTTGCATGAAGTTATCACATTACGTCATCGACATCAAAATGAAAAGAAATATCGAGACAGAGACAAGATGCATTTACCAATAATTCGCTCTCTGGCAGATATCGGTAAAAAATATTCTGAACCTAAAGGACTGGGCGGTCAAGGAGGTTAGTTGACTATTTTTTGATTTAACTAAAATATACATGAAGTATTGGATCACAAAATCAGTATAGTAGACATTGAAACCCAGCATATTATATATTTCCTATATTTACAATATCTATCTAGAGATTATATAAGCTTGTTATTGTTGGATGATAGAGATTATATATCTAATGTTAATTAGTCATACATGTTCGCTTGATGATATTATATAACAATGTTTGAAATGAGAAATAGATAGTTAATGGATTTTATACAGGAGAACATGTAGTGGTCAATGTGTCAATCATTATAATGATTGAAAGTTTAAACTATATTAAAGTTTGGGTTTTAAAATATGCTAAAGAAACACCCAAACATGAACCACTTTCAAATTTACCATCAAATTTACCAGTGGTATTTAATTAAGAAATGGTAATAAAGGAAGATTATGCCATTAAGAATAATTTTAAATATCCTTCCTTCTATATGAATATAAGAAGCTTTGTGTTTAGATTTATTGTTATTTAGAAGCACAAATTATAGTGTTTTAGTAAAATATACGTTCAGTTTTGTACTGTTTTTTCGATTTAATTTTTGTTCTTTCAGATTTCGTTATGTGTGATAGGGCAATTTATAGATCTAGCAACATACTCATTCCGTTTCTTAGTTAAGTAAAACTCCGAAAACAAATTCTGCAAGAAAACACAATATACCATACATGGAAGGTCTTCAAATTGATTTTTTATTTGAATCTGAACAGAATGTTGACAAAATTAAAAGGGAATGACATTTTCCTGACTTAAAAAAAAACAATTGTGCCATTATATTACTTTTATTCCAGCAGATGAACATTCTTTGACCTTGGCAGGTACAGATTCACAGTTATCTCCCTTTGTTTAACTTCATTCTGTATTTTATGCATATATTGGCTTTTTTATCGACTTGCCAAAACGATTTGAATTTAGTGGAAATCTCATGTGACAGTATAGTCGATTTCAAAATACTTCGGTAAGTTCGTTAAATACCACGATTTTTGTGGCTGGACATAGTTGGAAAAAAACCAACATGTGATCGATCACCTGATCAAAATGTCAAATCACACTGGGTGGTGATTTGGCAATTTGTTGTAATCGCTTAGGAAATCGATGAAAAATTCGTTGATCAGGGTAATTGATTTGAAATTTTGAATTAGATGGACATAGAAGATGAAAATTTGATTGAATGCAAATCACTTTGGCTTATCAGTGGTCGATAATAAGCCTTATTTATCAACATTTAGTTTTTATCTGAAAGAATTCTGAAATCTATTGCAGTTCTTCTTAGATTTGATCACAAACTTTTGCTTTGTTTTTATTATTTTTAGTATAGAAGTTATATAAAGCAGAATATTTATAGATTAGGCCTTTCAGTAGATATAAGTTACTACCATCTTCACATTTGCTAAGTATAGAAAGTGCTATGACATATACCTACCACTTGACAGCTATATGCAGCCTGGTTATCTGTATTTAAATATTGACAACAATCGATTGGAATAAAAGTAAACCCAAGCATACACTTTGGTGGTTGCATCCGATCGAAGCCTTGGTTTACAGTTAAACTGTCTTTGTACTGTTTATGCTTGAAATTGTAAAAACATGATGTGTTTCTAGTGTACATTATAGAGAATAGAGTATTAGACACGAAATGCTTTTAAGCTGTCTTTAGAATGATGTTGCCGAGTTCATTACCATTATTGGACAACAGTTAATTTTAATTTGGAATCTTTCTCTGCTTTTTTAGTCTATCTAATAAATTCATTTGCTTTTTACTGGTAGATTTCAGGTTTCAGTTCTTCAGATAAAACATTGTAGCTTTGAACTGTTTTTTTATTTGAAGTTTTTGTTTGAAACAGCAGTATTATCTTAATCATGAATGATAGCAGCCATATTTAGCATTAGATGTGTGCTTCCTCTATATAGACTGTTGTTTTAACCATAATTATATATGATTCATGACTCGTTATCACCACGTTTAAAAGGCATGAATTCTGAATATCATTTTTGGTATATCCCTGGGCCAAATCATATCCATTTCCTAATTGTGGAAGATTTGACAAGATACCTACTGTGTTGAAACATGCATGTGAACATCACTAACAAGCATCTAGCCAATCAAAATGACCATTTTTATTTGATCTGCGTGATGGAAATCTTGGAAAAGCTACCACAGGAATGAATGTATATGACTTGTCCAGAGATATTCGATGTTAGCATTTGTAAGCGTATAATATTAATGTTAAACACTAACACCAAGTTCATTAAAAAGCACAAGTCCGTCTCCATCAAGCTGTGCCATATTACCAAACTCTATCAATATGTTTAGAGATGATTTGAGAGAATCAGTGTTGTTAAGCACTAGTGAGCTAGATTCATCAAAGTTGTGTATTGGTAGGCTGTAGATGTCATTACATCATTCATCATGTATTTTCTAATCATGACACTACACTAGACTGCTGAATCCTCAATCTGTGATGTTATCAGAAGATGTTTGTACAGTAAGAATGAACTTGTGTGAATGTGTTCCATTAATTACAGAGATGCCAACTATTCCAATATTGGCAAAATCATTTTGATATTACTTCCAAACTATTCCAAACTGCTAATTGATGTAAACGAAATTGTCTTGATATTACGATGACCCTGAGTGCATACATAAGAAACAGATAATCATAAACACATTTTATTACCACTTTCTGGGTACATAAAGCATTTTTAATAAAGTTATGTGCTATTTGAACTCTACTTTTTTCCGATATTATTACGTACATGGCATTTTAATGCACTCCACTTTTTTTCGGGGAAATGGGATCGGACGGCTTCATTACTATATATTCAATGTTAGCATCTCTGTATATATTACTGGTATTTGTTGTCTCCTAGCTTTTGGAGAAACTGAGGACTATTAGAATGGGTTTGTTTGTCTGTTACACAGTAACTATGCTTCTAATGCAGATAGAATGTTCAAGCAAAGATGAGCAATTTGAGTTCCCATTTCTTTGGGAAACATGGATAGCTTTGATACTAATTGAGAGTGATGAAACTTAGTACATAGTTACATTACATTGATACCTTGACTAAATATTTTCTGCTCAGGTTTTTGGTTGATAATTTTGAACACTATAAATATGGAAATGATTTTATGGGTTTTCATCAATTTATTTTTGGATTGAGATGGGGGACATCATCCTCATTGTCGGATGTCGGCTTCTTTAAATAAATATGATGCAAAAGATTGTAGTCTATTTACAATGGGTATATATAGTAATGTCTTTTAAAATGCGAACACAGAACCATGCAATGCTGTGACCTCAAATAAACCATCTTCCCAAAGTACGATTTGTAATATCAACAAAAAGATACTCAATCAGCTGGTACACACGAATATGTGTTTGCTTGAATCTGAATTCCTGTTAGGAAATTCAACGGAAACATATTGATATACAGGCTATAATCATATTAATTATGAATGATTTCTCTCATTCTCGTTTCTATCGTTAAAAGAATGGATTTATTTGAGCTGTAATTATCTTAATGATATGTTTCAGATGACACTTGTCATTCCAATAATAGACATATTGCTACACTACAAGATGCAATATACCAGTTACAAAGCAATGTTTATTAGATATGACAGGCTTCTTATCTGATATTTCTGCTTATACTTATTTCAAAATGAAAGCATGCATGGTTTTGGTTCAATTGTAGAAGCATTGAGTTAAGATGTAGAGTGGAAAGCTGTTGATTTTGTAGCATGGGATGAACTGTGAACAGTCTTATAGATTTACCGAAATTTATACACCTTAATTATAATTAGCATATTTTTTAAATCCCCATTTTCTAAAATGAATATGATCGACCTACAGCAGACTGTACAAATTAGTACACAGGTAGAAAAGACATGATTAGTGTTAGAGAATACCGGTAATATAGTCAAGGGACGATTATACCACTATTGTGTGTTTAGTTGACAATTAATGATAAATTTATGATTGTAGAACAGTGTTAGAATCTTATCAGTGACGAGTATATGTCCACTGTTTTCCTCTATTTGGGCACCCTTGTATTGTCCATGTGTCATAAGAATTTTCTAGAACAAAGCCGCTCCCGCTGTATTATAGTCATACACATTGATCATAAACACAATTGGCCAAAATACAATTTGGTCAACCCAGCAGCAAATATTGGTTTAGCTGAAATTTACCATTGATAATTTACCATTGATAATTTACTTTTGTTTTATTGATTATATAATAAATTTCAATTTGAGTACATTTAAGTATCGGTTAAACCGTAAAAATTAGATAATGTTTGAAAAATGCAAATGACAATTAACGGGTATCAAATTTTAATTACGTATGTATCCAGTTACAAATATAGCTGAAATATCAAAAGTTCATGAATGGAATTTTAAGCGATCTTTGACAATGCATTTAGAGATATCTAGGAGATAAGTACACATAAGTACATGAAAGAAGAATCACAATGCTGTCAGAATGTAATATTTTGAGTTGAATAGACAAGAACTTAGTGTATTGGACATGTAATGCAATTCAGTACAATCTTCTCATATTATTATTAGTCATGATGATGTTTCTCAGTCTATAATGATCCTTTATTTAGTTTTGCTTATTACTTTTTTAAATATATAGCCTTAGTTATTAAGAAATTCATGTAGACAGTAGAACTAAAATTTGTAGGGTGTAAGTAAGCTGTGAACTTTTAATGAAATAAATTCATTTTTTATGCAACATGTGCCTCACCACAATAATACAGTTTCTTAAAGAATTTTTTGGTGGATATTAGCATACCGGTACCATATTAAGGGCATTGAGCAGTCTAAGATACACATTAACTTTTCAACACTAATCTTATTAAGACTTTGCATACTTGTTTCATGTGTAAAATGACCCAGATGACCGTTAAAATTTTTTTTTTTTTGGTCCATAAGTAAGTACATGTATAATAGATAGACTGAATGTTTTTCCAGATTTAATAGTACAATAGTCGTTTTAAAGCAAAGCATTATTTTTATCATGTTTGTAGTTTTTGTCTGTCTTCGAAAGCACAATTCTCTTTCAATATAGCAGTATTCGAGTAACTGAGGTAAGATAACAAACAGGCTTTAAGATTTTTATTTTATTTTATTTATTTTAGTTGAAGATCGTCTTGGAGCCAAGAGTTCCCCAAATTTCCAAAGTATTGCTCGAAACAACAGTGGTATACACGTGCCAGAAAATGGTGGATTAAACACGAGTGCGTCATTTACTGGAGGAAGTGTCCTCGGAGATATTCCAGAAAATGCATCCCATAAAGTGAGTCATGATCCCTTAATGAAGGTATGTTTTGTTTTTTAAGGGTGTTATGCACACATACATATCTATCTATAAAGGCTTTAATCCAGCTTGTTTAATCCAAGGTAACTACTCTCTTTATTAGACTTTATTAGAGTTTAGATCTGAATATATTCATACATAAAGATAACAACTTCATTTAAAGATTAAAAACTTCTTGTTTAACCAAACTTCTATGAATTAACTTTTATTTTTTAAAACAATAAAGAAACATGTTAGGTTTACTTGAGGTTCTAAGGATGTAAATAAAAATTTGATGTTATAATAATGTGCACACAGCATTAATTTTGATAAGAAAAAAAGGATGTTTAGGCCCATTATAGTTATCATTCAATAACTTTGTAAAGTATTTGAACTCTATATTGTGTTGCATAAGATCTTGTCTAATGTTCTCGAAACACCACATGATGCATAGCACTAATTTAATTTGACATAAGGGTATATTTTCTTTGTTTTATATGGCTATTTCTATAACAATATATTATTAGGGTTAAATTGTCTTGACTTATTTAAAGATACTGTGTTATGAACAGATTCCATCTTCTATTTTCAAAAATGATGAGACTACTCTTGTTTTCAATAATTTAGCTTTTGCTGGCTGTTAATGTTGTATTTGATTACTCTTTTTTTATTCAAACATCTTTTAAATGGTTTATATTTTGATCTTTTATCTGTTTTTTTCTTTCTTTTGGTAAAATTACCAGCAGTCACACTCATGTGATCATTAGGGGACTAGGAATGCATGTTAATAATTTTAGTCTATAATAAGACCTTCATTGTTCCATGTAACAAAAGGCATGGTATGATCTTGATTATATTTAATTAAAGTGATACAAACAAAAGACTCAATATACCTTTAATTTATGAATTAGATTACCTAAGTGTAGTGAATTTACAAATGTAGCCTACATGTCATATCTTATATTTTCTGAAATACTCAACATATTCTGTTTAATACATCTATGGTGTATGGAATCATATATGGTGGACTCTGTCAATTCCGACATTGCACGGTATCGATACAATATGCCGATTTACACAGCATGTCGGAATACTCATTTGCCTCAATACCAGAAGTAATATTGGGCCTTTACTAAGGATTTGTTTAGTTTTGCAAGCGATATATAGTTATCTTCGTCGTTAGAAGATACACCAACCGGAATAAATAGCACTTGTCGTCCAAGCCGTACGTGCCCTTAAACCACTCGTGCGTCAGTCTGTTGATGTCTTCAAGCTTAACATTCGAGTACAATCGTTTCTTACTGCTGTTCAAGTTATCGGCAAACTTCTGTTTAAATTCATCTTTTCGCTTTAAAATGTTGGATACTGTAGTACGGCCAATTGAATACTTAACGACTAATTCCTTCTGTGTAGGTCGCGGAACTTTCTCAAGATCTGCTATAATTTGCTGCTTGACATCCAATGTCAAATCCGTACGGGCACACTTTGCACGACGATCACACATTATGAACGCAAAATTTTAAAGAAAGATAGTGATTCTTCATCTCTCAAATTCATATATAACGTCACTGTCTTTGACATGTGGAACTCAAATACCAAGTGCTCTTACAAGAGATTATAAAATTATCAAGGTAATCAACAGAGACCTACACATGGTTTATGCTCACATATAATTAATTGGTGATTGCATATCGGTTAATACCCACTGATTGAAGACCAGATAATCCAATGTTAATTGAACGCAAATCGTGTGACGGGACCGCTGATTGATGTTGTAATTTGGAATATTCAGAATCCGGACTACTAAAAACTTGCTTGGTTGAAGTAATAAGGAAATAAATCGGGACATGAAAATGATGACAGATTTCACAGAGTGCCGTAGTATTCAGATGTCGGAAGTGACAGAGTTCACTGTAGGTTACTACTAATAACATTACTAAAATAGGCATTTAAAGAAATATGACCCTATATTCTGCACACTATGGATTACAAATTACCATTTTGCTTGTACTCTAAAACTCCATTTATTTATCCAAAATTATATCTCACTTCCCATTTCTATAAACTTGTGCACCAACAAAAAAAGATAATGTATCTTTTATGTGCTCTGACATATTTAATATTTAAGAATTTTAAAGAGAAAATTGCTTTTGAATCAAAGATTCATATTGACATTTTACGCGTATGTAGACAAACCAGCAAACTTTAATTTTGCTTGTGGGTCTGTTCATTTTGCATTATATGTAGCATGTACGAATACTGATATCAGTCGTTTGTATAGTTGAACTGCTGGCTATAGTATTAGAGTTACCTCCTTCTTGACTAGACATTTGTTATGTTGATCGTCTTCACATTACACACTGTGTGCACTATAATTTAATTCTGTTTTGATGGAAGAAGATATATTTGATAATACTCTTGTCAACATACTTAAATATTTTTCAAGCACACTTAGGCCCCTGTACGGGGTTTCGATATATTTTTCACATTAATTTTATGTCGGGTTTAATGTTTACTCTTTCCAATTGACAACCCTTGTTGACACCTCCCCAGTTCACAAATGTTAGTTTTAGAGTACAAGCAAAATTGTGATTAAAGACTTTTATTATTTATTACTTAAATGTCACGTGTGATGTGTCTTCTCAGTAGAATTGTCTCCTGGGTTCTGTTAGTGTATGTGTGATACAGTTCTACACATACTAATATAAGATACCACTATTAGTATGACTAATGATATTACCATCCACGGTGGGCAGGCACTCCTTTTTTCCGGGGGTTAAAATACAAACAATATCCATAAAACCACAAGCCTTCCTGCAAAGCACACATCTATCCAAAATGTATCATTTCCAATAAGTAATTCTTGTTACTGGTCTCCTTTTAAAACCAATAATTAAACTAATGGCACATATAAAGCTAGTATCTGGGTTTATAATCTTACAAATAAAGATAAAATTCAGAAACAGTGATTATGTGATGTTAATCACTGCAAATGTATGTCTTTGTGGCCCGATTTTTAAAAAATTATAGATTGTTTTTATTTACTTAATAAATTTTCTCTGTAAATGTAATATGAATTAATTAATTGGATACAAGTTCATTAAATTTAGACCCAATGCACTACCTCTGTTTAAAGCAGAGAATGAAGTAATGAAAACAAATAAGTCTTTTAAATTATTTACTTTCAGAATCTTCATTTTATGAAGAAAATTCCTCCAGGTGCTGAAGCATCTAACATAATGGTTGGAGAGATGGATTGTTTAAATCATCAAATTGTAGCATTTGTCCGTCTGTCAAGAGCTGTATTATTGGGGGATTTGACCGAAGTTCCAGTTCCTTCCAGGTTTCTCTTTTTACTCCTGGGTCCCACAGGAAATCAAAATCGATTCCATGAAATTGGACGATCTATTGCCACTCTTATGTCTGATGAGGTAAGTATCTACTATTGCTGAATATTGCACTTTAAATTCATTATTCTGCTTGTTGTATAGCAATATATACCAATATTAAAACTGTAATTTTTTATTGTTTTATCAATGTAATGTGAATTGTTTCATTCTAAAGAATGTTCAGAAATGAACAAACTTGATTTGATGTAACAACTAGGTCTTACATACCCTGCATCAATCTGAACGACAGACTCACCCTACCTGCAGAGAAGTGACTCTGACACAGTGAATAGCCATGATATCCATATGACGTTATCTAAACGTCACAGGTCATGAGGTCACATCAACAAACAAATGTAAACACCATCATTATGATCATTATCAACATTACAAGACACAATGTTACCTTGTAAACGATAGCCTTCTTGCAGCCTTTATGACTGTATAATCCGTACAGAACGTATTATCGCTTCTTACAATGATTTTTCACAAAAATAACACCATCTACAACTCTAGATTTGACGTCGGCATATTGGCACTATTTTGTGCTTCGGTCGTGTCTATTTCAGATATACACAATCAATTCTGTTAATGTTTTTGGCGTGGGGATTGACTAAAAGTTAATTTGTTTCAGTTCTAAACAAAAATTTAAAACTTTAACGCAATTTTAAAAAAATAGCCAAATTATGGCTGGGATTACTGAGCAAAATGGCCATTCACTGTATACGTGCGAAAAAAAAGCCAGCTTCCATTTAATTTTCGTACGTTAGTTACGTACGACCCTGCATCAGTGTATGTATGAACAGGAATCAAATAAACTGTATTTTACTTTAAAAGCACAAAAGAAACCTGAAGACACATTTACTAAAATGTTGCAACTTTTTAAAATTCCTCTTTTCAGACAAAAATATTTTAAATGTCCCCAATTTTAAACCTTTTAATGGTATGGTTTTTAGACGGCATTTATCTTGTTAATAAAGTTAATCTAAATTGTATAGTCTTGTTTTTTAGACCCAAATGTTGTCTTCTTTTTATCAATGTCTGGAGATTTTGTTCTTATCTTGATTAGAAAATAGATGATACTACGTTCTTATAAAGCATGCTATTAAACTTAATTAAAGCAATATTTTTTTGTCTTTTAGTGGCATCTTTCACTATGTTATTTTTCTTGAGAATATCTTTCTTTTTTTAACAGATATTCCACGATGTGGCATACCATGCAAGAAATCGAGAAGATTTATTGGCTGGTATTGATGAATTTTTAGATCAGGTTACAGTATTGCCCCCTGGTGAGTGGGATCCAAGCATAAGAATAGAACCACCAAAAAGTGTTCCTTCTCAGGTAAATGAATATATTTATTGAAATATATTTACTAGATTAGGAATAAAATTAAACAATATGGTTTAGAATGTTTTAGGAAGTCCAGATTTGGTTTATCTTTTTGGAGAATCATAAATTTTAACAGTAGCAGCTTTTCAACAAATACTTATATTATTTCTTCTAATTTATGAATGTATGTTATAGGAAGGAAGAAAGCAAGCAAATGCAACCCGTCCTCTACCAAATGGTAAAGCTGTTGTTGAAGATGAAGGAGAAGAAGAAAGGGATTTAACTCTTACCAGAACTGGCAGGTAATGAAAATGATGATAAATTTTGAAATCGGTGGAATTACTAGCTATGAAATTGAAATATCTTACTAAATTACACCTCAATTTTTATCCTAGTAGTCTTTTTCTGTTAAAAACAAGTTTTGTTTCCTAAAACTGTCAAATTTCTAGGACAGATTATCAAGTCTTACTCTCGTAGCTGTATAACAATGCTTGGAAAATTTGTTTAGTGAGATAATTTGTAGTTTATACATCACCTGAATATGTCTATACGCCCACATTTTTTATGTTGATGTATTATGCCATCATCCCTGTCTGTCCGTCCAGACATCCGTCCACAATTTGTTACCGATTTTGACGAAACTTGAAATATAGGTCTATCTCCCAAAGATCTTGGTTCCTTTCGATATTGGCATGTATCGGCCCATAACTTCATGGATTACGGCCCCTGCACCCACATTGAAATGTGGTTGTATATTGTCGTCGCCTCGTCCTTCCGTCTGTCGGTCCAGCGTCCACCTCGAGAGGCTACAGTTAATATCCGATTAACTTTAAATTTACACACAGTGTTAAAGGTCATGAAACGAAGAATCCTATTGATTTTCAGCGATTTCTGATAATTACTGCCAGAGTTATGGCCCTTGATCACTTCAAAAAGTCTTGTGGACGCTCTAGAGGCTAAAGTTATCGTCTGTTTGACTTCAGATCGAGGCACAGAGTTTAAGGTCTTGAGACGAACAAGTATATTGATTTTCAATGAATTTTGATAACTTGAACAGCTAAATCCATGATATTAAATGTTTCGTATATTAAATTTTAGCATGGGGCAGAACTTTATAAAAACCAAACAAATTATAATGGTTTTCTGATAATTACTTAATGAGTGGTTACTCTTAATCAGATTTTAATGTATTATATAAGTGTTTCATGACTGACAAAAGATAAAATGTGTTGACAGCCTGGACGACTTAGCTGCTGTGGGCGTATGTTTCGTTGTCTGGCAACATATCTTTACCTTTGAAATGCATGTTTATAACCCAAAGATCTTGGTTCCTTTGGATATTCACGTATATTGGATTGTAACTTCCTGAATTATGGCCCCTGATTGTACGAAAAATTGCGTTTTTAGCTTGTCCCTTTAGAGGTCACAATTATTATCCAATTTAAAAAAATGTTCGAATATATCACTGTTGCACCGTAATGTCAGTTGAATTCGAATTTCGTGAAAATCAGACCAAAACTGATGGACAAAATGGCCGGCCCTCGTATGCAAATGGTGTAAAAATATGGTATATCAAGGTTGTGGACCATTTAGAGGTCACAGTTTTGATCTGATTTAGATTAAACTTGAAATGAAAGTTTATAACCCAAAGATCTTGGTTCCTTTCGATATCCGTACATACGCATATCGGATCGTAACTTTCTGAATTAGGACCCTTGGTTGTATTCGAAAAATAAAGTTTTTAGCTTGTGGTCCCTCTAGAGGTCACAATTTCTGTCCAATTTGAAAAACATTCAAATATATCACTGTTACACCCTAATGTCGGTTGAGTTTGAATTTCGTGAAAATTGGACCAAAACTGCCTTGTATGCAAAAATATGTGGTATATCAAGGTTGTGGACCCTCTAGAGGTCCCAATTTTGATTCAATTTTGATGAAACTTTAAATTTATGTTTACATCACAAGGATCTTGGTTTATTTCGATAATCGCGCATATCCGAACCTGACTTCCTAGATTATGGCCCCTGATTGTTCCAAAAATCGCATTTTTAGCTTGTAGACCTGCTAGAAGTCAGGATTTTTATTCAATTTTAAAAAACGTTTAAATATATCACCGTTACACATCATTGAAGGTTGAGTTTGAATTTCGTAAAAATCTTACCCAAACTGCCTTACAAAATGGCCGCTCCTTGTACGCAAATAGTGTAAAAGTATGTAATACCAAGGTTGTGGACACTCTAGAAGTGACAATTTTTGTCTGATTTTGATGAAACTTAAAATATATCTTTATATTCAGTCCCTTTAGATATTCGCATATTTCAGACCATAACTTCCTGGATTACGGCTCCTGATTGTACAAAAAATTACTTTTTTTTTTATTTAGCTTGTTCTCTATCCATCGCTTGGAAAATGTGGGTGTATCTTGCCTGCCAACCGCTGGTTTTCTTTTGTAGATTTTTTGGTGGCTTAATAGATGATGTAAAAAGGAAAGTAAAATGGTGGCCCAGTGATTTCAAAGATGCCATTCACGTCCAATGTTTGGCTTCGTTTATTTTTTTGTATTTTGCCTGCTTGACGCCAATTATTACCTTTGGTGGTTTGTTAGGAGACGCAACTGGTAACAATATGGTTAGTATTTTCATTACATCACTGCACAATAATCAACCTATTGTGAGTCCTTAGATTTAGAAAAACATCCTATACCATTTGTGAGAGGATTGAGATATTTTTTCATCCTGAACATTTTTGTACCTAATACTGTTTTATAATTTATATTTTATAATTTGAATGGTGGTTATTTTTTACAGGCAGCTCTAGAGAGTATATTAGCTGGAGCTATTTGTGGTATTACATACTCGTTATGTGCTGGACAACCATTAACTATATTAGGTTCTACAGGACCTGTTCTAGTTTTTGAAACCATCCTTAATCATTTCTGTAGGTAAGTACTTCACCCTTACAAATATTTATGTAAAATAACATGCTAACATGACACATTTATTTAGCATAGAGTAGTAATGATGTAAGTCAACATCCTTAATCAAGAACATAAGCATTAATTTGATATTACAAATGTTTGATGGACATTCACAACAAAAACACAATTTCATAACACATACAGGTCACCTTTTCAAGGTAAATATAGCTAGGTGTGATTTAAGAAATTGTTTGATGGATGTCATTTACTTTTTAATTTTAGTGATAATGGTATAGATTATTTGCAGTTCCGTCTGTGGATAGGAATATGGACAGGGTTAATTCTTATCTTTATGGTGGCATTTGATCTTAGTGCTCTTGTTCGATTTATAACCAGATTTACAGAGGAAAGTTTTGCTGCTTTGATTTCTCTTATTTTCATCTACGAGGCTCTTGCTAAGTTGATTAAAATTAAAGATACAGATCCATATAACCCTCATCCAGGACAGAACCTTACATATGACTGTTGGTGTGGTCCATCAAACTCTACAAATGAGACAGTGTCAGTGAATTGGACGGATGTGAATAAAGAAGACTGTGAAAAGGATTATAATGGCACATTATCTGGACCAGGATGCAATACACCAGTCTACGTAGGAGATGTGTTTTTCTTCTCCATCATACTGTTTTTCGGAACCTTCGTTGTCTCTTTTGCTCTAAAGATGATGAAAGATAAGCCAGTTTTTCCTACAGTTGTAAGTTTATTCTTTATATTAAAATTGTGAACATCTTTTGTTATCATCAACTAAATCCTAGCATGGTCCAAGAAGAATGCCTGCGGAGCTGCCAAAAAATACCTCGATCTTCTCAGGTTTTAGATGTGCCCAGAGCACAAATTCTGAATATTTAAGTGTATATTAGTGTTCCTATATTTATACATATATTTCAGGTAAGAAGTGTTCTCAGTGATTTCTCTGTTCTCATCGCTATTATTCTGATGGTGGGACTTGATATTTTGGTTGGTTTGCACACTCCTAAACTTGAAGTACCCTCCACATTTTCTGTGAGTAATAATTAAATATAATCTGAAATTTTTGATCAAAACCAATTCAAGGAAATGCTTTTTATTAAAATTTTATGATGACAAGCAGTATCGGTTTTCATGAAATTTCATGACATACATGATCCATGAGAAATTATGCAACTCTTTGATAGAAAAAGTGTAAAACTGCTTGATTAATGAGAATTTTCAAATAGTTCTTCATGACTAAATTCACCCAACTAGAATCTAACCAGTTGGGTTATAAAATAGTTTTAAGCTTTGATAAATTACATCTGTATTTTTTTTATTAAAATTTTATGATGACAAGCAGTATCGGTTTTCATGAAATTTCATGACATACATGATCCATGAGAAATTATGCAACTCTTTGATCGAAAAAGTGTAAAACTGCTTGATTAATGAGAATTTTCAAATAGTTCTTCATGACTAAATTCACCCAACTAGAATCTAACCAGTTGGGTTATAAAATAGTTTTAAGCTTTGATAAATTACATCTGTATTTTTTTTAACGATTTATTTAGCCAACCAATCCTGATAGAGAATGGTTTATTATGCCATTTGGTAAAAATCCCTGGTGGTTTTCTATAGCTGCTCTTATACCAGCATTATTGTGCACCATTCTGATTTTTATGGATCAACAGATTACGGCTGTAATTGTCAACAGGAAAGAAAACAAATTGAAGGTTAGAAAATAAGCATTTGTTACTTGTTATTGGCATTCAAATTGGACTTGTACATTTGGATTACTTATCTGTTTTCTGTTAATCAAGTTGTGAAACTACGGTCAATTAGGAACTAACTTTGACTTCCAAGTTGTGTATAAAACTTCAAGGCTCGATTGAATCTGGAACACTTTGTTTGCTTAACTAGGTTTTTATATCTTTATAACATCCATAATACAACTGTTATATACAGGAAACTACACACACAGCTATGACATTAAATATAAGCTAAATATAAGTTCCCAATCCACTAGTGTGTGTTTTGCGGCGGGTACATGATGATCTCCCTCGGTCCCTAAGCCGAGGCGACTAAAGGTATGTCCCTCTAGGAACACTGCATGTTGTCTTTATTTCTTCTAAGGACCCCGCATGATGTAGGTATCCTGAACTCTAAGCCAACGCGGCTAAACGTCCCTCTAGGACCGCTCTATGCTGTTGTCCCTAGGAACACTGCATGATGTTACTGGTGGTCTGGCTTTTATGGAACTTTACAAACTACAATTGCTCTTAGGTTTAGTTCATCTTTTAAATAGTATGCGAGAATATCGAATAATATTTCTTGCTTGTTTGCATTTGGTGTTACTAATAACAGTGAGATACAAATTTACTGAAGTCTTTGTATCTCCAATTAAAGTGTCCTGCTGTTCTTTGATTACGATATTTAATGGAAATATATATGTTGTTTGTTTTCCAGAAAGGTCATGGTTATCATCTGGATTTATTTATAGTAGCTTTCTTGATTATTGTGAATTCTTTTCTGGGATTACCTTGGTTTGTGGCAGCTACTGTTCTCTCTATTAATCATGTTAACAGCTTAAAGAAGGAATCACAGTGTGCAGCACCTGGTGAAAAACCCAAGTTCCTGGGAATCAGGTATTGAATGTTTTTGAATTTAGCATATGATTTACTGTATCACAAGAAATTAATGTGTCAAGATTTATGAGAACTGTGATAGCCTAAATACAAAAGTTAAGAGATTAAGCTTAAAAATCACATCTCACTGAATTTGTATGGAATTATCAGTGTGAAAAATGGAAATTTGAAAAACTTGAAATCAATTTTAGATGTAATATTGTATTCTTAGTGTTCTTGAATTTTTCAAAACAAAATTTGGTTCACAGATTGATTTGACTGCATATCGATGGGCATTTGACCTAAAAACAAATTTTCAGTCTTGTTTTATGGTTCTCTTCAAAACTGCTGATCATCATTTGTATGTTTCAGACAATATTGACTTTTTTTACGGCTTACTCAATGACAAACTGTTCACAAATGTATTATTTGATTATGAAAACAAATCCAAAATATCATGGCTTAGATTCAAACTTATTAAATTTTACCCAACATATATAGGTGGTGCTGGCTTGTTTATAGTATTATAGGCTATCGTCTGCAGGGAATGTTTCAAAATTTTGAATTTAGCAGTCTTTGTTACTGCTGAACCATACTTTCACCACCATTATGGTAGTTTGCAAGGGATTCAAAATCCCTAAATTGATGATCAGTGGCTCTGATTTTCTCCATGGAAAAGTGTGATAATGATTTTCTCCATTGAAAAAGCTATTCATGAACCTACTGAAGATTATTAGCAATAATATTAATGTCAAATTTTCTGATGATTTCAGAGAGAATCGGTTAACAGGTGTAATGATCTTCCTTATGATTGGTCTTTCTGTTTTGCTCACTTCTGTTCTAATGGTAAGTAATTATTAATTGGAGACTTTCAGAAATTCTAAAAAACGAACATCTTCACCATTTCAAATAGATCATAAATTTGATCTTTTCATTGTTCATGAAATGTGACTAAGTTGGGGTAACTCTCATGATGTATTTCTGAAGTTCTGAAGAAATTATCTTAAAAACATCCAAATTTGAATTTGTTGACAAGCTTTACAACAACTCAAACAACTAAAGAAGCTGCTGGTGAGCATATACATGTATTTTGTTGCCAAACAACCTATCTTAAAATAATATCAGTGACCACTTTTGACTAATGAGTAATAATACAACTGCTATCAAACTAGAAATTCACTCAATTTTTTTAAAAAATATTTAATTTATATTATAAATTTTCAAAATTTTGATTGCTTGTATTGTAAGAATGCTAGATTAATTCTCCTCTCCTTTAGGGTCATCATATGTGAGATTATTGAGGGTAGGTGTGAGATGGTTTTAAATTTTATAATTTCAGTTTATTCCTATGCCAGTTTTATTTGGTGTGTTTCTGTATATGGGTGTGTCATCTTTAAAAGGAATGGAATTGGTCGATCGAGTGGCCATTTTGTTTATGCCAACCAAATATCAACCTGATCTGATGTATTTACGTCATGTGCGAACAAAAAGAGTTCATATATTTACTGCAATTCAGTTATTCTGTTTAATAGTGTTGTGGGTGATTAAGACTATTAAAGTCATCTCTATAGCATTCCCAATTATGGTAAGTGTTCAAATCAATAATTTTTGTATAAAAACTATGTTTTGTTTAATTTCTTGAATAAGTTCACATTAACTTTCCTGATTTATTATACATGTGGACGTATATTGCCGTCGCGCCTGTGTGTATGTGTGTGTCTGTTTGTCACCTACAGGCCGTAATTCTTAAGTGATCGTCTTGAAACTTTACATACTTATTCCTTATACCCTAACGATGACCCCTATTGTTTTTGGTGCATGCCTGACCTATTTGGTTGTCGTCTACAGGCCGCATTTCTTAACGTATCATCTTGAAACTTTGCATAGTTATTCCTTTTACCCTAAGGAACATCCCTATTGTTTGTGGTGCAGGCCCAACTCCCAGGGGCAGAACCACGCTCATTTTCTTTTTGTGTTTCGATCCTTGCATTGTCCGAGAAAGTTCATCCAGATTTTCCGGCGTGGTTTCCCCTTGTCAGTGATGCAGGACGGAGGGCCTGACAAGGACAGCTGTCTAGTCGTTCGGATGGGACGGAAAACCGAGGTCCCGTATACACATTGGCGTGCACGTAAAAGATCCCTTGGCAGTTGGAATTCGATATAAGAATAGGCCATAGCGCCGCTGCCCGGGCAAAATTTCCCTCATAGCACACTGTATGGCGTATGCCCATCTTCATTAGCCCAGTTTAGGAGCAGAATAGTAGGACGTTAAACCCCATTTTATTTCATTTCATTTCATTTTTTTTTGTTTTTTGTGTCTTTGTGTCGCTTACAGGCCGCAATTCTTAATCAGTCATCTTGAAAACTTTTCATACTTATTCCTTATACCCTAAGAATGGCTGCTATTATTTTTGGTGCATGCCTGACCCCCTGGGACAGAGCCGCGCCCTATTTTTTTGGTGTTTGTCTTGTGTTTCACCAACAGGCCGCAATTCTGAACAGATCATTTTGAAATTTGCATATATATTCCTTTTACCCTGAGGATGACCCCTATTGTTTTTTTGTGATTGCCTGACCCCCAGTGTCTCTGTGTGTTGCCTACAGGCTACTATTCTTAATGGATCGTCTTGGAACATCGGATATGTATTCCTTATAGCCTAAGGATGACAGCTGCATGTCCCGACCCCCAGGGGCAGAGCCACGCCCAGTTTTTGTGTTTATCCATTCTGAATAGATCAGCTTCGTACTTAGCATATTTATTCCTTATAGCCTTAGCAGAGCCACTTAAGTTGGTAAGACGCTGGCTCGCTAGCCTGTAGGTCGGGCGTTCGATCCCTGCATTGGCCGAGAAAGTTCATCCAGATTTTCCGGCGTGTTTCCTCCTGACAAGGACAGCCATCTAGTCGTTTGGATGGGGCGAAAAACCAAAGTCCCGTGCAATTCTGAATGGATCATCTTGGAATTTTGCATATTTATTCCTTATACCGTAAAGACAGCAACTATTTATTTTGGTGCATGCCCCGACCCCCTGGGACGGTGTCACACCCACTTTTTTGTTAATATTTTGTCTATAAATCTGGCAAAACAAACCCAAGAACCTCGCCTTCTTTGCCTCTTGTCATATTATAGCCATTTCTTATTTCATTCTCTTCATTTTAAAAATTACCATATCAATCAAAGCAAGAAATAATGTGGATGTATATTGCAGTTCATTTGTTAAATGGAGGGTATGATCAACTAGAAATCTACTTTTGATTTAAATGATATTTATGTTGATAAATATTTTATTTATTTATGAAGCATGGATTTATTACATGATTTCAGGTGCTAGCTATGTGTTTTGTAAGGAAGGGAATGGACTTTTATTTCTCTCAGAATGAGTTAAAATGGTTAGATGATATAATGCCTGAAGCTCATAAGAGAGAAAAGGAAGACAAAAAGAAGGATGAGGTATAGACTGTTCATTTTTGTTTTGTCAATTTTAGAATACATTTAGCCATAATCATTAGGAGCTTTATATTTTATAATATTAAAATTTAAAAATATGTGCATTGCAGACTATCCTATTAGTACAAAGAGTGAACCTTCTCTGATTTTAGAGTTTAACACAGGAAAGGATAGTCATAATTAATAGACTTAATGTATAGAATTGACTTAATTACTAATACTTCTATTATGAACCAATTGTTGTTCTGCAATAAAATGATTTATGCAGATAGAAATCACAACATTCATATTCATCATCACCATGAATAATATCGTTCATATTTATCGTTATATCACTATGCATGTTTTAGATGGCCATTATTTTGATCATGAATACTATGTAATCTGTCACAGATTATAAGATTATTTCTATTGAATTTTAAAATATGTTATTGTTTATACTTTATTGTAAATTATGTTAAGTAAATGAAGCCTGAAAATGTCAAGAACTTGTACTAATCCATATATTGTAATTTGGTCAAGGATGAACAAACTATCAGCATTAGTGAAATAAAACAAGAAATTAACACTATGTATTAACCGGTGGTACTTTTTCCGCCGACTACCGCCGACCAAATGCTTTTTACCGCCGACCGCATTGTAATGACTTTCGACCGTAATATAATTACCGCCGACCAAATACTTGTTACCGCCGACCAAATGCTTAATGATTCCTTGTTACCGCCGACTATTTTACGGTTGTTTTTTTATTTTTATTTGAGGTGTAATCAACTGTCGAAAAACATTCATATATATCTTAAAGAATATGGAAGGACAAACTACAATTTAGATATTGAAGGGCAAGGTTTAAAAATTTGGGGGAGAGGTTAAGTCTCCGCATAAGCACTGACCTAGGTTGATGAAAAGTTAGTTCGTGATATTTCCTAGTTTTATTAAAAATACATACAATACATTAGATGTATATACAAAGGCGATTTCACTGTTTTTTGATGTTGGTGGTGCTGATGGTCTTCCTTGGATGGCGCTTCTGGTATTCTGGTATTATTGTTTCTGAAGAAAAAAGAAAATAAATTTGAGGCTCTCAGGAGAGAGCCACATTAGTGTGTTTCCTACTACGGATTGGATTTTCTAAAAAATCGTGTTTGTTCCACATCACCGGGTTAGGGCTAGGGATTTTTATATCTAGTTGATTTTTATTTACTAACGGTTAGGGATAGGATTTGATATATGATTTGTTTTGGGTTGGGGTGGAGACTGGTTTTATTTAATCTAATTTACTGTGCACTAGGATATCGTTCAGATTTTTATTTTTAGAATATGCAATTATAAGTTTCTTTGTGAATATTTTCGGGTGATTTTCTTGGAGATCAGTATAGTGTTTTCTGATGATTTTGGATGCACTTGCTGCTGTTGCGCTAAATGGAACTACAAAAGGGACTATTGCGCTAGCCGTTAGGGTTAGGGTTGTCGACCATATTTATATATAATAAAATCTATATTTTTATCAAACTCTGTGTATTTAACCAAATCTATTTATTTGTCACTAATAATTTAATTAATTTTATATAGTCGGCGGTAACAAGGAATCATTAAGCATTTGGTCGGCGGTAACAAGTATTTGGTCGGCAGTAATTATATTACGGTCGAAAGTCATTACAATGCGGTCGGCGTTAAAAAGTATTTGGTCCGCGGTAATTTCACGACAGTCGGCGGTAAAAGTATTGGTCGGCGGTGGTCGGCGGTAAAAAGTACCACCCATGTATTAACTATTGTCGATTGCTAAATAGAATAGATTTAATGTCTGCTTTATATAAGTAACTTAAGCTTTGTGATTGGAACAGAAGGAAGTCATCTTTAAATAAATGTTTCATTAACAAAATTGGTACAAGCATTTAATTTACTATAGGAAAATATATTGACAATGTTGAGCCAAAAACTCTTCTATGAACTCCTGACATGCAAGGAAATTGTCATTTGAAAAAATGTGCAGTTGACCAATAGATTGCAGCCACAGAACAGATGGTTTATTTGCATATTTCTACAAATATACAGTTAACAAAGCGGACTAGTATGCAGATGTAATGGAAAAAGTAACCTCTCGCTGTGTATTAATTAGAATATGGTTGGAAAAGGTAGTTTAAAAATTTTAGATGAAATAATGAAAGTAGATTATTGCTTGTAATTACATGCATAGTTTAATGCATATATTTTGTGGTGTCTGCATTATTAATCCAAACTTAGAATTTACTTTGTTAGAAAAAGGTTATTTTCTTCTTGAAGAGACATTTGATTGCCAAAATCTATGTACTTCATGCCAATTATTATGTGCTGTAAAATATATTTGAAAGAACAGCAAATGAAAACAAATATGCATTAAGAATTATTGTAATTTAATATGTAGTCTATAGATGCTTTCAATAAATTTCATGATAATAATTAAATTGTACATAAAAGTGCATCTTTATATGCTCACATTAATGTGGTTGTATATTGTTGCAGTTCTGTCCATCCAGGAGTCAATCATATACTTTTACCAATTCTTTTACGTTATTAAATTCTTAACAAATTTGGCTTTGATTTTCGGGAATAGTTTGTATTGTAGAGATCATACCATACTTATCAATTTTGAGCATTTTTGTAAAAGTGGTTCCAGAATTGTTGCCCCTTACTGATATAATTATTGATAATGTTAGTACACACAGTACTTGGTCTTGCTCTACATTTTAAGTAAGGCCACACAAAATAAATGTCTTGTTTCTCGGGCAACTGACAGCTGAAACTGTAGGGAGGGAGGGCGGTTTCTTTTTTTTTTTACTCATTGATGGTGCAAAATAAAATTTGGCTATTGCTGAAAATTGTTGGGGCGGGAGGGCGGTCTTTCTTTTTTTTTTTTTTTTAAATGAGAAAGTCATTACTTGTTTACGTTTTTGCTTTCCGTTATATTCAACTTTATTGTACATACTTAAAACATAAACCCAAAATCAAGTCTACTAAAACACTGAGACTGAACACTGACTGAAAGGAAAATAATTTTCCATATTTAATTCACATAATTGAAATTGGTTTAAAATAAAATTCCATACGACTATGTAATAGCCCTCCATAAAGACAACAATATTTTTAAAAACTAAGCCTCTTTCACCAGGTGTATCAAAAATAATAATCATGGTAAACAGTATTTAAAACTAAATCTAATATCGCCGGTTTATTTATAATTATTTACCGAATTCCAACCAATGCATGTCACACCGTGTCATCGGTATTGGAGATTGCCGGAAATACTGTTTCTTGGGATATTCGGTGTGTTTCTCAGGATATTCGGTGTTCTATCCGGTGTTTATATTGAATGACTATTTAAATCTAACTAACAACTGGTTAGTAAAACCATCAAATCGGTAATCCAATTATTATTTTCCGGATTATCGAAACTACCGTAAATGTGCTAATAATGACCCAGATTCTAAGGTATGCATTATGACGACTATCGTCATCGTATCGTATTCTTAGCTATAATTAATTAACCTGTTCTACGATTCATTATTTTATCAATAGGATTTTCCAAACAAGGACCGACTGAAGCCGGCAATAATGAACCGATTACGATCGAATGATTGAAATATTGTCGCCAATGACTTTTAACACGAATCAAATTCTAGTTTATCAGGGGAGGTAATTAATATCACGTGATACAAAATGGAGGTTCTTTCGATATCAATAAAAAAGGCAAATCTGCCAAACTTCGCCATTGTTCGGATAAAAAAGACAGCATGTTCATCTGAATCAGTTTTAATACATTTGAATAGATATACATGTATGGCGGATGTAGGTACATGCGGGATATTTTTTTTACGACTTGCTTGTCGATGTGCGGGCGGGCGTTACATATTTATTTTTTTTCATCAAGACTAATAAATAGAATGCACGCGCAACCAATTTTGCGTGCGGGCGGTGCCCGAGAAACAAGTTATTTTATTTGTGTTGCCTAATTGTTAGGATTTGCGAAAGATGGTTCTATGATTTTTGTGCTTTTATGCAAAGTTAGTTCCGAAGTTATTGTTCCTAACTCACTATTGTTCATGATACTACCTTTCTGTACTCACTTTATAGAATGGAGGTCTTAACCAGTTTTCAGAAAAATTTAGATCGTGATTACAATAATGCTGACAGTACTTACACACCACAGTTATCTTAAAACCTTGTGTACACTTTTTAACAGAAATAAGGTGAAGTTGCTAGTGGGTGAATGTAACTATGCCTGGCAACTATATTGTTTGAATATTTGTATTTATATTGTTAAATCTACCTTACAGGTTTTGAGAATGATGCATGCTGGTGATGTGAATGATTTAGAACATATAAAGGCCCTGTGGCTGAATTCTGATGTCAACTCTAATTTGGTGAATCTCTTTGATTTAACAAAATTTGATTACTGTAGTTGCCTTGAAATATCAGAATATTTTAAATTTGTACAATATTAATAATTATGAAAAACTTGTTACGTTATATGATGGGTTTGAAGGGGTTCGCAATGATGTTAGTTATTGTTTAAATTGTATAAGAAATAAAACATATACCAGATTGACCATAGGTAACAATCTGTGCATATTAAATAAAATGTAGAGTGAAAGTGAATCAGTGAGATATCCAGTTTTGATAAAGAAAAACTGAACCAATAAGGAAATGAAAAACAAGATTCACATAAGAAAAGCGATTTTGCTAATAGATGGTGGACCAACACTGCTAAAGAATGAACTGATTATGAAGATTGGACCAGATGCTGAAAACAGAACCAGATTCTGATGTTAAAAGAAAGTTGAACCAGATTCTGTCCATGCCAAAAAGGATGAACCAAATTACTAGATTTTGTCAAAGATAGCGGTTCCATAGGGATTAACTAATATATATAAGCGAAAAAAGAATGAATATATTTGAAACAAAAGATCAGAATATGAAATAGTATTAACCTTGAAAATAATATAATGATTATATTATGTGAATTATATATGTTACAGCTCCTTTATCACATAATTTCCACATCAGGTTTAATTATTTAAAACATCTTCATTTCATCATCAATCATCTTATCATTATGAAGGATAGACTTTCTTTACCTATAATATACTGGACCATCATGTTTGTTTCAGCTGACAGATTTTATTTCTAAATACAACTTAAAAGTCAGACCTGATCATGTTCTAAATTCACTTGCTAAATGTAGAACGATACTGTATGATTGAATTACAGAATCGATCAGGTTTAGCGTTGTATTGGGTTAAGAAACAGCTAAAAAATTGTCTAATCCTTTAAAACCGAGCTTATAGAAATTAGAGCTATTCAGAAGTGCCAAAATGACTTATGAAAAGTTATTAAGTTTGAATTGTATTTTGTAGGAGAGAAGAAGTTTGATAGAAGGTAATGGTATTCAGCTACCTTTATCAGACAGTGGTGTTCCTGTCGAACATATTACTATTAGTGCCGAGTTAGATTCAGTTAATATCACAGAGGAAGTAGCTAAAACAGCCATGTGGAGAACTATTGTAGCCAATGATTCCTCATCTAATCTCACACAAGATGAAGCCAGACAATCTAATTCCAAAAAGTAAGTATATTTACATTCATGTCATACTAATCATAGGCATATTAGGTTGTAGTGGGGGGAGGGGGGGGGGGCAGGGAGAGAATGTGACTGATCAAGCAGGCCTTTTCTGGCAAAAGTTGTTGGGATCCCTTACACCTATGATGATAATTTTTATATAGCAAGGATAGACACTTCAAGTTTGTAATTAGAAAAACAGTCAACTGGGGGAAAAAACAACTTGCACCAACTTGCACATACTAAATAGATCCCAATAGGCCATATTTATACACACACCCCGACATGCCCCCCCCCCCCCACCCCCACAAGGTGATTCATGTAATCACATTGAAACCTCAAACAATAAGGTGGTTGTAATCAATAAGATTGAATATCATGTTGGTTGCCAAGCTCAACCTGCTTCTTTCAACATTGCAAATTTGTATACGTTTTGGATGACACAGATCAAAGTGAAGTTAGTGCATGGAATCAGGTTCAAGAACTTAATTAACGGTAAATGTGTGTAAATCATATTGCCTGACTAATTTGATGTTGACTGTCAAACACAGTGTGTGTTATACTAAAATTGGTTGGAAGTTTTCACACGGAAACCAATGTGTGACAGGAATACATACCCCAAAATCTGTGTGGTTATATCTCACCTATTGTCAATCTTGTCAAATATGTTTTATCTAGACAAGATCAGATTAGATTAAAATTCTTCAATATGACTTAATGATGCACAAAGCATCAAGTTCACAGAAACAAAGTTCATTGAAACATAAAAAGAATTAAGCTAGGAGTTGAATAAAGAGTTGGCCATTCTTGCTGTAACAGTTAAAAAATAGAAGATAAAAAAGAAAATATTGAAAATTTCAATCAAATTACTTTATACTGAACGACATTATCACTGTTGGAAGTTTGGATTAGAAATAGGCATCAACTGTCTCCCTTCACACCGTCTTCAAGAATTGCTGATCATTTGATTGACAGACGATAATTCCACCCACATAAGTAAGATTCTCAATGGCTAGGGGTACCTTCGACTGTCAGTCTTTTCATCTGGGGGAGTGATGTCAGAGATTAACGGTAAATGTTAGCTTGGTCAGCCATTTATTGATTTAAATATTATATGGACGACTGTTTAAATCTAAGCTGTGTCCAAGCCATCCTACACTCTACAGAGTTGATTTTGAGCTTGTCATGTAATAAAGGTCTTATTAACAATTTCAATAACATCTGAAGCCTTAAAAAAGACTTGCAATAGGTAGATTTAGCTCTTAACTAACGTATCTTTTAAAGAATTTCTTTTTTCTACAAGAAAACATTAGTACTTTACAAATATATATAATTATTTTTTTTTATCAGAAAAAAGAAACATAGTAAAAAGACTCGTGAGAAAGAGAATGGAGAAAACCTACCCACAATACCTGGTAGTCCTCACGCTGTAGATGAAGAACACCGGGAGTCCCCTAGGAAAAAAGCTCCGGTGAAGTTTTATATAGATGAAGATCTCACTGAAGAGAAGGAGTCTTTGATTAAACCGCCAGAAATTGTGGTTGATCCACCCAGTGAGGTTAATTTGAGTTCGCCAGAAGAGGAGAGTAAGATGTAGGTGTTTATATCTCACATGAAAAAACTAATGTGCATATTACATAGAACTACAATGTGAAATATTTCAATACATCAATATTGATATATGCATATTCAAAGACACATGTTAATAAAAATGTGTAATAATTGTTTGAAGTCGCATAAATAGTCAGCTACTTATTTTCTTCTTGGTTTTATTTTGGAAAATGTTGACATGATTACTTGTGGCAAATAATAATGTGTTTTAATTTGTTTTTGTTGATTATACTAAAATGTGTTGAGTTCTGAAAGTTTTATGATGTTATACTGAAATGTTCTATGTGGCATAATATGTACAATTTTAGTGATTTAATTATGACCCAAAATGAATTTTAATAAAACCTGTTAAATGTGTATTTTAAGTGATACAATAAGTGGAGCATAAGTAGAAATGCATAAAAATGTGTATCATAAACATACACTGTTAATTAGTGCATTGAAATAAATGTTTTATTAAACTGATATATATTATAATACGTCATTAAACTGTGTATTTATAGGGATGCATTAGAATGTGTATTGGTGGAGACACAAAGTTATATCAATACATAAAAACAGTAAATCCATTATTTTAAACTGTGTATTATAGAGAATCTGATATTTTAATCAGTGCATCAAGAGAGACTGATTTTTACCATATGATTTTATAGTTGTGATAAAACACTTCGGTGATATAAACCAAATGAATAATAAAAAGTGATACATGTTTTAACATTTACATTATATTTGTATGCTATTATGTTTATAAACATGTTATTAATGAAATCAACTAACATTGAGTTCAGATTGAACTGGTGGAAAGTTTTTGTCTCGGCCTTGATTTCATATCAGTTACTAAGCATAAAGTTATTAAGATATGTTTGCACAGATTTTAAATGCACTAAAACAAGGTGACTGATAATGTGTGTATATTTGAGATAATTATAACAAAACATATCTTTACAAACTAAAACTTTAAACGTTCTAATAAATGATTTAATTAATGTATTGTACATTTACAAGTTGAATATATTTTAGTGACCTTTGTAAAAATTGTAGTAATAATGAAGACCTTCTATATCATATGTTTAAATTTTAGTATGTTCTAAAGCTTTTCAAATATCTTAGTTTTTAAATCTTTTGTTTTAGAGATAAAATGATTGTCTTTATTGTTTTATATTAGAAGAATTGGTGGGTTATGTCATTACAGCAATATTTTAATTAAACTTTGAGTAGTAATTGGTATATGCATGAGTAATTCAATTTTTCGTGCAGTTTCAATTCTGATTTGTTTATTTTTAAAAAAATCTTCTGTTGACAAAACTCATTTAAGAGTTGTGGAATCAAAATATCTTAACCTCCACAAGATCAGCTGTTGAAAATAATTTAGACAGTTGACATACTGTTATGCGTCGAAACCTGTAGACTGTGATCACGTTCTGCTGGAACAAGAATCAGTATATATTTTAAACTAGTATTTTTTTTTTTTTGTATATTATGAAAGTTGTCCTTGCCAAATAAAAGGTTTGATTCCAAAAACATCTGATTGTTTTAAATTTCACCGTTTTCAACAGAATTGATTCTATTAAGATCTATTTTCCCTCTTAATTAGCTTGTTCAAAGGCATAATAATAGTTTCTACAATAAAAGTGAACGTCAAAAAGTATTGTTGAATATGGTGGAATATTTTGAGTCTTGTATATTGTATATACATAATAATATATCAACTGAGTATATATTAATTGATTATTATATGGATTGTTTTACTGTAGATTTATATTATATACCATGTCTCTCATTTAGGTTTTTTTTTTTGCCAGTCAATATTCGCCAAGCATTTGAAATGTCAGGCTGAGAAACCTACCCGTCAGTCAGCTTAAATGTTAAAAATTCTAATATTTATTTACTGTTCCTGTTTATTTCTTATACAAGAAAACTTATCCAGCTGGCAAAATACTGAATGGAAATCCCTGTTACCCACCAACCTTAAAATAGCTAGTTTGATTGCTTTTAGTTCTTTAAAATACTGCTTGTCATCAAGTTTAGATGACAATAGTCCATATATTTTTATCTTGCAACTCATGGTACTTATTCTCATAAGATTATCATTCATAATAATGGAATGAATCCTAACAGCCTCAATCAGTATTCTAGATTAAACATAATTTATCTTTTTTTTGTTTCATATTTCATTTCAAAAACATCAATTCCACTTATGCATGGACTGGTTCTGTTTTAGGGGTATGAGATAAATTATATAATACTACTAGTAGCAAGGTTTTTTTTTCAAAAGAAGGGACTTGGGTGACTGGTGGTTCAGCCTTTGCAAGAGAATTTTCAAAATTAATCAAATACTTATTATAAGGCTTACACTATACTAAAAAATTAAATAATGCTGACACTGTTAAAATATCCAATTGTTTGTAAATATGGGATTAATGTATAGAATACTGTAATTTTTTAATGAATTTACTTTAATTAACAGTGTGTGAATTTAGTATAATATTATGATAAATATGAGACAAGAAAGGGTCCTTTTATTTAGTGCAGGTTCACAGATGTTATCTATATTATTCAAGTATTTATGAACATTGATATACCTCTTAAGTTATTTTTGTCAAAATGCTGATTTCCTGTTTGTTTATTTTAGAAAATATCAGCTTAAAGGGGCATACTACAGTAAATAAACAATAAAAATAATAATGCTAGTTAAAGGGCTCGTTATAAATTTGAGAAATAAATCAATTAAAAAATTTACTGAAGATCATTATGTTAATTAAAAATGATTACAAATGTGGAAAACAAAGCTGTTTCTAATGTACCTTATAATTGTTGTAGTATGTACCTTTTAAGTATTGATCAAACTCCACGCGTAATAGTTCTAAACTTTAAAGCCAGTTATATGTTCATTTCATGTGTCATTCAACTGTGTATTGTTGTTGGCTTGGTCTTAGAAATAACTGTTGTGTTAAAATAAGTATATGTAGAACTATAATAATTAAAGCATGTCCATTCATAAATATGATTTGGAACTGTCATAATTCATGTCATTATTTTCTTTCAATTTGTTGTTGATTTTGATTATTTATATTCATTGTGCTTTTTATTTTGAGTTGTACAATATAACAAATGTTTGAATTCCGTTTCTGAACGAAATCCAATTATCATATCTTCTTTCTCAGATTATAAATTGAACCTTTAATTAATAAACAAACATCAGATTTAGAGAATCTTCATTGATAATTATTTTAAAACACCCAACCCCTTTCGTCGTCTGTACTGAAACTATTTTCATTTTTATGTTAATTAGAATACTAGTTCATTTCTAAAAGAATTGCTATATTTTACTTCCTCATTGCCCCTCATTCTAAGAAATGTACAGTATTTTTGCGCATTTAAAACTTAAAATTTCATTCATAATCAATGTATATTGTTTTACCTATCATTTTGTTCTATTATGAATTCTTCTAAATCAACTACACGGTTGATCTGTTTGGGAAATGAGTTTACACAATGGAGAGTTGAGTTTGATAATAATCTTTATGTAGGCCTGTAATTCTTTTAAGATAGTTTTAAGGATTTTAAATTATATAAATATATATATTAAGATTGCTTATTTTAGATAAATATACATTTGTAAAATTAGTTTATTTCTACCTGTATTTCTGTTTCAAAAGTCTGATTTTACAACTGACTTGCTGTATTAAGGTTACCATCTGCCTCTGTACAATGATTCTGACGATGCATTTATTAGCTATAGAAAATTTATTGTATACAAGTATATTAAAATTATTTTATGACAAAGATATTGGATGAGACCAAAATTATATAAGGCACTTAAATGTTATGTTATGCAAATTTGAATCCATATGGTATGAACCTAGCAATATATTATGATAATCTGAGCATATTTAATGACACATTGATGATTATGTCCCTTTTGTCTCTTTCCAAACAATAATCTCCATATTACTGTACACTTTTGTTTAAAAATGCACATAGCAGACTAGTGCTAAAGATAATTTGTGGAATGCATAGGAAAAAAAACATCGTGTTGTGTATATACACGTAACTGCCAAGATATTTTGTGTGTAAGAATGTCATGAAATCCATTATTTTAAGTCTTTTGTTTTAAATTTCTTTTATTGTTTCAATTGATATTTTAATCTTTTTGTTGATTTTCTTTTATTTCTCTTAATTTAGCATCATTTGCTCATTCACATAATAATTAAGTAAACAAATTGAAGCATAAATAAAATGAATAACTTAACTGTTGGTTGTGTTATATTAATATGATTCTATTCAGGCCTGTTTTATAGTAGACCCATCTTCAAAATAACCTCATTTGTGTTTTCAAAAATGTTATAAACATCATGAATCTTGTATAAAAAAGATATATGGTATCAAATAAGGTGCTAAGATAATCTTAGCCCACATTCAGATTTTTGCCAGGTGCAGTTGCTCTATTGTCTGCTAGATGCCATTTTTGTTCATTTCTCACTGGTCAGAAGAAAAAAAAATTAGGTTGTTTAATTGAGCATTCTGGAATATTATATTGGCGAATGACATCACAGGGACTACACATTTTATAAACTAGCTGATGTGGATTGATGGTATACCGTAAAAGCGTGGTTAACAACCGGCCGTTTTGATCTAGTATTGTTATAAATTATAACTTGTGACTGGATTATAATATTTTAAGAGTACATTTTTTAATTGTGTGACCGAGAATTGCAAACTGATCTGGAGTGAATAATCGCTAGGCCTCTACAATCACTGCTAGGGATGGCCGTAAACGTACTAAATAATATGTAGGGGAATCGGGTTAGAGTAGGCTCATTGCTCATGCAATAATTTCTAAACTAGCTTTAGTGGTTCCAAGATCTTTATTTCACCAAATTGACAGATGCATAAGGTATGAACATGCCAAATTTCATTTCACAGAGTCAAGGGATGAATTGAATGAACTAGGCCTACTAGAATGCAAAATTCCAGACGCCTCTTATGTTGGCATTTCGAGATATATTACCGTAAAGATACTAAAAATATGGGAAATCGGGTTAGGGAGGCTCACCGCGCACGCATTAACTTCTAAACTAGCTTTGGGGGCTCCAAGATCTTTATTTCACCAAATCGATAGATGCATCAGGTATGAACATACCCAATTTCATTAACTCTCTATGTTGGCATATCGAGTTATACCACCGCAAAGTTCCTAGCACCTGGATTCGAGGCGGCGTTCGTGGGTTCAATAAACAAAGGGTACGCCAAAGCTGCACCACACAGCACCCACAGAGTCAAGGGATGAATAAACTACTAGAATACAAAATTTCAGAAGCCTCCTATGTTGGCTTTTCGCGATATATTACCGTAAACATACTAAAACTATGGCGGAATCGGGGTAGGGTCGGCTCACCGCGCACACAATAACTTCTATAACTTCAAGATCTTTATTTCACCAACTCGAAAGGTGCATATGGTATGAACATGCCAAATTTCATTAACTTTCTATGTTGGCGTATCGAGTTATACCACCGCAAAGTTCCTAGCAACCGGTTTCGAGGCGGGTTTCGTACGTGGGTTCAATAAACAAAGGGTACGCCAACGCTGCATCAAAAAGAACCCAAACCAGCTTTAATTGGTGGCAAAATGTTCTAATCCATAGTCAATTCAGTATAAATTCGTGTTAAGAAATATAAAATTAGTGTTTTATTAGATTTCGAGCACTTTATTTTGCCAATTTGCCAAGTAGATGAAATAATTTTTTTTTCACTTTACCCGTCTGCCCGAAAAGTTAGATTGCCCAGAAATAGTTTTATCGTCTCTGTAGGCATTCACATTCGTGGTAAATTTTTTTAAAAAGTATACAATTATAATATGTTTTTCACTTTATCTGTCTCCCAAAAAAATCTTTTGCTTGAAAGTTAGCGAGGAGTGGGGGTGGGGGGGGTGGCCTACCTAATCCCCCGTGTCCTTACACTCTTACAGCCTAATTGGGTTGACAATTAGGTTAAAATTTCCACAATCATTGATATCGAAGTTTGGAATACTGTATTAAAAAGAATTGCGCGCTAAAAATTAATTAATGTGTAATGTGTAATATTAAAAAAAGAAGAAGAAAATTCCGAGTTTTCGTTTTTACACCAAAACCATGGGCCTTATAATATAGTTTAATTGATTATAATAAGGTCCATGTTAAAGCCAAATACTCCGATTTGTCGAAATAATTATTTTCCTAAAACTGGGAGAAAACATAGATTACGATACATGGGAGATAAATCCAAATTTAACACATTACAAAATAGAGTAGTCTCCCCTTAACCGTATTCAAGTTTGGAATAATAACGAATTAAAAATTAAACCAAATTAGCCGTTTTGGCCTTATTTCTAAAACGATTATTCTAATGACAGTATTTAACCAGAGATAATCTATACAGTCTAGTCTAATTAATACCCGATGAAAGAGTTAAGGAAATCGGTTTGTGAATACGAAACAACCGGAAGTGAAGCACCGACATTATTATCGGTCAACAACGTGTGATTCTCAAACATAATTCTAAACAGAGCCTAAAGTCTTGCTAATAAATGTGATGTGAGTATTGAAAATGCCGCCTAAAAAGCAAAATCAACCCAGCAAGAAAACAGAGCAGAAGAAGAAAGAGAAAGTCATAGAGGTACATTACACTACACCACAGTGACAAAAACATATGGGGTGACTACTTCTACTTCTGTGTCCCCTTCTTTCAGAAAAGTTTTCCACCAATTATGCAAGCCATAATTGTTTAGATGAAGCAAGGAGTTTTGGACAAGAACTTTTACATCTGTCATAAATAAACATAAATTTTTAATTGCCATGTAACTTAAATAGGTATACCATAACTGTCGACCTAATTTTATTATTCATGACTCCAGTCATGACATTACTCTAATACTGTGTAATGATTTGAATTAAATTTGAATGACAAGTTACAACTACAACAATTCTTGGTATGAAGATAGTGTACTTGCCTAAAGGTGTTACGCTCAGAGTTCACAAATAATATGTAACAGACATTGCCTGAGTAGAGCGAAGCTTATGTGATTGTTGTTAAAAATAAAACCTTCATAAGCATACCGGTAATTAAGTTTCATATATGATATAATGTCAAATAATTTTGTTATTCCGAATTGATTTTAATTTAGATCTAAATTGTATGATTAATTTTGTTTATAAAAAAAAAAGAAAAAAAAGTGTGAGAATTATTTTCATTTATGTCAATAATATGTGACGTCATTGATTAGACACTTCATAGAAATATTTCTATGAATATGAGATGCATAATATCACTTAGGCAAGATTTGGTAAGTTGGCATGCGCATTTTTAAATTTGCCCAGTCTGTGGGTGACACTTTTATTTTGTTACGCTCCATTGTTACCGGAGAAGAGCTTTGCGCGATGCATTAGAGCTTCACTCTATATTAAATTTTTATAGGGTCTCAAGATAATGATATAATGTAACCGTTATTATAGTTCTACTTCTGTCTTGCATAACTTTCGTGAACAGCATTAACTGAGCCAATCAAATGTTAATGATTTCTTTATAATTGCTTTTATGTTTTTTTTAATGATGTCTTGAAAATGCTGTGATTATCAACATAATCGGACCAACTCTTATTGACAGCTCAGATGACTTCGCTGCTGTAGATGTACATGTATATTTCAATGCCAGCCAACCTATCTCAAATGTTAGTTTTTGGGTTGTTTTTTTTTTTTCAGGACAAAACTTTTGGATTGAAAAACAAAAAGGGTGCAAAACAGCAAAAATATGTCGCAAATGTGACAAAACAAGTTCAGACTGGAAATGTCAAAGCATCTAAGGTAAGTGTATGGTATGATTGAACAATCTTGGCCACTTAGAAATGGTGTAATAATAACAGGGTTAAAGATATTTTCAGGTAGGATTTTCCAGGAAACCCAAAACTATTTATACTCATCCTACAATCTACATGTATGTCTTTCTATTTACAATTCAAATGAATCATATTGATTATTAATTAAATTTTGATACTGTATGTTTGCTCAAAAAAGATAGATATTGCTTAAATGTTGCCAGAAAATTTATGTGTCAAGTAACCAAATTTATTAATAGACATAACTTATAACTATTTTATATTTAATCATTAATTTACAAGCAAGTTACATTCTTTTGACATGACGGTAATAATAACAGTTCTTTAAATTTGTAGACTGCTCAGGCCCAAGAAGCTGACAAGAAAAATAAGAAACTTCAAAAAGAGAAAGAACTAGAGGAATTGAATGCACTTTTTAGACCAGTAAAACAAAGCGTTGCTAAAGGTATGTTAATTTTAACTACACATGTAGGTGTAACTGTAAGCAGGGTTCTTAATCCATTTGGAACCAACCGACCAAAATTGGGTTCAAATGAGGTTTGGGTACGAAATAGGTTAATTATTAAACATACATTATGCAAGAGCTAATCTGCCTATTGCAGGTCTTTCTTTAGGCCTGAAATGTTATCTTAATTATTAATTAGACATTAATTAACTTATCCAGACCATAATCAACTCTCGATGTCATCGCTAGCCTGCGATATTTACTGGATTGGGATCCAATTTGCTGCTCAACTTTCATTCATGATTTAGTCATGAAATGGATAATCGAGACTGTTTTTTATCGTACCGACTTTAGTAATGATGATCGAGGCTAGGCAGAAAATTCAATCACTAAATTCTCGGTTCGAAGTTGGTCAGTTTGACAAATTTTCAGCAAATTCCCTTTACCTTATCTAATTTTGAACTATTATAGTGAGAACTGCCAGCTCTTTATCTAATCTCCCATAATGTATCTTTAAGCTTCCATAATTCTTGGTAATTTGTTATGCAGAATGTCATATTCTAATGTATGGGATTACCACAAATACATGTATAACGACAAATATCTACACCTTTTGATAATTTTCAATATTCAATTCACTCCTTAATAAATTACTGTCTTTGTTTATTCGATTTAAATAGTTGATTTAAAATATTAGCTTATTTCTACTATTGCCAGCATCAGAAAATGCTGTAGCCAATATAAGCTGATACGGCATAGTGTCATTTCTTCATAACACAATGTGTAGTTCTTTATCTATCATGTACATATAACTTTTCATATAACTTGCAAAAGTTTTTATTCATTCGTCGATGATAGACAAACGGCACAATGATCACGTGACAACCATAATTGAAATTGCTTTAAAATAACATTCCATACGACTATTATATAGCCTTCAATAATAACGACAATATTTTTAAAATAGAAGAATGTGTATAGAAGAATGATAAAAAATAATGGTCAACGCTATTTAAAACTGGTTTATTGACCTAATTCCAACCAATAAGTCACATGTGAAATTTAGCATTGGAAATTCTGTCGTGGGGAAAAATATATTATTAATGACTGTTTCTTGGTTCATTTGATGTTCAATGGTCAGTGAATCCACCAATGTATGATCTAGTTATTATTTTAATATCTACCAGTACCTGGAATTCATACGGAGCGTCAAAGACGTTCGATTCGCAAATCCTGAGATCATCTTGTTTTACCACGTAGCTTAATTTTCACTAAGGCAGCTTACTGAACCTGTTATGAATAATCAGCAAGCTTGTTTTGTTTTTTTTACCAGATTATCAAAATTACCATTAAATAGGCTAATTACTCGGTTTATGAACCACATGGCCGATTCTCACTATGGTATGACTACTGTTGTAGCCGACAAGCAAGTTGACTGACTTCTTAATTAACAAGTAATAATTAACCCACTGTAATTTTAGTGCAAAAGTACACCATGGTTTGCTTATTTTGTCTAATTATTAAAATAATATGTACCTGACCAGACATAATAATTGTGTAGCAATAATATTTTTACTAAACTGATAGTGAAAAAACGTCAATCAGTCACTACAGTCAGGGGGTAGTTGGTAGTTAAAATAATGCTAGCCGGATGTGGACAGTGTGGTTGACAAGGCATGCACTGGATGTGGGCGTGGCCTGTCTCTGTTTTTTTTTGTATGCCTTACAATCGCCATGTTTGTTCAACAAATTGAAAACAAGTATGGCTATTATTTAGGGCGTTAGTTGTTTTTATTTAATAATTTCTGTAGTTTTGTAATCAGAGCTTGGCTTTAAGGTATATTTTTAAATATCTTGCATAGTAGCAGAAGACTCAAACCACCTTTTATAAAACTCAAAAATGATAGCGATCAAAATCTTTAACTAAGTATTTGGGAGATTATAAATGATCATACCATATGCTGTGTAGTAAGTATTGCAAAAACAAATAAGCTACGCTCGTATAACCGTTGCTCACTTTGCGAAATCTTGTGATAATTTTAACTGCGAAAGTTATCATCTGATATTTATATTTACATTTGTGCTAATGATATTACAGTACAGAGAGTTTGATTAAAGATTTACACAATGACCTTTGTGGACTGATCATTTTAACACAAAATTACTGTTCTGAAAGTTGGTTTTGTTACCGTACATTTGAATACAACACAGTTTATTTATATTATAGAATACTGGTAATTTAATTGAATGTAATCACAACTTTTAAAACTGGGGATATCATTGCAATCTTTTTCCAGTTGGACATGCACTTCTATATTTCTGTTTTTATCTTTGAATTGGTAAAAACAACAAATTTAGTTGTGATTAAGTAGTTTTAAAATGTAAATCACAAAAATGCCTTATTTCAAGACATAATGGTACATTAACATTGCACTGACAGATATGGCCGAAATAGGCAAAATGGGTGTCAAGTTTAGAAATGTTCTTAATTACTCACCTTTGTGGTTTCTCCTTGGTAATTGTTGCTTCACAAACTATCTTCTCTATGTACAGTCTCACCTATCTCCCCTCTATATGGGAAGGAACAGGAATTAGTATTTTCTCATGGTGCCATCTTTTTAAATTTCACCCATTATAATATTGTATCATGTCTAACATAAGCTTCCAGAACTTGGACATTTGACATGTTGCCAAATTGGGGATGGGGACAGGGGAATATTGCTCAGAATTTGCTGAAGTAAAAGAGTTAATTTCATCACATGACCACATTTCACTAACATTCGACCATTGGATTGATGCAGAATTATATTTTGAGAACAACAAACATGCATGCAGGCCAATACATGTGTAGCTGAGTGATACTGAGAACTGATAAAAAAAAGTAGCACCAACATTGAAAAAGATTTCTGTATCTTGTCAAAAACAAACAGCATCTTTTCATGACACATACACTAGACAAATCACATGCATGTAGGCTAGCAGACGTCAGTTTCTCTGAAATATGTATGGGAGATTACTCTGATTGTTATTTTTTTTAGTCTTGATTATTTGGTAATTTGAACTACTTTACTATTATCTGTTTTGTATTCTTAAAATTCATTAGAATGATTTCCATCAATTGCATTTGGTCTTCTCTTATCACAAATAATTATTGAGCACTTTACTTTATGAATTGTCAGTTCTGGTGTTAATTCACAGAATATCCTTATTTTTCGTTATATCAATATAATAATATTCTAAACAAGATTACATAAAATATGTATGTTTTATAAATGTTTTTCAAGAGATATTTATTCAGGTTTTTTTAATCCTTTTATGCTTTATAGATTTATTTCAGGAATTTCATAGTTTATAAAACTTTTTCTTATCTTATATTTTTGTGTTTAGGTACTGACCCAAAGTCAGTTTTATGTCAGTTTTTTAAGCAAGGTCAGTGTACCAAAGGGGATAAGTGTAAATTTTCTCATGACTTAAATATTGGTCGTAAAGCTGAAAAGAGAGATTTATATACAGATACCAGGGAAGATGGTAAGATAATTATTTTACATTTTTGTCATCTAAAGGAAAAGTGCTTAGAGAAATACATTTGTAGAGTCTGTAGGATTGTGTATTTCAAAGAAAATTTAATTGAAAGTAAAAAAACAAAAGCTAATTTTTGCGCAAGTTTTAATACTATCACAGTTTATATTTTACAAGTCTTTACAGTAAATATCTTGCAGTCTGGAATATTGTGTCTTTAAATTACTGAGCAAATTTATTTATTTTCAGATGTTGAGAGAACAAACTTGGTAAGCACAATTTACATGTTTATCAGATATCAAAATTTTAATATTGAACATTTAATTTAAAGATACATTCCTGCGTACAAACTGGATGATTTGATGATATATTTGGACTAAAAACATATTCAAACTAATTAATCTATCATAATTTTGCTTCAAATCCTTCTCAAAACATTGTAATTACCAAGGAATACCCTGCGATAAAAATCGATCAAAAGAGGTCATGTTTGTGTCACGTGACTTCCTTTCTCTGTACCTATAGCAACGGGGGCGAAGTCGGAGGAGAATTCATTGTATACACAAGACGATGTTGTCTTTAATCGCTGAGTATTTATTACAAATATCGAATCCTAATTAAATTCTCGGATTATCCACTGCCCGCGTCTTTTTCCGCGACTTTTATCTCAGAAAGTGTTGTACATCTAACTCTTCATAAAGTTTATCAACATGTACACCAAGCGCTCAATCTTCGCGTGCGACCTTCGACGCCACACATGCAGGTATTCCTAATCGTCGGGCTGTCGATTAGGGGAACCCTTACAATTTTGTCCTGTATACGCTCCATGAGTGTTTTTCAGGGAATCCAGTATTTTTCTAGTAAGATTGGATATCTCTACTTTCCATATATACCAAAATTTTCATACTTTTATTGGAAATAACCACCGGATAAATACTTTTCTGGGAACCTATCTTTAAGTAATGACATGTGCAGTGCTTACTTTTCACAATTTTTTTAAACACATGACTAATAAAGAATTTAGTGATCACATCGAATTCTAATTTTACTATTTGCATTTATCCAATTTGTATTATGCATTTTTTAAAATTAGTGAAACAAAGAAGCCTATTGACTTATGGGGCTTTTATTGTTGCCTGGTAACCTTACTTCAATAATTCTCTTTTTTTTCTAATCTGTTTTTTTTATACTTTCGATGGCCTCTACTACATGAAGATCTGACCAGTTGTAGTGGGAGCTCGCGTCACGGGTCATACAAGAGGCTTTTGAGTTTTTGACTCTATGACATCAGACATTGAGTAATCAGTCAGTGTTGACGTTTCTAGTGGTTTACCCACAGTTCCATGCACAGCACGCCAAGAACTCACCGTAACAGACCGTTTCATTGGCTAATTCCTCACATCAACCAGAAAGGCTGTTATATAACAACTCTTCCAGTTCCTAGTGTTGTGAAGACAAGTAAAATGAAATTTTGAACTATAAGAAACGAAACGAAATAGGATCTGTGTTTTAATCAGATTGGGTTTTTTTGTCTTATAAACTCACTGTAAATCTTGGTATGTTATGTACAGGTTTGTAAGCATTTTTTGGATGCTGTAGAGAGTGGAGGGTATGGATGGTTTTGGACGTGTCCTAATGGAGGTGACAAGTGTACTTATAAACATGCTTTACCGGAGGGTTATGTTCTTAAAAAAGACATGAAAAAAGAAGATAAAGAAGATGAACTTTCTATAGAGGAGTTGATAGAAAAAGAGGTGCAGTAATGTTAAATTAACAGTCTTGATTGGTATAGCTTTTAAAGCATTGTAGGCTTGGAAGATCTTAAAATACTTTTAAGTTCCACCATTGATTTCTAGCTGTTAAATAGCCAAGAAATCGAGATTTTATTAATTGGTTCTATTTTGCTGTGAACAAAAGCCCAGAAGTATGTCTATTGAAAATTGATATTAAAGACTGTGGACCAGTTACTTAAAACCTAGCTAGGACAATTTAATGAGCATTATTGTTAGTTGTGTGATTTTATCAATTATTTATTTGTAGAGAGCAATGTTGGGTGATAATACGACTAAAGTGACACTGGAAAGTTTCATAAAGTGGAAAGAAAGAAAGGTAACTGTTGTAGTCTAAATGGCTCTAAAACAATGATAGATATATATCAAAGATAATGTCTGTTTGTCCCTGATTGAATAATTTTCTTCTTGACACTGGTTGTTACTAAAAATTAACTTAGAGACATGTACTACAAGACAATTTTCAAGTGGACACCCTTTATTGAATATAGATAATCCAGACTGAATGTATGTTTACTCTTTCTAATACCTTATAGCACTTCTCACTTATTTGATATATTCGCATAGCAATTGAATTTTCGTTTGTTCCATTTGTTTGCAAAAATAAGACATGTTTATTATAATATTTTAGAGAAGGGAGAAGAAAGAGGCTTTTGAGAAAGAAGAAAAAGAAAAGAAGAGTGCATATAAGCAAGGAAAATTAGCTGGGGTAAGTTGCCAAATCCAATGATTTACTTCTGTACAACCATGTGTATGATAGAAGATAGAACTTGGCTTGCTATATAATTTCTCAAAAAGGTACAAGACTATCTGACTGAATGATCGAGACTTGTAACTTGTAGGCATGTTGTGATATACATTGTAGAAATTTGTTAGTTATATTTTTTGAACACGTCTAGATAAGTACAGCTGCGTTATGTATGATTTGTAATCTACTCAGAATGTAGTGTTAATCGTGCATTTTATTTTGATCAGAAAAGCCTGTATCATTCTCACTTCATCAGATTAAGTAAAATTTTAGCTTCATCTTATGACCAACATCGTTTATATTTTAACATTTGCTTTATCTGTAGAAATAAAGTTTTATTGTTCATCCAAATGAACATGTGTCCTTTAAGTTACTATGCAGACAAGATAAAAAGCAACTTTGCTTTCGAAGTACTGTATAATATTTTTTGGGGTGTGTTAAAAATGTGGTACTTTTATTTTATGGTTAATTCTACTATTGTTAATAATTGGATATTATAGATTAGTGGAAGACAGATGTTTGAGTTTGATCCTACTATTGCTGGTGAAGATGATGAGGATGCTGATGATACAATAGATAGAGAAAAAGATGAAGAGGTAGGGAGCTCTAATGTTTTATGCATTTGATAAATTTGCTCTATCAACATAAAAAAATAATGAACAAACAGTACAATCTAATATGGCAATTTAAATCAAACTATTGATTGTTTAAAGTATGTATTTATTGGATAAGGAACAGCTGTTGTTAATTATATCTATAATAGAATAATACTGTTAGTTTATAGAACTTATGTACCGGTATATAAATTTATTGATTTACTTGTAACACCTATAAATACCTGTACAGTATTCGTTGAAGCATTAAGGTTCAGAGTTCAGCTTTCATATTTTATCATGATAGCATTCACCCTCTTCCCAGTAGTGTCCCATTCATTGAACTTAGTACATGTATTTTTATGCTCCCACATTTCCATGTGGACATATTGTGTCATCATCCATGTCCTTCCGTTCACATTTGTTTGTGGACACATTACAGGTCACAATTTTTAAAACATTATATCTGAAAAGGCTAGGATGAGTCCAATTTTAACACATATTTTGGATTATTGCCCTGAATTTTGTGAAAATCGTGCACATACCTTGTGGACCCTCTTTAGATGTCTAAATTTTTATTTTACTTTTTTTTTTAAAACTTATGTTTAATCCCAAAGGTCTCAGTTGGCAACTGTGTGTCTACTTTTTCAAATGAATTTCAAATAAATATATGAATTGTTAGTTATAACAATTGAACAGTCCCTGGCAAATGAGAATCCAGTATCAGATATCCTAGAAAGAGTGGGCATGCCATTCTCTGTACTAAACCAACCACTATTTACAGCCCATTGGATCTTTAATTCAATACATGTACCAGATACACATATAAATATTAAAATTGTATATTATAGGATGTTTATGAAGGCCCAGTAGTTGATGTGATACTAGAAAATATAAAGGCTACAGATGTAGATGCCAGTGGTACACAAGCTTCTAATGAAAGATTAAAAAATATGAGAGGTAAGTTGAATTTATTACAGTACTGTTTAGTATTGTCCTCTATGTAAGCTGCGATTGTATTTGATAAGGAATAGGGTCACCTTCCTAACCGTGTGGGTGTGGGTTTACTCCTGTTTCTGTCCATGGAATGTTCCAAGCATTAATATAGATATGTTACTATTAGTCATAAAATGATCTAGGTTCTCTTTTTTCAAATCTGTGAATATAAGAGTAATTAATGTAAGAGTAATCTATCTGTATTGTAAATCTTTGGTTGGGTAGTATTTACAAATGCCTAGTTACAGTATGTGCTGTCAAGTATCTCATGAACACATGTTCTGTTAGTACACACACAAATATTTCAATATTCAAATTCAACTAACTATTCAAGGCTCTTTGAACTGGAATTTAATCTACTTTGTGTGGACTATATTGATATTAGTTCCATCCAATCAAACGATAGACAAACAGATAAAGCCATTTTTACCGATTTGAAAGATTTATAATCTCTAGAAATTTGAAAATGTACTAAGAACAGTCCAAGGAATGGAGTTTAATGTCTCATCAGTCCAATACTTTGGTCATTTTGAGACTCGCCATACACTTTTGTTTCCTCTTCAATTTCCGTAGGTCCGAGGGTGGGGCAGTCTTTTGCATGCACTCCAATGTGTACGCGGGAGGACCTCAATTAAAGCCCTTTTTGTCAGCCCCGTTAGTGCTTCCCCTGGTAAGTGGGAATCAAGCTCAAGAATCCTCAGATTTTTTTTGGCCCATGTTGGGATTTGAACCCTGGATAGTCTAGTCAAGAATTCAGTTCCGTGCCCTTACCACGGCCCCCTCAATTAAATTTAATATTGGAATAGCAATTCAATAATGAACTGAACAGTGATCAGCAGTAGAGGCTTTACAACAAGTAAATATATTATCATTATTGATGTCATGTTCATATTTCAGAATCGAATAAATTAGATATAGCAGCTGCCCTACCTCCTACAGCAAATAGTACTTCAGCTGACGAACAGATTGCAATGGCAATAGCAGCAACAGAAAATGGAGAAATTGCTAGTGATATACCTATTGATGAAGGATTGTTCGATGGTGACGACATTGATATAATTGATGAAGATTTAGAAAATTTAGATTTGGATGAGGATTGATGTTTGTTCAAAGGAAATTAAATTCATGGATGATTTTATTGAAATGTGCTTTAAATCTGGAATGAACAATGTGTTAAAAACGTATTGACCATTTTGCCATGTGAAGGAAGGATCATGTGATGCTTACTACATTGGACAGACACAATAACGGCAAATAAAACTGTTTTAAATTGATTAAATTACTACAAAAACAATCCTTCCGGTTACAGTTCTTTCAGTGTGTACGTGAAAAGTTATATTGTTATGTGCCATTTATACTTTTTTGGTCGGTTAACTTTTAGGGGATAGTTATTGCTGACAATGATTAATTGCTGAAACAGTCCAGTGGTTAAAATGAAAGTGAATAGAAAATAGCAATATTGGAAATGATATTTTAAAAAAGAAAACGATGGATGACTATTAGAATTATGTCGGTGGTTCTTTTTTTGATGCTTCCAAGATGAGAAAACATTACTAATGCAAGAAAAAGTCAATAGCATCTCTTCTCTTCTACCACAATAATTTTCTGATTAGCTGCTTCTTTTGTTTACTTTGTCAATTCACTTTGCAAAATGAACTAACTTGCTATGTTGATATTTAAATTTTTTCCTCTATTCGTAGACCTGCACAGAATAAATTGACACCTTTGTACTGTATCCAAAATACATTTTAATTTCACAATGTTTTCTGTCTGTCCTTCTTCAGTCACACCATTTGAAATGCGGTGACTAGTAAAGGTTTTTTTGATATAACTCAATATGACTGTCATTTGCTAACCAGTATGTTTAAACATCAATACCATCCTTGCAACTGTTATCTGATTGATAGACTTTAATATACTTGAAGTATACTTTTATTATCACAATCAGTTGCCACAATTCAAACATCAGTGCCATCTATAGATATTTTATCAGCCTACTTGTTACATTGTATGTTACTTGTAGTACTGACAAAATGTGAACAAAACATCAGTTTCTAGTCGCTGTTTAAACATCAATTATTAACACCATCTTTTGAAATGCAATCACTTCTAGTAAACGGGAGTAAACTAAACTAAGAGTACATCTTCAGAACAGTCCCTAGCTTCAGTTCAAATCAAATACTATTATAAACCTCACCAAAGTTTATGTAAATGCATTTGCGCCATGTAAAATGTCTTAACTGGAGGAAGGCAGGGAATGTATCCATGAATATATGGTTTGGAGATATAACTAACAATAAACAGCCTCTCCGATACATATACATACAATACAACCCACTAATAAATAATTTTCTATTATGTAACTCTAATTACATGTTCATATAAACTGCAACTACCCTCTTAAAGGAAATGAGCCGTCTGTTTCTACTTTCTAACAAAAGATAGATAGTGATGACATCTAAGATCAACTTCTTGTAGTAGCGCCAGTTTATGTCTTACCCTTAGAGAGAAAGAATGTGTTAGTGACATCCTCAAAACTACCAAACCTTTTCATACACATTAAAATTGATGTTTGTAGTGAACTGGTCAAATTTGTTTATATTGTGTGTCAAAATTAACTGTTAATCATATTTCTACCCTTTATCTTTGACAATTGTTAGTTCTAATTTTTTTGGTCCATAGTAAGCATATGTACATTTGTATCTAACAATGCTGTGTATTTTTCAATATTGGTTATTATATTTGTTCAAAAGAATTCTTTGGTTAAATTTTACAATTTATTATTTATTAAAATATTAGAAGTTATTGTTTAGAGTTTACTTGTGGGTATTTACAATATGACAGAAAGATCTAATAACTGACTAAGAATTAAAGAGTGTTATTAATGTGAGGTGTAAATAAACAGAAACCATGAATATTGTGATATACATACATAAGAATGTACATCTATTTGAATTATTATATAACCTCATATAAATGAGGTTGTATATTGTCATTGCCGCTCAGTCTATCCAATGCCTTTTAATCATTCCACAGGTTCACAGGATAAGACTTAATTTTCAAACTTGCTGGGCATATTTAACTGCTCATAAATATAAATCCTCGATTAAATTTAAGAGTCCCTACCATTGAAACCATGTGATAGGTTTACATGTAAGGATACAAATACTGGATACATATGTAGAATAAACTGGTGTTGACTAGAATGATAATAGAATGAAACTTCTAAACTGTCTAGCTAGGACCTTTAAACTGATTTAAAAATGTTGAGTGCTTGACTTTCTTATCTTGAGCACTTGACTCGGTCAGCATGTATAATTATACATTTGTTGTAACTTTGATAATATACAACACAATTTTAATTTCAAACTTTCTGTATACAAATTGATCACTGTAGCTGAACTTACATAAAAAGTTGGAGATTAAACCCCATTTCATTTCTAAAAATCATAATTATTCTCAGAGCTTTAAAGGAAAAATTAGAGGTTAAAATTCAAAAATTTATTTCCCTGGCAAATGTAACAAAATATGCAGTAATTGCCCACCTTGTATGTTAGACTGTACATGTATTTAAGAGATATCAAGGGGAAAATAGGCCATTTCAAATAATGTACTGTAATTCATCTAGCATCTGATTGAGCATATCAATTTGGTAATATATACATTACAGTTCATTAATTATTATGGATCTATCTCTCTCCTACTCACAAGCTATTCATTAGTACTACACTGTAATTAATGTCAAAAATTCCTTCAACATCCCCAAACATAATGAAATAAAATATACACAATTTAAAGTTTGTTGTTATTATTTCATTTATTCATGATCAGACAAAGCATGTTTATTATATCAGTATACCATAATATAAATAAAATGAATACAATAAGATGCATTATATAAGATTTAGATATGGCCGGCTTTGGCTAATCCACTTAATATCTAAAGGATGTCTAAAGAGTTGATTTGGGGTTTGTCAAATAAATAAATAAATCTCTAATTTATAATGTATATAATATTTGAATCCAGACAACAGACTAATCATAAACAGAAATAGCTCCCACACAATGCCTCTTTAGAGAAGTTAGAAGAAAGATCTTGACAAGCAAATTGTTCTAGCAGACTGTTCAATACAATAGTATACAGGGTGAATAATCTTTGTAATATGAAATGTAAACAAGAGGAGAAGACAAATTATACTGTGGGGGAATATGAAAGCATATCATGAAGAGATTACTTTAAGATCTGTGCAGTACTTTCACAAAAATAAAAATAATATTGGTAGGTAGCACTGTATCAATTAATTTGAACAGAGAGTGCCAGCCGGTAACAGATCTTACAATTAATTACACATAAGCTATAGATGTGTGTCCATTAATTGAAAGCAAACAGCTATATTGACATTTCAGAATAACTGTGGTGGCCTTTGTGCGTTATGGATAAGGCTTTATTTTCAGACTATTTTTGCCAAGCAACACTTGTATCTGTGTGTATCAAAGTACAGATAAATATGTACTAACTTTTTTCTAATAATTATGTCCTTTTATGTAATGGTAATTTTTTTTTTTAAACATAAATGTAGGAGAAATTCACTAACGAAAACAATTAAATAAATGATAATAGTAAAATATATGTCCACTGTATCTAACTCCACTTAATAGCAATTTTGAGTTTCTCCATTTTAAATTTTCATCATTGTTTTTAGAAATTAATATTAAAACATTTGACTGTCTGTAAGTATATAGTTTATTTCTTTTCAGTTTGCTTCTAAACTTCTTATTAAAAATTGACATTTTAACATTTAAAAATATTTCAACAATGTACATCTTTTACCTTAAGTTAAAAGTGGTATGTACATGTATACAGCTTTGGTTAGTTTGTATGAAAGAGTATTGATGGTCAGATTTAAAATTTGTCCATATTCTATGATTGACTATACATCTCAAATGTGTTGATATTCTATAATTGACCATACATGTAAAATGTAGATCGGTGCATAACAATAAATAAACTAACAAATACGGGTAATAGTAATAAATAAATCATCAAACAATTTCCAGTGTTAACAATTATATAGAGAAATAAATTGGTAGCATAAAAGCAATTTTATTTTGTGTATTTTCTTTGTGAACTCTAAATCCGTATAATCTGTAAGTTCATAAATGATAATACTATAAAAAGATTTCAGAAAATAAATGAGCTATGCCAAATATATAGGTAGAAATAATCTTATCAAGTTAAAAAAAATTATATTTATAAATTTTCTTAGAAAAGTTGATTGTACATGTAATACAATTTAAATTCCAGGTAGTATAACATTGGACACTTAATTTGTTTATACAAACAAACTCTTGCTAAGTAAATATTTTCTATTCTAAAGTCCACTAATTATATAATAGATCTAAGTTAAGAAAATGAACATTCTGTTGTTATTAAACTATTCAATAAACTATTGAACATGTCTTAGGCTTATAGATTTAATTAATAGTACCAAAAAACTTTTGATTCTTAATAGCCTTGAGACTTCTTTCCTACATATTATATTTTATGGACAGATTAGAAAAGATTGAACTATAAAGCCTATTTTTAAACAGGAAGATTTTACATGAATATCTTAACAATAACCAGATTTATAAATTCAGTCATGCAATAAAGATATATTTCTAACAGAGCTATTGCATACAGTTGAAAGTGAAATCCATTTGCATTTTTAAATCTAAATACAATAACCATTCATCAATATGCATTATGTTAAATTAGCAGTTAAATATATACACACTCTAATCATCTTTGTAGTAGAACATACTCTTGTAATTTTCTAGGAAGTTTTAGTTGAGGAATAACATTGGGTAGATATCGGTATCTTAATCCTGATCGTATCTTATGTCTACATAGGGTTAGCAGGGAACGTGGTAATACACAGAATGGAAGCAGCATTTCACTCAATTTATTATCCCTTGCAATATCGGCAATTAGCTCTCCTTTAGCATTACGTAGATCGAACTGTCCTGAAGCCTTGATGAGTAATTCTAAGCAAGCATCGTCATTATCTGTATTTAATCCACTGGCTTGAATAGCAGCAGCTCTCATTAAAGCAGTCTGTCCATTTAGATTTCGAGTTGTTACATCAGCATTATATTCCAGTAAAATTTTAATAATTTCTAAATGACATTTTCGTGCAGCCCAACTCAAGGCTGTGTCATGATTATAATCCAATACATCAACATATGCTTCGTTTTGTAACAGAAGTTTAACACACTGTACATTGTTTGTATAGGCAGCCCAATGTAAAGGTGTATCATTATTACCATCACCAACATTAACATCTGCACCATGTTGTAATAGTATATCTACACAAAATACATCTCTTTCAGCAGCATAATGTAAAGCTGTTCTTCCATATCCATCTACTTCATTAACCTGTCAACGAAACATAGAGCACTGACAAGGATGTGAATAGATAAAGAAAACTCACTTCTTTGGTCAGATATAACACTCTTGCAATCTTTAGATTCCATTTTCTATGAAATGTTAATTCAAGCATCTATGGACTAGCCGTCTCTATGGTTTTCAGATACATCTAATTTGTCTAATGATGTACATGTACTTGTATTTGTGATCACTTTAAAGTCTTAATCTTTTAAAGAATTCTAGAAGGTTACCATATTGGACTTATCAGATGCTTAAAATATGTTCAAGAGAAAAGGTGAGCTTTCATTTTAACAAATCTGAACAGAGCAATCCACAAAACCGACCCAGTTTTGTAAGCAGCCCAAACAGGTTGTAGCATTCTGATTGTTAGGGTAAATACAGATACATGTAGGTTGCCAGGCAAAAACTCTTTTCACTAAAATTACAAAATACTACATAGTATGCAAGGGCAATAACTTAGGAAGTTATAGAAATCGCTGATGAACATCCGACTTCTTTGACTCACTCCTGTAAATGACACATCAATTTGCAATCCTCGGAACTGACAACAATAATGGCAATACATGTATGTTAAATATGACCACCTTTGCACAAGGCACTATATTTGCATACTTTAAGTTATACATACCCTAGCTCCCTTCTGTAATAGAAGCCTCAAACAGTAATTATCACTAGCCATACAGGCACAATGTAATGGTAATAATGTACCATGTAGGCGATTAACATCTGCTCCTAATTCTATCAACTGTTCTATATCATCATTAGAGTTAGAAAATGTACGCCAGTTACTGATGGCTCTAATTAATCTGTCGGATAAATTGTATCTTTGCTGTAAGTTTTCCATCACGTACCACATAACGTTCTAATCCTGCAAGATAAAATCATCTTACTTTAGAATTAAGAAGTCATTACATATCTCTTCAACTAAGTTAGATACAGTTTTGTTCCTTGTAGTCCAGTGATTTAAAATAAGTCATTTGAATCTTTGATAAATTAACAGTACATATAAATGGTGAACTGTTGTCTCTGTAGAGAGTACAAATCTAACTCTGAATACCAGTACATGCACATACCTGACCAATTTAGCATTTAAATTTAGCAGTGCTTTAGAATCAACCTTTTGTGCTCTGAAATAAAATAAAATTAGTTATTCAAATGGAAACATACAGTGATTGGTTAATTTTAATAAGATTTTTATATCGGTTCTCATGAAATGCTGGTATAACACTTCAAACTACCAGTAGTGTGTAGTGAGAAAACGGTTCACCAACTGCCGATTTGTATTTCCTCAAAAATAATAATTTGACATCTTTTTTCTGATGATCAACTGTACTTTATATTTGGATTTTATTCTGGCATGTTGGCACTTGTATCACAATCTAATTTTCTGACCATTGTGTCATAATATTCAGAAGCTACATTCTGCCTTACAATTAATTACATGTAGGTCACTTTAAAGTTCATTTAGAAAATCTCAATTCCCGGCCATAATTTAATAGCTTCTATTTGTTTGCATCAAGAAAATGAGTTAATGAAATTGCGCATTTAATAAAGAAAACCTGTTGCGGTAGCTTTAATATCGTAGATATTGTTGGGGGTATTTTAAGAGTGCTTAGAACAGGAGGAGGATCTGCAATCATGTGACATTTGTTTTATATGTGACTTACTCCAGAGGTATAGCTAGAGATATCTAGACAAATAATTGATTTAAACATCTCATTTTTCACAGACATTTAGCCTATAACTGTATGGTCATTTGAGAGTTGGGACTCAATAATAAAACAGATACATGTACTACCAAAAAGGAAATGAAATAAAATGGGTTTAAGGAGATGACTTATTACTGTACCACTACTAGTATGTCTGTTCTGTTTTCATTTTTATGATTAAACATACATTATGCAAGAGCTAAATCTGCCTATTTCAGGTCTTTCTTTAGGCCTGAAATGTTATCTAAATTATTAATTAGACATTAATTAACCTATCCAGGCCATAATCAACTCTAGATGGCAGCGCTAGCCTGCGATCTTTAGTGGATTGTAAGCCGATTTACTGCATAACTTTCCTTCTCGATTAAACGATTAAATGGATAATCGAGACTATGCTGTTTATCGTACTGACTTTAGTAATGATGACCGAGGCTTATGGGAATTTTAGTCGCTTAATTAAAAAATAGTTCTTGGTTCATAGTGGATCAATTTGAATGAAATTTTCACCAAATTGCCTTTACATTATCTAGTTTTTAACTATTATAGTGAGAACTGCCAACTCGTTACCGAATATCCCATAATGTATCTTTAAACATGCATTATGCAAGAGCAAAATCTGCTTATTACAAGTCTTTCTTTAGGCCTGAAATGTTATCTAAATTATCAATTAGACATTAATTAACTTATCCAGACCATAATAAACTCTTGATGTCAAGGCTAGCCTTCGATGTAGGCTACGAATCATGTAGACTATTTATTTCCTAGATTGATATTCATAAAAAAATTATATGAATATGAATGATGGCAATGTATTATAATAATAATAGGCTAACTACAACAGTACAGCATATCAAAGTTGTATCAATTATGCATCTAATCTAAGCAAATCAAATATGGCAGGAGTCTATTAATTCCATAAACCATAGCTCGTGGATGTGATTTTATTTACAGCTGCTGGTTAAAAAGTATGTTCTATTCTAAGCACTATCGGTTATCGGGCAATGTTTACTGGAAAAAGTGAAAGGACGGCAGTGCTCCAGACCATAGATACGGTATTATCTATGTCCAGACAGATGTGTCGTTTACAGCAAAACAATATAAAGGGAAAAAATTGCATAATAATAATAGTAATAGCACCAAACAAACCCACTTATGATAAATCGACACTGTGTCCAGCTTGACAGCTTTGACAGCAAGTAGAACCATTAAATTCCCCGGATATCATACGTTTTCTATCAACAAAGCTGACCCAGTGAGTTGACCTTAATAAACCGGAACACAAACATTCACATTCCGTTATCCAGGTCTAAATCTATTTGTTAAGACCAGCTCAATTTTAGTCAAGGTCGATTAGATCATGGACCTTATCATACAAGGTGAGGTCCGTGATAAGATGTAAATACGGTTAGGGCACGTGATTGTTGACGAGATTGTAGGTTAGGGTTAGCATTATGGCTAGGTCCAAGCTTAGGGTTAAGGTTGGGATTTCGCGCTAGCCCTGTTTACATCTCGTGGCCTTATCAAATAGATATAACCGTTATCCAGCCATAGACCTCATTGCGGTTAATCACCAAACTGGTCCGCAGTGGATCTTATTTTATCCCCAACATTACTAAAAGTGAAATATAATATGACAACATTGATGACGTCAATGTATGACAAAGTGAAGATTCTGTTATTTACAATACATTTTTTAATATAAATCAGTTTATATACACATTTATGTTAAATAATTATGTGCCTTTTGACCCATTTTCGATCTCATAAATTTGCAAATAAAACAGGGTTTTCGGTTAATTGATTAATTGACACAAAACGTCAAAACGTATCATTTCAAACTCTAGCAATTTTATTGTTGTGTTCTTTTAAAGTAAAATTAATTCTAAACATTAAAGCTATTACAAATAGCCTAAACCAAGACCAAAATTCTAAACTCAATTTTGTTGTAGTGCACAAATATGTTATTAGTAATATTATTAAAATTAATTGTGAAAAACAAAGTATAGAGTCTAGAGATCATAGTCATATTCCAGGGGCGTGCTGGCCCCGAAGGCGCGCCGCTAGTGTCTGGGGAGCTTGTCCCCCCAGAAAATTTTTGAAATTTGACAACGGGAAACGCGTTTTGCAAGCACTTCTGGGAGAAATCTAGGTATCATATTTTCCAAATTTATGCTGCTATTTTGACTATAAATACTACTACACAAGACACTCATGACAGGTCTGCTTAATATAATGCTAATACAATGTATTTCTATCCAAATAATAAATTGCCACTTATACATATCGAGGCATGAATACATGTATCAAAGACCATTTCACCTTAAGGTGACAAACATTTGCAGGTCAGCATAATATATTTTACTAATCGTTGTGTATGTATGATTTTTCGCGTGCGCACTCTCAATTTTTTGAGGGGATTCCGCGTGAAAATTAAAGCTCTCAGGGGGGCCCGCTTATACGGGTGGACTTATTGTTTAATGGGGGCCTGGGAGGACACCGTCCTCCTAAACTCCCTGCCAGCACGCCCCTGTCATAATCTGATAAAAGATAGGTTCCCACAGCAACCAAGTCTACCAAAAAGCCATAATGGTTGTCACAATGTCTTGACAAGTCCACAAATTTTTCAGTTTGGACATGGGCAATAACTATGTTATAAAAAAATGTTAGGTCGTGGGTTCAAAAGTGATACAGAACTGAGGGCCTTGTCAGGAAGATGTGCCTAGTCAATCGGTTGGGACAAATACTGATGTCTCATGTAGACATTGGCGTTCACATAAAAGAACCTTAAATAAGAGTTCATCGTAGCACCTCTCTGTCCAAGCTAAATTCCCCTCACAGCACACTGCATGGTGTTTGATGCCCATGTCATTAGCCTGGTTGATGTAGAAAAGTAGGACTTATAAACACAATTTCATTTCATTAAAAAAAAGGTTGAAAATCAATAAGCTTTATCTCACGAACATAACCATGATTAACAAGGCAATTGGGTGGAGCATTCATAAGATTTTTCAAATTGATCAGTCTTTGTTCCTTTTCTGAAATACCTGGGGTCTCCTGAAACTACAAGTATAGTGGCAATCTGTTTCACAGAGAATTACGAGTCTCGTATAATATCTCTGTCACAGATGACTGCCTTAACACGTGCTGTCACAGCACGCGGTGTGAATCATTGGCTGAATGGCGCGTGCTTTGTTTACATAAGACATAACTGCTTCGGAGAGAATGCTGCATTTTAGTCATTTTAATACCCATTTACACTAAATCGGAAATAATTTTTAACTACAAATACGTCAAACGCCTTTATTTATTTTTCCAATATATACAAAAAATGTTTTAGAATTTAATTTGTCGCAGGAAAAAAGTTAATATTTCTAGCTCATTAAGCCGCATCAATGTCATCCTTATCAGTGATTGTCGCGGCCTAGCAAATATTCACTGCGGATCAGTGTGGTATAGTGGTCAACAATAATTCTTGTAGGGATAATCAAGTCTTTTTAGTGAGCCTTACAGAGCATTTTAATACCCATTTACACTAAATCGGAAATAATTTTTAACTACAAATACGTCAAACGCCTTTATTTATTTTTCCAATATATACAAAAAATGTTTTAGAATTTAATTTGTCGCAGGAAAAAAGTTAATATTTCTAGCTCATTAAGCCGCATCAATGTCATCCTTATCAGTGATTGTCGCGGCCTAGCAAATATTCACTGCGGATCAGTGTGGTATAGTGGTCAACAATAATTCTTGTAGGGATAATCAAGTCTTTTTAGTGAGCCTTACAGAGCATTTGGATACAGACCACCATTAATTCTCTCCCCTTTCCCCCCATTTTCCATGGTGATTTTTTTTTTTACTTTTGGTGTAAAATGTAAGTAAACGGTTTGAATTTACAGTTTCTGCCAGGTTTTAGTGAGTATTCATGATTTTGAGGGAGAAGGATAACAGATAGTATGCTGCTTCCAGTTTGTGTATCAAGATCTCCAGGGTGAACCTCATGGTTTTTTTTTTAGCAAGGCGTTGCTGTTGCCTAATGTTGCTTCATCTGTGGTAGAAAACGTTCAACACAACAAAAATTTGGGAAAATGTTAGAGCTAGTCAAAGAGACCAAAATTAACATTGAAGTCATTGGGGGGGGGGGGGAAGTCAAATAAAAGGCAACCTGAGCCATCAACACACAAAAAAGGGTCTGCAGACAAAAAAAAATAATCTCCATTTAATAACTTTTAATGGAATATTTTATTGATTTAATAACACACATGCAAATGTTTCAGTCTTCTTTTAAATATGTAAAAGATATGAAATAAAACAAATATTTACAGATTACTGGATCCAGATAGAGTTTCTATTGGAATTTACATTCTGGTAACACAACTTCTTTTTTAATGATTTATTTAGGTAATTCTTTACCTACATGTACCTTTCTTCTCTTTGGTTTTTTGTCATAAAAATAAACATTTGTTTAATTGGTAACAAAATAATAATTATATTTTATTTCACAATACAATGCTGAATTGAATTCATTGGAAGATAATTTCAGACTTTATTAGGATCAAGATTTCTTTTAATCTTCTATTATAGTTATTAGCACTGTCAAGGCACAATTCATTAATGATCATTTTTTCAATCTTCATTTTGTATAATTATGCATCTATAGTACTTAATGGTTCAATCAACTGGGTTGTTTTATGTGCTACTAAAATATTTCCAACAACAGAACATAATATTCACATCTATTTTTGATATGAATAAAACAACACGTATAATGTTCATTTATTTCTCAATGCTAATATAGAACTGTTTCTTCTTAGGCCAACTGTTTTAACACACAGTTAATTTAATAAATGTTAAAAGGCCAATAAACCAAGCCATACAAATGTTTTCCATGAAATGGAAATTATATGATAATAATTGTTAGATGGTTTGTCTTCTCTTGTAAGGTACATGACTTGAGTAAAAATTGTTATTTTTCATTGATGTTAACCTTTCTCTTTCTGCTGGTGGTATATTTGGACGTATTTTAAAATTGGGGCCATGAAGTGTATAAAATCTTCTCAAAGCTTTATCGATTTCCTTCCTTATGAAAAGCATAAAAAGCTTTTGACCGATGGGATTAAGATGGACTCCATCATCTAGCATATGTGGTTTTTCTGGCCCCCTCCTGAAAAATCTTTCATGTTTTGATAATCTAATTTTAGTCTTGTGCTTAAGCATGCGTTTCAGTTCACTATTCAGTTCTTTACGATCTTTATCATAGTCTTCAGCCGTTTGATAACGAGGTTTTGGGCGCACAAATACTGATCCTATAAGTACAGGAATTCCTCTAGAGTGAACAATACGTTCAGCCAATCTCACCATAGCACTCGCTATAGACTCGGGTCGTTTTCTTGGATTGATATCATTTCCTCCACTTTGTATGAAGACTAGATGTGTTGATTCTGGAATATCATCAATCATAGATAAGATGTTTTCTATCTGAAATCAGACATACAAATATTTCTGTTAATATCAGTTCAACCTAAAAATTAAATTTGAAAGATGAGGCAATTTAAGCTGGAGTGATAAAGGAACATCTAAATTTTATATCTGTTAATAAAAATAATAATACATTCTTATGTAGCGCATTCTAAAACATAACAATTTACACAGTAAAAAGCATGGCACATTTTCAACACGCTTTACAAAATAATAAAACTACATAAGAGGAAAATTTCAGTAAAACTGCAATAAAATACACGATTTACAAAATATAAAAAATTAAAATAAGATTGTTACAGATAATAAAACTAAGTAAGAGGAAACTTCAGTAAAACTGTAATAAGATATGTAAAAGAGTAACTATAAAAACATGACGACAAAAAGTTTAACATCCGAAATGGCGGTGGAAAAGATGGGTTTTGATTAGTTTTTTGAAAGTTTAAATGTTCATCAAGGCTCTAATTTCGCATGTCAGTCCATTCCATAAGGTAGGGGCATATCGTGAGCAGATTCGGTCACCGTAAAATTTATTGTTTGCTAGTAGGCAAGTGATGGTGCTTGGGTAAAACGGGTTGCTTTTAGCAGTCTCTTGAGTATAGAAGATAAAGGCATAAATGCCCAATCACATCATTTTATGGTGGTAAAGATTTTGTTGGACAAAATATAAACCCAAATTTTGGGCCTTCTTTGAGAGAGAGAGAGAGAGAGAGAGAGAGAGAGAGAGAGGGGGTTTAACTCCACTCCACACAAACTAGATTATTTCGGGACTAACATATGGTTTAATTTTATTTCAATAATTCGCTTGCGCGTAGGGGTCTTTAGCGGTGGGAGGAAACCGGAGGACCGGGAGAAAACCCACAAGGTTGGACAGGCGACCCTACTCCTTGTCAGCCTTCTTTGCGGGTGCAGTTTATTGTGCTTTATGGTTAAATTGTTAGAAATGCTAATTTTATTGCATTTAATAAATTGACTGCGGTCAATTTCACTACACGTAAGAGTCCTAATAAGACAAGCTCAAGCCAAAGCTGGCAAATATGAAGTGAAGTGAAATGTGGCTTAACGTATTACTGTTCTGCTTCGACTGGGCTAATGAAGATGTTAGATCATAGATGGGCATATGCCTTACACTGTACCAGGGGATCTTTTATGTGCATGCTAGCACTAGGTTGGGACCTCGTTTTTTTGTACCATCCGAACAACTTGACAGCTGTCCTTGTCAGGCCCTCCGTCCTGCACCACTGACAAGGGTAAACCATGCCACAATGAACTTTCTCGGCCAACACCAGGAGCGAACCTGCAACCTCCAGGATAGTGAGAAACGTCTTACCCACTGACCTTGCATTTGCAAATTAATCTGAAGGCGAGCCCCAATTTTAATATACAGTCAGTAGGCTACCATTTATGTCAAAAAAAAAAAGGTGGTAATGGCATGCCTGTTTAGGATTAAGTGACATTTATATTTAAATCAAAGCTTCTATTCCATTATACTATGTATGATTACGACAATCTGTATCCCAGAAGCCTTTCGCGCCAGTGAAACATGGCACATCATGCATAAAATGTATCACTAACTTAGCACTTTTTACCATTACAGTTTGTACTGTTAAAAATAGCATGTGTCAAAAACAGACATGTCACCTGTGATCCAGACCGCCCATGATAAGAAATATCATGTTCGGGATGAACCTTTTCTCTTGTATCTCGAGAAAACTCTTCCAGTCTGCGTACAAACGAATGACCTAAAATTGCTACTTTCATGTTTCGAGCCAAACGAACTTGTCATGCGCGCTGTTGGACTGGCCACAAATCCCAAAATACAGACGACAGACGTTACTCTCTCTTTTTGTAACACACAATTTTTCATTTGTAAATGCTTAAGCTTACTTTATTTCTACACAGCCGAAGTAAACGACTGAACACAAACATTGGTATTTCGAGATAGGAATTGGAAAGTCATTTATATAATTCGTTTCGGACTATAGTCAGGACACTCCCAAATTTTATACATTTGCTGCGGTATTAAAACATGTCAGCCCCCATTTGTCAATGTGACTTTGTTTATTAGTTTCATCATTTTTAAAGAATTTTTGAGTTTTACGTAATACAATGCTTCGACGAGAGAGCCAAAAGGCGGTGCACCGTATTGTCTGGTTAATATTTTGATATGTCATTGTCATTTTTTAATTTCGATGAAAACTATCTCGTCAACACTAATAGTAGCATTGCCAACGGGTTTTCAGATACTACCATTGACTCAAAAATGACAACGATACTGCAATTGTGAACTATCTAGAATGAATAATCTGAAAAAATTTCGAAAAGATATTGAAAATTAAAAAAGTTATAGCGTTTTAAAGAAGGCAAACCAGAGGCGCTAAAAAACGGCTTTTTTTAAAAACCGCAAAAAAGTGACCGAAGCCAATATCTCAGTAACTATACAAGATAGGTCTATGAAAATTGCACTAATTAAAGATCTAGATGTACTTGATAAAGCCAAATTGTCGCTATAATATTCTAGTATATACTTTTTATGTTACAGAGGTTCAAAGTTGGGATCCGTGCCGATTTCGCACAAATCACAGCAAAATTTTTTTCAAATTTGTGTTTACTTAAATTGTAGCGCTTTGACATTAATACAGAGGCTTATTTTTTAATGAATAAGCACACATAAAAGTGTTTTCAGTCTGTTCTGTTATTTATTTTTTGCATGACAACACCTTAAATCACAATTTTTGACTGTATGATGTCAATGTCGAAGAGAAACAAGTTTATGTATGTAATTGGGCATCTACTGGTTCCGAGGCCATTGACCACTGGCCATTCACAGTCATACAACAATTATAAACCGGTTATACTAACGTATACTGTGGATATTTTTAAAAATCATGAAAGTGTGTGGCAAAATGAGAAATAAACCTGTAAGCTTTTGGCAGATTTGCCGCCTTTGCCACGCCAACTGCTTTAGTTGTTTAGAAGCTGCCATGTACATCAATTTGAAATTGTTTGTTTCAGGAATGAAAATTAACAATTAAACTATGATTTATATAACAGCTATATTTTTTATTGATCAACATCACTACAATTTCAAATAAAAACAGACATAATTAATAGACATAATTAAAACATTTGAATATCTTAAAAGAGTCCAAATTAAAAGGTAAGCTTATAAAAAGTAAGATATGATCTACATGAAAGAGTATTAAAAAAATTAATTTGTGATACATGTGCATTACGATATACTATATTATAATATCAGTGGTAGAAGTCTAGCTTTCTTGTTGAGACATTATCCCATGAAAATAAAAACAATATAAACATTCAGATGGTGATACATCTTGCCGAGACATTATCTATGTCATAAAAATATAAAAATATTAAAAACAAAATCACAATAAGATCAAAATTCATATCTGTTACTTTTTAATATGAAATTAAAAATGTTCACCCACCGGTTTAAAATAAATGATAAAAAAAAAGAAACCATTTACATTTATCAACAAATATAAGATTTCTAATACATGTATCTTACAAAAACAAACAATAATAACAATATAAAATAATCACATTATTCATATGCGATATTTTTCAAAATAAACAAAAACATTTGACGCATCAGGCCACTTCTTTCAGGTAGAAAATGTTAAAAATAAAATAAATATTATCACAAATATTGAAATAACAAAAATAAGATTACTAACACTGATTTCAAACAATAAATTAAACTAACTTCTATGATTCATACCAAATTTATAATAATTATGGACTTTCTTGAGAATGCTGAGAAACAGTCAGTTTCAAGCCCCCCTTTTTATAGTCCTCATGCAAATTGTATGAGTAGGCCTATATATCATCATCATTTGTCTATTTTATGTTGTACCAAGTAATATCAGGGATCGCCTTTGGCTATGTTTGGATTTGGATGAGTATATATTATGTAGCTTACTTCATCAGCTACAGTTCCTGAAAAAAAAATCCAAGGTGGTCAACAACATTCACAATTTTTATCCTTTGTTAGTGAAATGTCTGGTTAAAGTTTGGTTGGTAGCTTTAGTAACATTCAATATAATAAAAAACCCTGTCCAAATCTAACATCATTTTTTTTACACTGAAGTCTGGGGGGGGGGGTAATTATGGTCTGAACCCTGATCAACCACGAGTTACCTCCCTTTAATTCCACACGATTCAATTTCAGCCATTTTACGAATTCCTACGGGGGATACAGACTTAACAAATGGTCAAACTAAGTAGTTAATGAATTGGGCTTTCCAAATATACCAAAATCTTGAGCGTCGAGGGCCTTTTTCGAAAATTTCTCTCAACTTCAAATTTTCAATTCATGAAAAATATCAGAAAATCTTACCTCAGCTTCTCAAAATCCTACTAAACATCACGTGGTCAATGTTTGACACTTTGAATATTCATGACAAGGCGTAACACGACGTATACTTTTCTCGGTCAACTTTTTGTGATGTCTGTAAATAGTACAGCCAGCGCTCCTAGCGGCGTTTAGCATCGCTACTAATAGTAATTCAACTTATTGTAATTACAATAAAACAACACACACACACTCACTAACACACAAACAAATCAATGACATTGACAGTGCATGTGTAGTATAATGAAATAGAAATTTTGTTTCTAGTTTGCTTGCAACTATCATTGAAACCTCTGACCAAATTTCTATTTTCTTAGCCTCAAAATGGCCAAAGTTTTAACTTGTGAAATTGTGTGGCCTAGATTTAAAACCCCATTATGGAAGCCAAGAAATATAATGTTCATTTTATATAATTAGTTCTGATTTAAATCATGGATTCGCCAACAAATAATTAGTTGTCAAAGCAATTTTTTATTCAGTTTATTCGATATTGAATATCTATACTAATATTTGTGACTGTCGTTTGTCTGTCTGTCTGTCTGCCTTGGCGGCTACACTAGGTCTGCCCGAGTCTGAAATTTGGGGTATAGGGGTAGCTCGGGCCGGGGAGTAACAAAGGCCAGGTGGCGTTAGTCTACCACTTCCGGTTTCGGAGTTATGACCCCTGAGTGAAGCTGGTCTGTTTGGGGTTGGCGGCTACACTAGGTCTGTCCCGAGTCTGAAATTTGGGGTATAGGGGTAGCTCGGACCGGGGATTAACATAGGCCAGGTGGCGTTAGTCTACCACTTTCGGTTTCGGAGTTATGACCCCCGAGCGAAGCCGGGTATCCTGCTAGTTTTTTAATAAAATTATCATGGATAAGTTACTATGACCTATATTAAATACAGAGTTGACTTTATAGCCATGAAAGTAAGAAAAATGACCTGAAAATTACTGAAATGATATCCAGTTTTATTTATTTTATGATCTCTGTTTTTGTAAATGTTTCTGTTTGAAAAGTATGCTCATTTCTTTTGACAGTTGTTATAGAAGATTTAGTACGAAAACAAATAAAGCTCGGGAAGCTGTTCAGATTTATAAACCAGGGCAGAAATTACATGGTTACACAGTTAAACAGGTTACATTTTCTTTAACTTTATGTTTTATAACTAGTAGAAACAACTTGGTGTCTGTCTTGTGGGCAATAGGCAGTGCAACATTTAGCTGCCCAACAAAGACACAAAACAATGAATCCAAAATGTCACAAGTGTGTGACAAAGCCCTTCATTATATAACCTTAAAAAAAGAATTCATGAAATGCCGGAATAAACCAAAATGAATACCGGTAATATAAAACTGCCAACTTCGTGAACTTGCTACACAATATCTCTCTCACAGATGTGTCTACTGGCAATTGGTATGTCATCAGGTGCAACAGTGAGTAAGATGCGGGGTTGCTAAGTTTCTGTAGATTTTCCAGTGTGGTTTTCCCTTGTCAGTGGTGCAGGACAGAGGGCCTGGCAAGGGACAGTGTCTAGTCATTTGGAGGGGAAAAAATAAAGGTACTGTGTACACATTGGCATGCACGCGAAAGAACCCTCAACGGCCGAATTTCTAAATAAGAGTAGGCTATAGTGCTGGTATCCGGAACAAATTTCCCTCATAGCACACTGTATCTATTAGCTAAGTCAGTGTGGAAAAGTAGGAAGTTCTCCTTTTCATTTCGTGTGGGAAATTATGATTGGACATATATCAAATGCCATTTTTATTTGAAATGAAATGATTGATTAGAGACATACATATTTTATTGATTTTATTTATTTGGTATATTTTAGTTAGTAGATATTCCAGAATTATATTTAACAGCTGTAACTTTAAAACATGATAAAACACAGGCACAACATTTACATGCTGCTAGAGAGGATGATAATAATTTATTTAGGTAAGATTTATAGCAGATATATTAACCATTTAAAGATCCATTATGATGTCAGTAATTATTGAATATCCAAACATTGACATTGTATGTGATGTGTTAAACAATCAGATGGGAGTCACGGTGGTTCACTGTTCAAGAGGTCCAGGGTTCTATCCATGTGTTTGCTGGCAAAGTTCCCAGTGATTTTCCAGGGCTTTTTCGTCTTGCCAGCGATGTCCGTCCTGTGTACACTTTGTCGTGCTAAAATAAGCCTTGACAGGTGAAATTCTATTGCTGTCAAAATTGCCCTCATAGCACACTGTATAACATATGGCCAGTGTTCATTAGCCATGTTGGGGCAGAAAAGTAGGTCATTAAACCCCGTTTTCAAATTGAAATAAAACTTTCAATCCTTTGTATTGAAATTGAAATGTACCTATTAATCTTTTGTATTTAAAGCGGCATTAGGTAAGATTAGATAAAGAACTGGCAGTGCTTGCTATAATAGTTGAAAAATAGATAATGAAAAGGGAATATGGTGTAAATTTCAGTCAAATTACTTCACTCTGAGCCTAGATATCGGCAATACAATTATAGTCTAGCCTTGATTTTCATTACTGCCATTGTTACGATAATAAAAAAAAGTCTCAATTATCCATTTTTATGATAACCACCTCAACTACAAAATGTATTTAAATCAACTTATATCATAGCCATCCAATGGCATTGTGAGTTGATTATGGTCTTGGTAAGTTAATTAATGTCTAATTAATCACTTATATAATATTTCAGGCTTAAAGAAAGACATAAAACAGGCAGATTTAGCTCTTGCATAATGCCTGTTTAAGTCTTACTGTTTATCATGAATTTTAGCAATCAATCTTTTGTATTTTGGTGTTAGTTTTTAAAATGCAATGTAACAATCATTCTTTTATATTTTCATGTTAGTTTATAAATTGACATGCATTAACTGGTCAATCTTTGTATTTTAGTGTTAGTTTTCGAACGACACCGATGGACAGTACAGGAGTACCACACATCTTAGAACACACAGCATTATGTGGTTCAAAAAAATACCCAGTGAGGGATCCATTCTTTAAAATGTTGAGTCGCTCATTGGCTACATTTATGAATGCATTTACAGGTAATGTTTTAATCTTTTTTTACCTTTTTATATGCTCACATGGAAATGTGGACGCATATTGCCGATTTGTATGAAATTTATGTGCCTCATTTAAGGAGTAGAAAGAAGAATCCTATTGAATTTCAGCAATTTTCGTTTATTAAGTCTAGAGTTATGGCCCTTGTTTCACTTTGTTGAATCTTGTGAACATTCTAACCCCAAAAGTTATCATCCGATCTTTGTGAAATTTACATGCATTATTTAAATTAGTGAAACGAAGACCCCTATTGAATTTCAGCAATTTCCGTTAATTATGTCTAGAGTTATGATCATTGTTTCACTTTGTTAAACCTTGAGAACACTCTTAACAACAAAAAATATCATCTGATCTGTGTGAAATTTATATGCATCATTGAGATTATTTAAACGACAAAGCCCCCAAGCATTGTGAATGCCCCCAATTACCTACAAAAGAATAAATATGTGACAACTCTTGCCGACCACTGGGATGATTTAGCTGCTGTGGTCATGTGTTTCGTTACCTGGCAACCTGTCTTTAGATTTAATTGTATAGCTTACTGTATTTGATAATATATCAAACAACAGGGATGTAGCCACGGCAGGCGCTTGCGGCCGGCACAATTTTTTGCTGCCCAGCACAAAGAAAAAATCGAAGAAAGCCGCCCAGTCGTATTTAAACCCCTTCATCCTTCTCTGTACATAAACTCAGCGCTTGAAATTTACCACGGCAAACGGCAAAGTCATGGTAAAAGCCGACGCAAACCATGTCTGCCACGGCATAATTTATTTTTGTGTGCCGTAGTAGACCCTATCATCCCAAATTAGTTTAAAGAAAGAAGTATTGGTATTTTGTTTATTTATATTTAGAAGTTGTGTAGGTCTATTCATTTTACAATTCTACGATCTTTAAATTTGTATATTTGCTGTAAATAGGTCACCCAGGCCAATTTACAGCACTCCAATGTTAAAGGTTTAGATGTCGTAAATGGTGTCGTAATTCGTGAGACACAAGTCAAATATAACAACGTGTTTTAATTATCAATATCTACCTGTTGTCATAATTCGTTGTACTCAAATAAAACACAAACACCGTTTTAAGAATCGTTTTAATTTTTAATCTCAAAGTAATATTTGAAAAAAAAAAAAATAACTGAGAAACAGAGTGGGGTGGGGCAATTTTATGCCCGGTCGGTTAGTATCAAAAAGTTTTTAGATCCCTGGCAGAGTCTCTGTATCATTGATGAAAATTAAGTGAATTTGGTAAAAATTTGAATACATAAATGGAAATTTGATAGCTATTTTTTCCACCACTCAGCAAATCCTGGCTACATCCCTGAAACAATACGTCCTATATATGTTTTAGTGAATAGAACTGGTTAACTCATGCAGACCCTAGTTATTGTCCTGTGCAGCTACCCTGAAGCTCTGCGATACCTTTTCAAAGAAATACAAACATTCAGATTGCATATAGGTTTGACGGTTGACCTCAAGTCCCCAATTTCCATGTGGTGTAAGTTCCTTGTTAACCATGTCTATATACATGCCGAAGTTACATTGGTATGTGATCATCACAAGATTTCTTTTTCAAAATTGTTCATGGCAGACATTTTTTATATGAGGTTAGCAGATGCTAGAATGTTGTCACTTGAAGTTGTTGTCACTTTCATGAAACGGTCTATAAGTTGATTTATTTTTAAAATTTCAATACCAATGTCAGAAAATGTTATTTTTTTGTGACACAAATTTTAACTGAGGTTATTCTGTAATTTTTCTTTCTTTCAGCTGATGATTGGACGATGTATCCATTTTCAAGTCAGAATTATCAAGACTTTCAGAATTTATTATCTGTTTATATGGATGCTGCTTTTTACCCAGAATTAAGGGAACTAGATTTTTTGTAAGTACATGTAGATGTTGGGAATTCATTTCCTTTATATTTTAAAAATAATACGGTAATTTTTATGAATTGCTGTTTATCTTTTCAAATTAAATGAATTGATGTTTATCTTTATGTTATTTATAGTCAAGAAGGGTGGAGACTTGAACACGAGGATCCAGCCAATCCAAAATCACCAATTATATTTAAAGGCATTGTTTATAATGAGATGAAAGGGGTTTTTGTAAGTTAATTTTACATTTAATTATTAATCTTTTAATCTGTACCATATGAACTTATGTTCAGTTGATGGATTGGTAATATGCATATAAAAATCACTTTGCAGTGCATGTATATTGTCCATAGCATTTAGAATTCAGTGTCACTTCAAGCAAAAAACACTAATTTGTACATGAAACAAAAGGGAGGTAACTATTAAATGTTTGCAGACCATCATTAAATTCCACATGGACTTTAATGTTAATTCGGTCTCTTTGCCTGGTTCCACCTTTTTCCTAAATTTTTGTTTGACTGAATGCTTTCCACCACAGATAGAGTAATAAATGACCATGTCTTTGCTTCAAAGTATGTATGAAGTTGATCAGTGAAATTTTGAGATACACAATCCTGAAGTACCTTACAATAAACATATAACCGTACATATCACCATAACCAACCCCTGATCTGTTACGTTTCTGCATCTAAACCATGAATATTTACCAAAACCTGGCAGAAAATATTAGTTCAAACCATCTTCTTCGATCTAAGACGACCAAAATGGCCATGCAAAAGGGAGGAAAATGGGGAGAGAGAGAAAGACAAAGACTTTTAATATTAGGATCTTCATTCATTGGCACTTAGATGGTGGAATTTGGTGGTGGTGTGCCTCCACTTTTGAAGTGTTCTATAGGCTTAATTATCAGATATACAATCCTAATAATTGTATGGCACTAGACAGCCATAAATGGACTCATTCTTAGCAGAAATTGGTGATCATTTATTTGACTACCGAGATCTTTTGGGTCCACTTTATTAGGAATGATAATTATCTCAGAAACTACATCTACAAGAAAGAAATTACTGATATTATACAACATGAAATAGAATACGGAAGCAGCAACATTCACATTAGAACTACAGAATCTATGCTTTTGTCCTTAGACCCAAGAGATGACAGTTAGTTACTGCTCTTAAATAACTTGTCTAGCTTACACTTTATATATGTAAAACAAGAAGTTAATTCCTGTAAACCACATGAATAATGATGAGATGAGGAAATCACTGTAGAACGTTGGAATACGATGTTTATGATTTAGCAACACGGTCTTTTGACAAAAAAAAACCCACACAAATCTACAAAAAAAAATCTTCCTGCATTATATGGCCTTAACATTAAAGTGAATGGCAATTTTGTCAACCCATGTCTTCAGAGCGTTTAAGGCTGAAAAATGATTCAACACAGGTCAGTTAGAGATGACTATCTGAATGATTTGTGCTTTCCTTATCTTTTAGCAAGTTACTGTAAAATATTATGGTTCACTCCAACAAAGAACTGTTTTGACAATTAAGTATAGGAATTCATCTGTAGTGTAATTTAAGAACAGGGTTCTTAATCCATTTTGAAACAATCTTAAATTAAGATCCTGCCAAACCAAAAAATTTTAATTGTCAGTTGAATACCCCACTTCTTTCCTTGGTTTTGATGGGGACTACTATATGTTTCAAAGGAGGACATCATAGGATTATTATATTTTCTGTGTAGTTGAGATGCTTGGTAGACACCTTTCTGAAAACCATGGTAGTTGTTGTTATCAAGTCTGAACTTAATTATAAAACTGTAAGAATTTCCTATAGTCAAAAAATAAAGATGATAAACTTCAATATATTCCTTCACAAGCAATACACAGTGTTAGGCAACACAAATAAAATAACTTGTTTCTCGGGCACCGCCCGCACGCAAAATTGGTTGCGCGTGCAGTCTATTTATTAGTCTTGATGAAAAAAAAAAAATATGTAACGCCCGCCCGCACATCGACAAGCAAGTCGTAAAAAAAATATCCCGCATGTACCTACATCCGCCATACATGTATATCTATTCAAATGTATTAAAACTGATTCAGATGAACATGCTGTCTTTTTTATCCGAACAATGGCGAAGTTTGGCAGATTTGCCTTTTTTATTGATATCGAAAGAACCTCCATTTTGTATCACGTGATATTAATTACCTCCCCTGATAAACTAGAATTTGATTCGTGTTAAAAGTCATTGGCGACAATATTTCAATCATTCGATCGTAATCGGCTCATTATTGCCGGCTTCAGTCGGTCCTTGTTTGGAAAATCCTATTGATAAAATAATGAACCGTAGAACAGGTTAATTAATTATAGCTAAGAATACGATACGATGACGATAGTCGTCATAATGCATACCTTAGAATCTGGGTCATTATTAGCACATTTACGGTAGTTTCGATAATCCGGAAAATAATAATTGGATTACCGATTTGATGGTTTTACTGACCAGTTGTTAGTTAGATTTAAATAGTCATTCAATATAAACACCGGATAGAACACCGAATATCCTGAGAAACACACCGAATATCCCAAGAAACAGTATTTCCGGCAATCTCCAATACCGATGACACGGTGTGACATGCATTGGTTGGAATTCGGTAAATAATTATAAATAAACCGGCGATACTAGATTTAGTTTTAAATACTGTTTACCATGATTATTATTTTTGATACACCTGGTGAAAGAGGCTTAGTTTTTAAAAATATTGTTGTCTTTATGGAGGGCTATTACATAGTCGTATGGAATTTTATTTTAAACCAATTTCAATTATGTGAATTAAATATGGAAAATTATTTTCCTTTCAGTCAGTGTTCAGTCTAAGTGTTTTAGTAGACTTGATTTTGGGTTTATGTTTTAAGTATGTACAATAAAGTTGAATATAACGGAAAGCAAAAACGTAAACAAGTAATGACTTTCTCATTTAAAAAAAAAAAAAAAGAAAGACCGCCCTCCCGCCCCAACAATTTTCAGCAATAGCCAAATTTTATTTTGCACCATCAATGAGTAAAAAAAAAAAAAGAAACCGCCCTCCCTCCCTACAGTTTCAGCTGTCAGTTGCCCGAGAAACAAGACATTTATTTTGTGTGGCCTTAAATATTTATATTTTCAGTCTAGTTCCAGAAGTATATATACACAAGAAGCATATAATAAATTATTACCCAGTCATACATATGGTGTGGTGTCAGGTGGTGATCCTAAATATATAACAGATTTAACATGGCAACAACTTAAAGATTTTCATGCCTCGCATTATCACCCTAGTAATTCACGGTAAGTTAATACTTGTTCCTTATTCAATTAGGATGTATAGGATGTACTCTTTCTTCCTTGCATATTTAGCACTTATGACTTTGCTGCTCATGGGTGTTAGAGGTCTGACAAACTAGCTGAATACAAAGTGTGTACTACATTTTAAATATCATTTTAGATTTAACACTTACAACTTTGGTGCTGGTGTGCAGCAGTCTATGTTTGTGTTAGATTTTGTGTTTTACTTGTTGATTCATAATTGTTTTCGCTGACTCATTTTAAAGATGCCATAGAAGAAAATCTATTCTACAAAACAAATCACTACTTTCGTTTTCACATCTTTGTAAATAAAAGGGTGAAGGGTGTTGGGTGGGGTGAAATTCAATTGCCGGTACTACTAATTTATATAAAATGTGTAAGCTATCCTTTTGATTTTATTTTAGCTTTTTCACGTATGGTAACTTTCCACTAGAGGATCATTTACAGTTCATTAATGATAAGTATTTACAACATTTCAATCAAATATCCGTCAACACTTCTGTACCATTTGAACCTCGATGGACAAATTCGGTAAGTTAATATGTAATCATCTGGCAATATAATAATATTTGTCTGAAGGCCTAGAATTTCAAGAGAATATCAGAAATTGAATCTCACTAGGATTGTAACAGACATAAATATCTGAATCCTTTAGAAAACTGACACAATATATGTAGCACTATGCAGTTCTATAAGTTCTTCAACCAAGAACTCCCCACATCCAACATGTGACGCATACTCTTCTCTGCTACATATTTAAATAGCCTTGTGATCATCTATTATAGTCTATGGTTATTTTTGTAATTCTTTACTCTTGGACTCCATTTTAAACATGGTGTATATATGTTTGTCTCAGCCGTCAAACCGTTTCTTTAAATGTCACTCTGACAGCTCACGTTGTGAATTTGCATCTTGCTCCAATTATTCAGTTTATGGTTATGCACAGGAATAGCAATACCACAATTCGTTTCTACATTTTTATGTCAAGCGTTGGATACATAGGTTACAAGTATAGATTACAATTAACGTCATTCTCTCTATCTCTCGACCCCACCCAACTTGCTAGGGCGAGTCTACTGATAGAACTTGCTACATCTTCCCCTTTTAAAATCTGTCGGGTGTCTAAATGATGTCTAAAGAAACTTAATCGCGCTCGCTCTTATAAAGAAGATACGTGCATGAGTCATGGGCTTACCCCGGGGAAATGGACCAGGTACTGCCTTTATCTGATTGGTCAGCTGCATGGCACCCAGGAGGACAGGTGTCCACGTTTCTAACGCATGGGTTTGCCATATTTGGATTACTAGACTGATGTCATTGCCTGATTTTAATCTACCAGATATATCCTTGTTAGCCTAGTTCTCGCTGTCAGTGGTACTAGCGAACGACTTCGATACATTAACCACAGCATCTTTAGAGAACTTAAATAACCTCTACAGTATATAGGCTCTATAGCATTACATATATAAGTTTGCAGACTGTAGGAGACAGTTCATCTGATTGGTTCCTTGGCAAATTTGTGGACTTGGTTTCAAGAAAATAACTTAAATATTATAGTTTGTTTTACTAAAATTATTATTTACTATTTAAAAAAAAAAATAATAAAGAAATTATCCACAGGAGTGCATTCCTTCAACTACACAAAATTAGCACTGAGGAATTGGAATGATAATGGCAGACATATTAAAATATTTGTCTGTAGATAAACAATAGTTGAAAATTGTAAGCTGTATTTGTAAATTATATGTTTTAGAGAAAAGGTAAAATAGATTGTGCACCTGATCCACTTGCTGCAGATCCAAATAAGCAGACAACAGTTTCTGTCAGTTATCTTCTAGGAGAGTAAGTTGAATTATAATAATATGCAACTTTCAGTTTGCTGACTGCATTGTCCATTATTTCAACAGCCTGCCCCTCTATAGGATCGGGGGGTTGGATGGCTGAATGGTTAGCACGTGCGTGCTGTATCATAAAGTCTGTCATTGAGTCAACTGGCGTGGTTTTATTCCCCGGTTGTACGTGCATTCCAATGTATACACGGGACCTCGTTTTTTGTCTCATCTGAAGGACTAGACAGCTGTCCTTGTCAGGCCCTCCGTCCTGCATCACTGACAAGGGGGAACCATGCCGGAAAATCTGGATGAACTTTCTCGGTCGATGCAGGGATCGAGCACCCGGCCTCCAGGCTAGTGAGCCAGCGTCTTACCCACTTAGCTACGTGATCCCCCCTTAGCCACGTGATTCCCCTCTTTCTCTATAGGATCTATATTATTTCTGTACATGTTCAGTGCAACATTAGCTTTACTACCGGTATACATTATCCAAAAACAGCAAATTTTGTGCATTTCTTATAATTTTTCACTTTTGAGAATTCTGCAAATAGAGATAGTCATTTTTGAAGACATATGCTGTAATTACATGTATTATCAACTCTAAAAGCTATCTTATTTTCTAATCAAATTTTATTCATGAATTTTGTTATGATTTCAGTGCAACAGATAGTTTTGAAGCTTTCACCTTGTCAATTATAGGACATCTTTTAGTAGGAGGAGAAACATCACCATTTTATAAATCTCTTTTAGAAGCTAATATTGGAAATGATTATGCACCAACTCTAGGGTAAGTAGAAAAGGAACCGTCCAAGATTTAAGAATTCAAATAATTTGCAATAATGGTGAATTTAGCATAACAATGTATCAGAATGAAAGGCATACCCTGAACATTTTATATTTGTTCTAAGAAAGATGTTATCTTCTTGTCGTTTGCTTATGTGGCAACTGTCACTAGACCAATTATCGCTATATAACAATTCTTCATTTAAATGTCTTACATATTTTTTTAGCATTTAAAAACTTACCGGTGTGTGGTTTTCATGAGTTTTATCATGTTTATGATAGTTGATACATGTTATTTATATTGTTATCCTTAAGTAAAGCGATAGTAATGTCATGAATACTACCAGGAGTTAAACTATGGCATATTCAAATTTTAAAATGGCGGAATTTCATTAATATATAGTTATATGTATATATCTGTAGGTATGATGGCTATAGAAAAGAGAGTGTGTTTTCTGTAGGCTTACAAGGAATAGCAAAGCAAGATGAAGAAAAAGTGTTTCAGATAATCTCAGATACCTTTGATAAAGTCATTAAGTAAGTTACATGCTAGAGCATATTCTTCATCAGTATGTTGACTCCTGTAAAAATGTTTTATAACAAAGTAGAGCACCAAGCTAATGGTCATGGTACACATTCATTTAAAGGATCATATCATTGATCAATTTCAATAGGCAAAACATAAAATAAGTCATTCTTTAAAGTTATGTGATCAAGTCATGCTTGTAAGTTGTGTGAGTACAAGTCATGCTTGTAAGTTGTGTGGTCATGTCACACATGTAAGTCATGGAATCGAGTCATTCTATTAGTAATTATGTGAGTCATATGTTGATCGTTCAAGGCATATGCCATAATGGATGTATATTTATTTTAGAGATGGTTTTGAACAAGAAAGGATAGATGCAGTGTTACATCAAATTGAACTTGGTCAAAAACATCAGAGTGGGAATTTTGGTTTGGGTTTATCAATGGTAATAGTTTTTATTGTGGCATGTTTATTTTTTAAGAATATAATATGTCATGAACAGAGACCACCTTCACTGAAATGAAATTTATGCTCACTACTAAATTATTTTTTTTTACCCAAGAAGAGGTATTGTCTTGAACTGTATTGTATTAAAATGTCAGAAGTTCTAACCAGATTATTCTCTGTTTTATTCTGTAATACTGTATGAAACCGTAAATGTTACGTTTGTCTTTGAATTTCAGGCAGTAACATCTATATGGAATCATGATGGTAATCCAACAGAATCTCTACAGATTAACAAACATGTTAATATGTTTAAACAAAAAATAGCAGATAATCCAGCATTTCTACAAGATAAAGTTCATCAGTATTTCAAGGTAAGGTTATTAACTTTTAACAATTACAACTCTTCTGCTAGGTTTGAGGACAGTCTTCTCTTAAAAGCTTAAAAACAAACAAGCCAGTGAAGTATATAGCGCTCACAAAATATATTTGAATAGTCTGGCACATATGTTCAAAACAATTTTTAATTCATTAGCTACTGTCTTCAGTGGGAAACGGGAAAAATACAAATAAAAGAAAATATATTAATTTGCAAGATTCATAGATCCTATAGATCTAAAAAAACACTAAAACATGTCCAAAAATTTATCATTTTAATTTAGTGGCATATTCAAATGGAATCTTTATTCCCATGCCAATTGGCTGAAAAACTTTCCCATAATTATTTTATTGACAAATTGTCAAAAGTCACTCTGTAATAAACACCTGAATAGACTATAAATCTTGTTCTCTAAGATCTGATGCCTATATAAATGAAAGGAATCACTCTCCTTATTATGACAGGCCACGAAATTTCAAATTTTGGCGTAACCAGAAAAATGGTTGCGGGTTTATGTTCTGCGTAACCATTTTCTTTGGTTACGTCAGATGACTATTGCGTAACCAATTGGTTACATGAAATGGTTGCGCTGTTTTCATGTTTTATCCAGATTTAAATGGTGCTATTATTCATTTCCACTTGCAGTGAATGTATTTTTTAAAGAAATAACTTGACTAATTTATATTCTTTTATATTTAATATTATATTTTGAGGTTAAGTGTTTATGACTTAAATCCCACTGTGTCCCCATTTAAAAAATAAAACGTTAGAAAAAAAATGTTCCACTTGACTCAATCTCTCTATATTTTAATAATGAGGGGAATCGGTTCTAAAAATTACTAATGGATTTTCGTTTTTGTATCATATCTGACCTTTAAAAACCAGGAATGGTAGCTACCACATTGTTTTCGGTCACTGAAGATTACATGCGTACTTCATATTACACTTGTCACTTGCAATCATTCATCCAAGCACGTAGCATGAGATAGCCTCACTCATAGGTAGGGACTGATTGACAAACAGTATTTATAAACCCCGGCACTCTACACACAAAGTCTCAAAAGGAAACAGATAGTTTGATGTCATGAAATAATATTAAAATAGACAGGGCAGTAAAATCGTTTACATTATCGCTTGAGCGATGCTGGGGAAGGGGGTCAAAGTTCACGACATACATACGGGTCATTGGTACTACAGCATGGCTATAGTGAAAACTGAAAAGGAACACGTGTAGTAAATTCTTTGGAAATATAGCCGACATGTTAAATAGTCATGCAAACTCATTTCTCAATTTGTGTTTGAAAATCCAAAGGTATGCTTTCAAATATTTATGGCATAACTAATCATTTAATGAATTAGGGATGAGGGGCATTTTTACATCAACCTGCTTGCAACTGGTCAATAGCCTACGTGGTGTCAAAATATGTGATCTGTCAAAGTCAAAATATGTGATCTGTCAAAGTACCGGTAAGATGGAGAAATGAAATGCCAAGAATGAATGAATGGAGTTTGTGCTATAATACAAATAATTTAGACCTATGTCACAAGTCATCCTGTATAAAAATTGATCAAATGTGAATAAATCTGTTAATGAAATTTGTTAACGTAACCGATATTTCAATTTGCGTAACGAGGAAATCGGTCGCATGTTTTTGAGGTGGCGCGACCGCACGTTACTGATTGGTATCGTTCGAGTGAAATTTCTTGGCCTGTTATGATATAACTCCTTTATTACCAAATCCCTCACCATGTCCAAACTAGGAGAGCTTTTTTTTTTAAGGAGAGTAATGTTTGATTTGGTAAATTTAAACAGAGCTCTTTTCAGCTAACCAGCCAAATATTGGAAACAATGACTAGACATACAGTAGCTATCATTGTGTTCCATTTCACAGAATTATTTTTTTATAGACCAATAACCATAGTTTCAGTCTTACAATGAGTCCTGATGAAAAGTTTGAAGAAAAGAGAAAGGAAGAGGAGAAGAAGAGATTAGAAAAGAAAGTAAAAGAATTAAGTGATAAAGATAAACAGATTTTATATGACAGAGGTAACTTGATTAATAATAATGATATTTTTTATAATTAGAAACAAAACATTATCATAAGGATTTCTAATCATTGAAAGTGTCATAATTATTTATGCTGCAATGTCTGACTAGGACTTGAAAATACTATCCTACATTTACAAATTAAGTTATTTAAAAGATCTTTTGGAAATATTCTATATAGAATGATATTTTGTTTATATTTTTATAAATAGGTTTACAATTAATGCAGAAACAGAATGAAGAAGAAAATTTGACATGTCTGCCAACCTTGACCCTAGCTGACCTTGATAGAAAAATTAAACCTGAACCAGTTGAAACAACATCATTAGGTATAAAGTTATAAAGATGTGTGATTAAAATATTTTCTATTGCATGTAAACTGCCAAAGTCTACATTCATAAATTGTTTTAATGACATTCAGTAATCGAACGGAAAATACAGAGAGAGAGGTTTAACATCCATTTGACACAAACTAGATCATTTCGGGACTAACATATGGTTCAATTTAATTTAAATTATTCGCTTGCCCATAGGGGTCTTTAGCAATGGGAGGTCCCAGAGAAAACCCACAAGGTTAGACAGACAACCCTACTCCTACAAGCAGGGAATCGTAACCACGCCTCTTGTCTCAATGACAGAGGAGGGTTGGATGGCCGAATGGTTAGCATGTGTGCGCTGTATCATAAGGTCTGTCATTGAGTCAACTGGGGTGGTTTTGATTGCCCATGGGTTTTCTCCGGGTCCTCTGGTTTCCTTCACTGCTCAAGACCCCTAGGCACAAGCGAATTATTGAAATATAATTGAATCATATGTTACTTGCAAAGTGGCCTAGTTTGTGTCGAGTGAACATTAAACCCCATCTATCATCAATGACAGATCTTCTGATCCACCGTGCACCGTTAACTATTCGGCCACCAACCCCCGATATCAAAATGTTACTAAGTAATAAACAGTAATTGTATTCCACATTCTGCACCTAGAAAACTATCTACTTTCAGAATAGATCTCTGCCCAGAGTGGCCGCCATAGTCAGAATTTAATTTACTATTCTGTAATGAATTCTAAGCAGTTTTACATCTTTCATACACACAAAGACAAAATATTTTCAATTTTTATACGTACACATTCATAATGTGGACGTATATTGCTGTCGCCCCTGTGTGTGTGTGTGTGGGTGTGTCCGGTTGCCTACAGGCCACAATTCTTAAGTGAACATCTTCAAACTTTACATACTTATTCCTTATACCCTAAGAATGATCCCTATTGTTTTTGGTGCATACCCGACTCCCAGGGGAGGAGCCACGCCCATTTTTTGTATTTCTTTGTTTGTCATCTACAGGCCACATTTATTAACGTATCATCTTGAAACTTTGCATGCTTATTCTTTGTACCCTAAGGAACACCCCTATCGTTTGGGGTGCATGCCCAACCCCTAGGGGCAGAGCCACACCCATTTTCTTTTTGTGTGTCTGTGTGTTGCCCACAGGCCACAATTCTTAAGTGATCATCTTGAATCTTTACATACTTATTCCTTATACCCTAAGGATGATCCCTATTGTTTTTGGTGCATGCCCGATCCATAGGGGCAGAGCCACGCCCATTTCTTGTATTTGTTTGTTTGTCGTCTACAGGCCACATTTCTTAACGCATCATCTCGAAACTCTGCATACTTATTCTTTGTACCCAAAGGAACATCCCTATTGTTTGGGGTGCGTGCCCAACCCTCAGGGACAGAGCCACGCCCATTTTCTTTTTGTGTGTCTGTGTGTCGCCTACAGGCCACAATTCTTAATCGATCGTCTTGAAAAAATATGCCATACGGAAGCCAAATATGGAAATAATAATCTTCCCAAAAAGTAATGGCTGGCTAAATTTTAAATTATTTTTATACGCCCACATCGAAATGTGGAATAACACCAAAAGTTGTCATCCGATTGTTTTAAAAATTTATGTAGGTTGTTAACATTAGTGAGATGAAGAAGTCTATTTAATTTCAATAATTTCTACTAGAATTATGGCCCTTTTTTTTACTTTGTTGCACCTAGTGAACGCTCAAACATCAAAAGCTATCATCCGATCTTTGTGAAATTTATATGCATTATTTAGATTAAACATACATTATGCAAGAACTAAATCTGCCTATTGCAGGTCTTTCTTTAGGCCTAAATGAACTTATCCAGACCTTAATTAACTCGCTAGCCTGCGATGTTTATTGGATTAGGTTCCGATTTGCTGTTCGACTTCCATTCATAATTTAATTATTAAATGGATAATCGAGACTATGTTTTATATCCTACCGATCGAGGCTAGGCGAAAATTCAATTGCTAACATATCGGTTCATAGTTTGACTGAAATTTTCAGCAAATTCCCTTTATAGTATCTAGTTTTTAACTATTATAGTGAGAACTGCCAGCTCTTTATCTAATCTCCCATAATGTATCTTTAATGAAACGAAGAAGCCTATTGAATTTCAGCAATTTCCGTTAATTACTTCTAGAGTTATAGCCCTTGTTTCACGCTCGATCTAACATCACAAGTTATCTGCCGATCTGTAGAAATTTATATGCGTCATTTGATGCCTTTGTTTCACTTTGTTCAACCTTGTGAACGATCTAATGCAAAATAGGCATTATTAAATTAGTGAAAAGAAGAAGCCTATTGAATTTCAGCAATTTCCGTTAATTACTTTTAGAGTTATGGCCCTTGTTTATCTTTGTTGAACTTTGAATTCTTTAATGCCAAAAGTTATCATCCTATCTGTGAAATTTTTATGCATCATTTAGATTAGTGAAATGACGAAGCCTAACGAATTTCAGCAATTTACAATAATTACTTCTAGAGTTATTGGCCTTATTTCACTTTGTTGAACCTTGTTAATGCTCGATTGATGAAAGTTATCATCCAATGTGTATGATATTTATATGCATCATTTAAATTTGTGAAACGGATGTCTATTGAATTTCAGCAAATTCTGTCAATTACTTCTAGAGTTATGGCCCTTGTTTTACTTTGTGAATCTTGTGAACGTTCAAATGACAAAAGTTATCATCTGTATGAAAGTTGTCTTGTAAATGCCCCCAATATATTCCAAAGAATGAATATGCAACAACCCTTGTTGACCGCTCAGACGATTTAGTGCCTGGCAACCTATCTTTTATTGATTTCATGTCCCTATCCTCATCTGAAACACTGCTGAATATCCATGAATGTCAAGCTCAAAATGGCATCTCCATCTAACTAAGGGCTTTTTATTTAATTGTCTGAATTACTGTCTAGTATATCTAATGAACACTTTTGATTATAAGTTTTCTGTGGTGTCGGCTTAATAACAATCATGAAAACTCTATGTAATGGTTCATGTAAGTTGGATATCGATATATTATTATTTTAGATAACCTACTAAATTATATAGGTATGATATGTAATATAAATAATATACCATTGCTATATTTTATAATAACAGGTGGGGTACCAGTATTATGTAGCATACAACCTACCAATGAAGTTACCTATATACGTATGATATGTAATATAAATAATATACCGTCACATCTGCTACCCTATATTACACTCTTCTCAAGTATTTTAACACAGTAAGTATATTTTAGATAGTAAATATACTATTCAAAAAAAGTAGGGGATATTTGATTTTGGGGGCATAATACTAAAATATGCAAATGACTACGAAAAAAGTCACTATAGAACCTAACAGAAGAAACATTTCCAGTTACATGTGACGCCCAAACGCACCAATAGCTACCGCATGGAATGCAGGTGATGCTTGGGATCATCATGGGGGTCCAACCCAAGATTTGCACGACTCTGACTTTGAATGTTACAGTCATTGTGGCATTGAATTCCAGGGTGGAAACATCAGTTTAATTGTTTTAGTGACCAGAAAACAAATTTTGATATGCGTCGGCTTACCCAAAATGAAAGGTTACGTGCACTTGGCATGCTACAGATCGGCACAACACAGGCGGTTGTGGCGCGGACGATGAATGTTTCTCAGTCTGTCATAAGCAGGCTATGGTCCAGATACCGTGATACACAATCTGTACAGGACAGACCACGCTCAGGTCGACCAAGGGTGACAACTCAAGCCCAGGTCGACCAAGGGTGACAACTCAAGCCCAGGATCGATTTATCCGTACCTTGGCCTTGAGAAATCGTGTCATCACAGCAAATCAGATCAGCGCTCGTCTTCAAACAGACACTGGTGTGAGAGTGAGTGGCCAGACGATTCGGAATCGACTGCATAGGGGTCACCTTCGCGCCCGACGTCCTCGCGTGATCCCTTGTTTGAGAGATCATCACATTCAGGCAAGACGTCGTTGGTGTAGGGATCGTCAACACTGGGATAATCGACGCTGGAGCAATGTGATGTTTTCAGATGAGTCAAGGTTCACTGTTGATTTTTTGGACAGACGTAGGAGGGTGTGGCGTCGTCGAAACGAGCGCTTCCAAGACGTTAACGTCATCAGACATGATCGATTTGGGGGTGGTTCTGTTATGGTGTGGGGAGGCATCACTGTTGCTGGAAGAACGGCTTTACATGTTGTTGCAGGGCGTGTTACAGGCCAGTACTACCGGGACAACATCTTGGCAGTCCATGTTGTGCCGTTCGCACGACGTCATGGCCGCCGTTTCATCTTCCAGGATGACAACGCAAGATGTCACAGGGCCAGGATCGTTACAGGTTACCTCCAACAACAGAACATCACCACATTACCTTGGCCAGCACTGAGTCCCGACCTCCCCCCCCCCATCGAGCATGTCTGGGACATGCTTGGACAGAGGTTACGTCAACGTCAACAACGTCCTGCCAATGTCCAAGAACTTGCTGCTGCGTTGCAACAGGAATGGGACAATCTGGACCAAAATGACCTTAGACGTCTCATTAGGAGTATGCCACGTCGGATCAATGCTTGTTTGGCAAACAGAGGAGGATTTACCCGTTACTGACTTGGTTGCGATGCTGTGGTAACTTTGCTGTTTGACCCCGGGTATCATTTTACCCTTATAATGGTCAGTCTGTGCCTTACTTAGTCTAACGATCATTTGGAATAAATCGATGAATGTGAACTTCATTTCATTTTGTCATTTGTTTCTTCGTCAGTTTCATTAGGTGACTTTAATAACACTTAAAAATCAAATATCCCCTACTTTTTTTGAATAGTATATAATAAAGTTATATAATGCTACCAGTAAATAGCCTCTGTTTGACCCGACTAAAAATGCGTGACGCACAGGTATCGATCCAGCACTATTGAAAAAAAGTTGTTTCTTGAACTAACAAATCAGATTAATGTCAATATGGAAACTAAACCGGTAGTTTATGCCAATGACATCACATACATTTGTAATATTTATAAATGCTGTAGTGAGTTGGTTGGAACAACACTAGGGTTTCCATTATGATGAATGAATATATGATCATGTTTTATTAAGATTATATATGATCTTGTTTTCTTAGAATAATATATGATCATGTTTTATTAAAATAATATATGATTGCAAAATGTTAACTGTTGATTGGGTTGGTTGGATCAACATCAAGATTTCGATCATCAACTGCATTGATTGTCTTTAAAGATGCATTATGTACGATTTAGATAAAGAGCTGGCCAATCCTGCTATAATATTTCAAAAATAGACAATGAAAAATGAATATACATGTATTAAAAATTTCAGTAAAATTACTTAATCCTGATGGAAGTTATGAGCATTTGAAGTTTGAAGTGTTTGGCATGATGTAGGGTAGATTGTTTATTATCGTAGCAATGGTACTTGACAATTGAGATCGTTAAATTTTATAATCTTGTAGGGGTTCTAATCCATTTAAATCTCGACCCATCTGATCGTCTAGAGAGTTGATTATAGACTTGTCATATAAATAGTTATCGAAATAATAGGTATATGACATTTTAAGCCAAAATAAAACCTGTAATAGGCAACTTTAGCTCTAACATAATGTATAACTTTGGCAAAATTGATACCACTAAAATGTTAATAAATGCTTTTGTTATGTCATCTTTAGATTATTGTAATTCATTATTGTATTCTTTCCTAAAATGCTTGTAAGTCAGCTACAGAAAATCCAGAATAAAGCAGCTCGAATTGTATCTCTCACCAAACCATCTGACCATATTACACCTGTTCTAAAACAGTTACATTGGCTACCGGTTAATCAACACATCATTTTCAAAATTAACACCAATCACTTTCAACTGTTTAAACGATCCTTTGGCACTATCATATTTATCCGATTTGATTAAACAATATGTACCTTCTCGTTTCTTACGCTCATCTCATATAAACCAACTTGTATGTCCAGTACAGAAGTCAAAATTTGGTGAGAGAGCTTTTGCATACGCAGCACCAAAAGAATGGAACAAATTGCCTTTGGATGTCCAAAATAGTCCAAACTTGGCTATATTTAAACGACGTCTAAAAACCCTGTTTTTTACCCAAACGTTTGAGCTATAATTTAAATGCTTCACTTTCCATTTGTATATTGTAACTTGACTATTCCTTTGTATTCTTTTGTTTTTTTGTATATACATGTATGTTTTTTTTTATAATCATATTTACATTGTAAAGCGCCACAGAGTAGCCAGACATTTATTATTATTATTATTGTTATTATTATTATTATTATTAATATTATTTGATTGTATCAATGGGACTCGATCTTTGACTGGATCATAAAAGTAAGACGATCATACTATGAACATGTTGATTGGGTTTATACAATTGATCATCATATACCAATTTTATGTTCAGTTCATTTTGTAAGGGAGATTTATGCCTTGAGTATGTAATTATATATATAATTTAATATTATAGAATGGGAGCTGGTGATTATGATTATAAAAGATTATCACAAGAAATAGAATTATATACAGGAGGTTTAGATACATCTCCATTAATATCCCCACATCATACACAACCTAATACTTATGAAAAGGTAAACTTATAGAATACATTTATTTTGATCCAGCACCAATTATCCCTGCATTATAATTAACTACAGATCATCTATTCATTCTAATCCCTTGTGGATCATCTATTCATTCTAATCCCCCATGGATCATCTATTTACTCAGATTCACCACATATCACTCCAGTTCACCACAGGTTATCCATTCATTACTTTTCTTTTTTCAGGGACTCCATTTTAACTCCTATTGTTTAGATAAGAATGTAGACAAGTTATTAGAGTTATGGTCTGCTATATTCAACAGGTAGTTATTTATTAAGGTCACTATTAATCAAGCCTTCCTATATTTTTTTTGTTTTAATTCAAATTTTATTCAAATTTCAACTATTCGTTGTAGCAATTTGTAAATCAAAATATAAATTTTACTTTGCTATGTGTGACCAGTTACGGAAAAATAAAACAGGATTCAAAATAACACAGCATAACTATACACAGAGTTAAATTTGATATTTAAAAACCTCTAAATTGGTCTCTGATATACACACATTTATCTTTAAAGATGACTAAGATATTTTGTGCTGAATGTTTAACGTTAAAATACTATAAACCATAACAATAATTTCCTTTAGGCTTTGGGCAAAAAAGAATAATATAAATTTGATGGAAAAAAGTTCAATAGATTAATATCTGAAATGAGGGACCTTTAACATGTATCTTATTTAGCCAGATCTAGTCACTTATTACGATCAACCAGTACATAATCCTATTATTACATACAAGATCTTTACATCAGATTATGAGGAAGACTAATGGCTCTTTCATGGCATACAATATAATTTTCACAGGTATTGTTTCTTGAATTTTAAATTCTATTTCAGGCCTGACTTTTCTGATTTAAATCGTTTAACAACATTAATTAGAATGGAAGCCAGTGATTTAGCTATGGGATTGGCTGATTCCGGTCATAGATATGCCATGGGTCATTCAGCGGCCTCTCTATCACCAGCTGATAATTTATCAGAAACTCTTAATGGCATGACACAGGTAACTAACACATGAAAACTAAATGGCCCCAAAATTTGGTCAAAATGGCCATAAAAAGTGACAAATTAAATATTTGTTATTTATTGTGAATCTATGATATGTATTGACACAATTTTGGCTGTTTTAATCCAAATTTTACAGACATTTTGACCAAATCCTGTTTATATCTTCTTCAGAGAATATAACCCATTTTTGGACTGATATTCCTTTTAGAGATTCATCTTTTACCATATTGTAGTTTGCAAGAAATTCAAAATATTCCAAATGATAGGGTGTCTCACCATAAATAAATATCTCCAAATATCTCGATAATTACACCACAATATTTAGATATATACCAAGCCTTAACCCTTTCATTGCGTCTACCCGGTAGTACCGGGTATTATAAAATGTTGGTAAAATACGCGTACCCGGTATTACTGTGTACTCAGTAAATCCCTTGCTAAAATTAGTACCGTGACTGCAAGTGCCCATCTATTGTATTTTCTATACACTAGAACATATTTCCACATGTTTCAAAGCGGAAAACCGTAAAATGGCGGAGTGCATAGTGACAACGTAGACGATACTCTCTCGACGAAGTCGTGAATGACGTCTTGCTGACCAAAACGTGGAAAATTTCGAGGCGGGTGATACACATAATTCGTTTCCAGTTACTTGATAATGATAGTAGTCAGGACAGTGATTGGTATTATGAAGTGTGTGATTTGTTGTGCGACGTTCCGCCCATGGCTATGTCTCCCGTGCATGATGAACAAGCCCAATGTGAATACGATAGCCCTGTGTCTGCAGTAGATTCTGACAATAATTCTGATGTTGATAATGCTGGCCTGCTGGATCGTAAAAGACGTAGGCAATTCCTGAGCCCCGAACGTGTAGATCTATTGACTGACTATATTGATAATGATATGGGACTTGGGGATGAAAGTGAAAGTGAAAACAAGGTATTGCAATCCGCACGTGGGCATGGCAGTGGGAGACGTGATGCGCGTGTTCGTGGTGGCATTGCTCATGGCTGCTATTGATATTTTTGTTCATTTTATATATCTTTATCAAAATCCAGTGAAAAAAACAATATCTCATAAGTATTTCATGGAGAACCAGCGGGTGCCAGACAGGATACGCCCACATTTTCGAGAGATGGATAGAAAACAAGCTAAAACGAAAGTGATTTTTCCTACAATCAAGGGGCAGAATTCAGGAAATTACAATTCGATATGCGCAAATATCGATCTTTGGGTTATAAACTTATGTTTCAAGTTTCAACAAAATCGGATAAAAATTGTGACCTCTATAGGGTCAACAACCTTGATATACCATATTCTACGCAATTTGAGAACGAGGGGCGGCCATTTTGTCTGTCAGTTTTGGGCCGATTTTCACGAAATTTGAACTCAGTCGTCCTTAGGGTTTAACGGTGATATATTAACACGTTTTTTTAAATCGGATAAAAATTATGACCTCTATAGGGTCCACAAGCCGAAAAACGTGATTTTTCGTACAATCAGGGGCCATAATTCAGGAAGTTACGGTTCGATATGCGCGAATATCGAAAGGAACCGAGATCTTTGTGTTATAAACTTACATTTCAAGTTTCAACAAAATCGGATTAAAATTGTGACCTCTATAGAGTCCACAACCTTGATATACCATATTTGTACACTATTTGAGAATGAAGGGCGTCCATTTTGTCTGTCAGTTTTGGGCCGATTTACACGAAATTCGAACTCAGTCGTCCTTAGGGTGTAATGGTGATATATTAACACTTTTTTTTAAATCGGATAAAAATTATGACCTCTATAGGGTCCACAAGCCAAAAAACGCGTTTTTGCGTACAATCAGGGGCCATAATTCAGGAAGTTACGGTCCGATATGCGCGAATATCGAAAGGAACTGAGATCTTTGGGTTATAAACTTACATTTCAAGTTTCAACAAAATCAGATAAAAATTGTAACCTCTACAGTGTTCACAAGCCAAAAACATGATTTTTCATACAATCAGGGGCCATAATCCATGAAGTTACGGTTCGATACATGCATATATCGAAAGGAACCGAGATCTTAGGGTGATAAACCTATATTTCAATTTTCATTGAAATCGGATAAAAATTGTGACCTGTAGACTGTTCACAAACAATTGTGGACGGACGGATGGACAGGAGTGACGACAATATACATCTACATGAAAATGTGGGCGTATAAAAATTCGTTTTCATGTTAGTTTTAGTGAGAAATGAGAAATCCAAAATGGCCGTCATGACGTCATGTGACTACATTATTATGCAAATTTCCAAAATTCTATTTTTTCCTCTTAGCCCAACCTCATGCCCATCCCAACAGACAAAAAGATTTTTCATGAAAGCTTCCATAAGTACTGTTTGGCATTCAGTTCCAACCCCCCTTTTTTCCTCAAAAAAGGGTCTAGCACAGGCAGTGGATTTACGTGTAGCATTGAAAGGGTTAAATCAGTTTCACACATTTTTAGTCACTAAATGAACGGTCATGTTGTACTTTATAATAAGCTATGACCATTTAACCATCGATAAATAATAGTGTTGAGTGTCGGCCATAACATCTGGGCACTTTTGAGTAAAAAATAGGTTACGCGTGCCCTTGTTTTGAAATTAGACTATTCTCCGTCTGATGGACAGACTGGGATAATCAAGACTACTTTTTTACGAAACATAACAGAAGTAAAATGAAACTACTGCTATTATCATGTTCTTGCCTAACCCGAGTGTTTCAGAGATATTATTTGTACTGAACCAAAAAAAACGAACGTAATTTCTAAAGCTGCTGTAATCACCAAAAAGCTACATATTACTGCTATTCAGAATCGTCAACAATAGATTTTTTACGGCTGTAATGTTATCGCACCGCGTGACTAGCCAGAAATCACTTTGATACAAGCCACTGAAGCACACACATTCGCCATGTCAGTTCAACTTTCAGTAGGGAAAATTTTCGCTGTGCTGGGCACCCTACAAATGACAATCAACAGCCATATAGTGCGCAAAAGTGATTGATAATAAACAAATGGTAAAAACATACTTTCCGTCATTATTATATTTATATGTGATGTCATTAAAATCAGGAAGTCAAATCTTCCAGATGCCTTAAAGTGACAACAATAATATATTATGATGACAGCGCTATAAGTACACTACTGGGATTATTGATTATGAAATTTCCTTAAGATGAATTAAGAGGCTAATTCTGCAGTAATGACTGGATAATATTAGCATTTCTTTTTTATTATAGCATCACTAGGGCAGATAAACAGACATCTTAATCATAATGTGTAATGCTCTCTCTTCAATCTGTCTGTATACCTTGCTATAAATCTATACTAATACATGAACATGTCTTTCCTGATTTTTTAGGTGTCATTTATGAAGAAAATAGCAGAAAAAACTGACCAGGAAGAAACATTAGAGAAATTAAAAGAATTAGCCAAGTTTATCCTGAATAAAGACAGTTTAAGGTGAATATCCGAAATAGTTGTACCTTTTTAGATTCAACAAACTAGATATACTTTAAATGATGTTGAATTCAGAGATGCTGTAACTTTGTTTGTGGGATAGTGCTCTATCTTTGAGTCTATCACTTGCAAGTCGTGGAACCCATACATGTGGTTGAATCCATATTATATCTAGTGTTCTTTCCTTTTTCTTGGATTCCATTATGGTTTCCAGATTTCCAAAATGATTTCTTATCTTGGGTCTGAGTTGTCATTCTGGATTGAAATCAGGCTGCTCAGTGAGGCACTCTGTATGGCAAACTTTTTAGTTTCCTGTTGGGAGATCCATGATGTTTTATCACAGATGGCCACAGTCTCTGCAGTGTACAGTTATGGGCTTATTCCCTGTCCACTGTTTTGTAGGTATAGTCTTTAATAGAAATGAAATGAAATTAAATGGGGTTTTAGTGTTCATATGATACTTTTAATGTTCCTCAAACATATCAAGTACAAAACTTCTTATAGTTAAAGACTCTCTAATTAGCTTGTGTCGAGGGAGCCATGGCCCTAGCTTGGCTTGGCAACCTCGGGTGCCAACTCCCAACTAAATTACATGGTTGCTCTCCGGTCTTAACTAACTTTCTATCACTTCAGATATCTGCTTATAATCCCTTTCTAGACAAAGATTCAGCATTCAGTAAAGATTGCTTACAAGACAAAGGACTTTACATTACTCAGGCCAGCGGTAGTAACTAAGGATTTCCACCTGGCTGTTGGTCGTGTCAAGCCAGTGCTGATGTCGACCACCTATGGCTCATAATATGATATTGACGTTTCAATCAGTTTCATGTATGGAAGGTGTTAATTGACATTTTCCTAAATAATCTTCAATTGTTTATCGCTATTGTTCTATTACAGGATATTAATTAATGCCACTCCTGAACATATGTCACAAGCTGTAAAGTCGGTTGATAGATTTCTACAAGAAATTCCTGGTAATCATTCATCATCATATAATCATGTTAATGTAAGTTTTAGTTACTTTAGTTTCCATTGCAACATATTTATACAAATACAGAGGAAATATAATTTTAATTATATTTCCTCTGTATTTGTTAAAACCCTTTAAATCCATTATCCAGGATTTAGATCTTTTATATTTATACAGCTAGCGTTTCCACAGTGGTGCAGGACAGAGGGTCTGATAAGGACAGTGTCCAGTAACTCGGATGGGACGAAAAACAGAGGTCCCATTTGCATATTGGAGTACAGGTGAAAGAACCCTTGATTGTTGGAATTTGAAATAAGAGTAGGCTGTAGTGCCACTCCAGGCAGAATTCCACTCATAGCCCACTGTATGGAGAATGCCTGGCTTTCTTAGTGAAGTCGATGCAGAAAAGTAGAACGTTAAACCCCATTTCATATCTATTAAGTGTCGCATTTAGACAAAGAGGGACCCTACTCTATTCCACTTATGCATCCCCTGCCTATCTACCAACCTTAGGACTAGAGGAAGGTGAAAGTATTTTTTTAAACACAATTGAGCAAAGCCAAGGATGATGACAGACGTTTAAGACTACAGTGCATTCCAGAAAGACTTATGACAGTGTCAAAATATTCTACACCTTGGCCGGAAGCCCCGTAGATATTAAGGTCCTAGCCTTTTGCCTGCCAAGCTTATAGGTAAAGCCAGCATATTAATGACAATAATTGAGAATGTTACTATAATTGATCTTTATTTTCTCCCATTTGAAACTCAGTTGTCAAGTAATAGTGTTATATTTTCAGGAGGAAAGTTTTAAGATAAATCCATTAAATACCCAGTTTGAACTTCCCTTCTCTGTAAACTACGTAGCTAAAAGTTGCCAAACTGTCCAGTCCACACATGAAGATTTTGCAAGGTTAGTCATAGGATAAAAAAAAGAATAAAAACACAAAAAAAAGAAATATTGAAGTATCAAGAATGTTGGAAAGGTAATCAAAATATAAAATTTAGGATTACAAAATGATAAAAAACAAAACCAATGTCCTCACCCAAGTTGGCAAAATTTGAATACTTATTTTATTATTTCTAGTTTAAGGGTGTTGGCAAGTCTATTATCAAGAAAGTATCTACATAGAGAAATCAGGTAATACCTATTTATGTATTGAAATAGTAAAACCAGAGAAATAAAATGAAGAACCTTATTATACAACATATTAAAATAACTAAACTCATTTCCAATATCCATTAATTTTCTTTTATGTTTATCAAAAGGATATGTTGTGTTTTTACATACTAACATGGTAATTAAATATTACATGTACATCTCTGCAAGATATTGTTAATGTGTTCTTTTATGTTCTTTATCATTAGAGAAAAGGGTGGGGCCTATGGAAGTGGAGCATCATGTAGTTCTGATGTATTTACCTTTTACTCATACAGGTATGATCTTATATTTTAATATAGTTGTGCACAAAAAAGGTACCCCCCAAGGATCTTCATCAGTGACAATATAATAATTCTTTAATTTTGATGTTTTTGTAAAACATTGTAATAGTTATAGAATATTATCTTATTGAAAATCAAATACGGGTAGGGCATAGAGAATTGATAAAAAAAAATTAAAAATTTGGAGGGTAAGAGTGGCCTTGTGATCTCCCACTTTCAGATAGAAAATAATGCTTTGTTATGTCACAAAGATAATTTTTTGAGGCAATACAGTATTTTCATCTTAGTTTCAATCTATTTAGGTACCTCCCACTGACGACAATATAGATATTGATGAATTATCGTATGATTTGTATATTTGTAGAGATCCTAACAGCACCCAAACAATGGATGTATTTAATCAAAGTGTACAGTGGGCCTCTAACTCTAAATTTACAGATCAAGATATTGATGAAGCTAAACTAGGTGTCTTTCAACAGGTAAGTCTATTGTTTAATAATCTCTGCATCTGACATATAGTTAACTTACCAATCAGAAATTTGACCATAGAATACAAAGGATTGTACACATTATACTTCTCTACATTTTAGAATATTTTAATGCTAATTGAAATGATAGAATTGATATATGCCAAAATCCACAGTGGATTTTAAATCCAGTCAAGCATGCATGCATTATGGGATATATTTCGGGAAGGGAGGGGGGGGAACTCTGTCTTGACTTTAGCTGAAATGTTCCATTTCCCATGCGTAACCGGGAGGGTTTTTTTTTGTCTAGCTGATTATCCAGTAAAATTTGGACAACTGACTCAGACACTCAATATGTTGAAGACTAGGAGGCTCTGGGTGTCTTAAGACTATTAATTTAGAAGTTATAGTTTATACGCAAGTTTCGAAGTGTATAAGCAAGCTTTGGGTTATCTATTAAATGACACTTGTCTGCTCGGTTTGTGATCTGCGGAAGACATGCACCAACACACTTCTTTTGTATTGTATGTACCTGTTGCTCATCAAAAAAGACCTGCGAACTCAGGATCAGTGGTTGGCAGTAACCCAGTTTGGGCATAAGAGGCCTTTTCGTGATGACAATGTTTTATCTATCGCAAATCATGGCTATATTTATCACCATCCCCAAAGAAACTTAGGTCTGTTGGGTGTCGGCATGGCATCTTCCTCCCACAAAGTGAGTAAAGGTACTAAGTGTAAAAAGCCTGAAATAGGTAATCTTCAGGGAAAGACAGGTGACTTCAGAAGACTATTGACGTGGGTCAGTTGCTAGTGCATCAAATGCTCCGATCATTAACTAATATTCAATTGAACAGCATTACTAAGTCTTTGTATAAATTGAATCTCTAAAATTTTCGAAAAATGCAAACTACAACCAGTGGCTTTAAATCATAGTGCTACAAAAACTAAAGAGTGCTGACAAAGGCAAACAGAATTGTTTCATTCAAATATGTATATTTTCTGTAAGATATGAGCTCACCACCGATATGTAAAGTTTATATTCTAAATATTGGTAAAGTAATGACTAATGATGCATTTATAGACTGCCTGAAATCCAATGTGATCTACTGCCCATATTAATATTCATCAGTGATTAAGTTATAATATTTGTTATGTTTACAGATTGATAAACCTATACCACCAGGAAAACGAGGTATGTTATTATTTACCAGTCAGAGAACCGATGAAATGAGACAGAAATCAAGAGATGAATTATTCTCTGTTAGTAGAGATGATATTATTGCTGTTACAAACAGGTAGGCCATAATTAATTAGGAAATAAGGCCAAAGTAATTGATGTTTGTTAAAAATTTAAAAACTGAAAAATTAAATTTGAGACTAGCAACCAAATATTTTTTGTTTTTAAATTATTTTTTTATAAAAATTTAATAGAGGTTCTGTAAGAACAATTGTTGTGGCCCAAATTGATTATTGTTTAAGACTTGATTAAAGGCCTGTTTGTAGCACCATGGGTCTTCTGTCAGATGTGGAGAGCGGGTGTTGAGCAAACCGGTCGCCACATCCTACGTACGACCCGTGCAACTTTTCTTACTACGTATCTTAGTAGCCTTGTGGTCGTCTAGAATTTGTCCCTAGCTGTCTTTGCTTCCCCTTCACATTGTGTATTTTCTTCTTACTGTTTTCTTAAGACGTGTGTCTTCTCAGTAGTTATAACAATGCAACTGTTCGTTTTTACATTTTATATATCAAGCTGGATACATATAAGCATAGTGTAGATTACAATACTAAAGTCATTCTCAAACCCTAGCCGGCCAGACTCGATATGGGCGAGTCTGCTGATAGAAATTGCTACATCTTTCCCCTTCTGGAATCAAGCTGCTGTCTGGCAATTGCTTACAAATATGATAGTTTTTGTAGCTGTGGGTTTTGGACGTTCAATTATCTCATTGGTCAAATATGATGTAATTAATTAGAGCTATTGGTTAATTAAGTCAAATGACGTCAAAACCCACCCTTATATGGTAATGGAAATTTACTGGAGAAACTTCTCATGAGATATGTTATCATGTTGTTGACATATAGAACCAGCTATGTTTTGGTCCAATAACTCTTTTTTATATACCCATCTAGCCGTCACTCATTCGCTAGTTTGATTTAAGTATTTTAAGTACATATATGTGAATATGTTTGAATCCCACAACTTGCCAAAACAATAGTTAATACAATATAATGCCATCATTAATTTCACGAGCAAAAATTCTACTAAAAGTATTGCATGTTATTGCTCATTCAATACTGCTTACATCATTAGAAACACTTCTTAATGTGCGCTGAAAGTTGAATATAGTATAGGTTCAGATTTTATAGTTTTAAATAATGTATTTTCAGATATTTAAAAGATAATCAAAAACCAACAAGTTTAACATTTTTGGGTCCAGCTAATGAACAGATCAGATCTAATCAAGACAAGTGGAAGATTATCAAAGATTGATGAAATAATCCAGATCAATACTATTCGTATAGCGATGACATTATCATTAGAGATAACATTTTATTGTTGTTCTGACAACAAGTGACTATATATGCTGTATATGCCGGACATATGCTATGTGAATTGGCAAACATCCGACCAGAAATATGCCTAATCGGACATCAAGATGTGTGAATAACTATTACTAATCTTGATTTTCTATGACAGATGGGATTTATTAAGTAATCAACCCTTTTTTAGTGTCATGATTGACTTAATTCAATATTAACTCACTATTGGTCAATTTCAATCAATAGGGATGTTATCTAACTGTGAAAATATGGGATTCTAATATTCACAAACTCCAAAATAATGATTAAAAAAATGAGTGTAAAATGGACTAACTGTTCCAGTATTTCACCGAACATAATTGATGAGAAATTGAAATTACAACAAAAAATTTGAAAATTGAATGTAAATCACTTTATACACTTATATTACATTAATATGTGCTTTTAGATTTCAATAGAGCTATACAACCATTAATGTACGATATTTCCTTCATATCTTAATTCTGAAAATTTGCGGTTTCTCCTTTGTCGGACATTTTAAAATCAAGGTAGTTTTATGATTTCCAGATGCAATTGTTCATAAGGCATTTGCTTGTCAGTAGAGTGAGAAAGAGATTATTCAAAACATAATTAAAAATTTTCTTTTAAAGAAATAAAGAAAGTTTTTGCCACCCCACCTCTTAGTAGACTTTTCCTTCATATATTTCCGTTAGTATTAACTCAGTTAGTAATTCCTTACTATGTAGCACAAACCCAGCAGAGCATCATATAGATATACATGTCTCAAAGTATTACAGATGAAAAGAAACAAATACATAAAATCTTTATTTTTGTAAACAGTCAACATTGCATTAGATGAATAGGTTACTTGGAAATACTGCAGTTCCTATATGTCTAAAGAGTGTGTGTGTGTGGGGGGGGGGAGAGGTGGATGGCCGAATGGTTTGTGCTTGCGGTTTCCTCCCACTGCTAAAGACCCCTACGCACAAGCGAATTATTGAAACAAAATTGAACCATATGTTAGTCCTGAAATGATCTAGTTTGTGTCAAGTGGACGTTAAACCCCATTCCCCTCTCTCTCTCTCTCTCTCTAAACAGTGTGTGATCCATGTGCTGTATGTTATATTGATGGGTTATTATACAAAGGTGTTTATCACTGTCAGACATTTTAGTGAAATGTTTAGGTGCTACACTCCCCGTGCTCAAACGTGCTAGCTCGGCGGCGTTTCCTAAAATTTGTCGTGGTTTAATGATGCCCCTTTCTCTCTTCATTGCCCCCTATCACTCCCTTTTTCATCTTTGCCCCCTTTCCACTATCCCCCACTTTAGAAAAAAAAATATTGGTTGCTGACTAATATATATGTGACTGCCATTATCACAACCTGAGCTCAAAACCTGTGTTTAGTAATGATGTAGGGCAGGGCTTCCACTTCAAAATTTTCACTATCGGTCATTTTTGATAACGCACGAAAACTTTTCAAAGTAAATTCATATTTCATGTTTTTTATTCATGGTATGGTATTGTGAATTCACGTGTCTATACCACTTTGTCACCATGGGGTACACCAAAAAAATATATTTGACTTAAAAATGAAATATTAGTAATGAAATATTATGATAATTATTTATTAATTAATGAAATATTCCATTTTGGCTACTTAAATAACAAAATAGTTGAATTGGCCGTAGAAAAACCATTTCAATAGCTCACACGTAATTACCACGTGCTCCATAGTAAATACACTGACCTGGATAATTTTGAGTTGTAACACAATAACTTCGATATGAAGATAAATTTTAATTATCCACGGCATATTTCTCACATTTATTGGTTTTAAGACCATCTCTTACGGAACTACGGGTCGCAGAATTGTGACGTAAATCCTAATAATGTACAACTAAATGACTAACGGATAACAAGACGGTATACAAGCCAAAATGCAAGTCGAAAAGTAGAAATTAAGAAAAAACGGGGGGCGCTATTATCGCGGTGTGTTATTTCTTAATTTCCTATTTTCGAGTTGATTTTGGCTTGTATACCGTCTTGTCGCCTCACATTTTTCGTAACTTCTAATTTTCGACTTTTCCACTTTCGTGTTCTGAAGAGGCGAAAAGTAGAAATTATGAATGGTAGTTATAGGCTTCCATACATTGCCCATGTATAACCGGGAATTTGTTTGGTTTGGGGGTGTTTTTTTTGGGGGGGGGGGGGTTGTGGTTGATTATCCAGTATCTTTGGCCAAGTCAAGTAAGAGTTGCGCCCCTCATTCCGCAATAAATCCCATAATTCTCGCATTAATATAAACAATTAATTAAAGTAGCTAAGTCCGTAACTCAATATCATCCAAACTCTTCGACATTGACAATACGAATTTTTTTGCAATTTGAATCAGCATTGGTGTTGTGGTCTTACCTGAAAAAGTTGGGCTTCTGATATCCAATATTTAAAGTAGCTAAGTCTCTAACTCAATATCATCCAAAATCTTCAACATTGAAAACACGATTTATTTGTCAAATTAAATCAACATTCATGTTGTGATCTTACCGGAAAAAAGATGGACTTTTGATATCCAATATTTAAGACAAAATAAACATTTTACCATTGGTACACGAATCGTGTACCATAATGCGCTTCAGCCCCAGTTGTACCAAGAGACTCGAGGGACGAGGCTAGACACATTGCACCAAATCAAACGGCGTATGTAGACTGGAATAACCAGACGCTAGAAATTTGCACTCGCTTGAGACTGCTGGCTTATTTCGCCGAACATAACTGATTTTAAATTGGAGTAAAAACGGAAACCATTGAATGTAAATCAGTTTATATACATTCATATTACAGTATTATATGCGTTGCGACCCACTTTTGTCAATTTCTAGGTCCCAAATGTTAGCGATTTAGCCCCTTTAAGACAAAATAAACATTTTACCATTGGTACACGAATTGTGTACCATAATGCGTTTCAGTGCCATTTGTAACAAGGTGCTCAAAGAATGAGGCTAGACATATTCCACAAGTCCTGTCAAACGGTGATGCCATATTCTTATTTGTTGTTGTTGTTAGTTGCATTTTACGCCCGCTTCCACCGAGGTGATATCGCAGACAATAACATGTTATGTATACATGGTGCAATAATTTACAATGTGATTAGTGAAAAAAAAGGATAATTAGGTTTTTATATATATGTACAGAAGACATTTTCCGACGTAAATCTTACGTAAATTTTGCGTAAAGTTTACGTCACTTACGTTAGATTTACGTCAGAAAATGACGTAAACTTTACGTTAGATTTAGTCAGAAAATGACGTAAACTTTACGCTAGATTAACGTCCATTCCTGACATTAAAATTGTTAAAAGGATGAGCAAAATGATGGAAATCTAACCGACCAGTATAACGTAAATCTAACATTGAATAAACATCATTTTCGGATGCAATTCTAATGTCAAATTTTTATGAGCAAAGTGATGAAAATATAGCAAACAATTAAAATAATCCATTATTTGCGTTTGTAAATGTGAAATTCAGTTAACCAATAACCAAATGTTCTTTAACCATAGGAAAGGCTGTATGGTCAAGTGGTCTAACGTATGCACTTTAGATCATAAGGTCTGTCATTAATACCAGACGTGAACGTGGATTTTCTCTGGGTCCTCCAACTACTAAAGGTTCTTAGCGCAAGTAAATTATTGAACTTATATAGAATCGCAGGTTAGTCCCAAAATAACAGTTTATGTCTATTGGACGTTAAACCCCATTTCTCTCTCTCTATTTACCGATAGGGGTTTAGTTGGTCAATGTGCGTTGCATTATAAGATCTGTCATTGAATCAAGTGGCGTGGTTTCGATTCCTTACTTGTACGTCTAGTCTGGAGGCTCAGCGCGGGGGGGGGGGGGGCATCAAATCGGCACAAAACCAGACCCAACTTTTCTAGAGTAAAATTTTGCGTAGAATACGATGCCGAGTGGTAATCAGTCCGCCGTTGGGGCGTTTTCGAGATATTCGCGGTCTAAGGTCAAATGGCTTCATTTGCACTGAAAGTGAATGCGCGGTCATTCTTGTATCATGAAAATATGCTGAAAATGATCGAAAGTAATCACACTTTCAATAAAAATATAAACTTGCTAAATTCACCTTTGCTCTTTGTGACCAATCGGCATCGTATTCTACGCAAAATTTTACTCTAGAAAAGTTGGGTCTGGTTTTGTGCCCATTTGATGGACCCCCCCCCCCCCCCGCGCTGAGCCTCCGGTCTAGTCGTCTTTCCAATCTCGTGGGTTTTCTCCAGGTCATCCAGTTTCTCCCACTGCCAAAGACCCCTATGTGCAAGCAAATGACCTAGTGTAAGTCGGGTGGATGTAAAACACCCTTTCTCTTTAAAAGTAATGGTAACTAAACGTAAAAATTATATAACAATATATACTACAAGTATCTATACTTTATTTAAAAGATAAAAATATAATGTAATAAAATACAAAGCAGACATTTAAATTGCAACAGTTTATCCACAACACTAAGTTGGTGACAATTTAGGAAACCGCTCTTTAAGAAACAGATCCGATTTTAAAAACCTGTTAAATATATAACTATTCCGCCATAATGAAGAGGAAAATCGAAACGAACTGCCCAACAAAATGGCCACTCTTTGTACGCAAAGTGTGTAAAAGTATGTAATGCGAAGGTTGTGGACCCTCTAGAGGTCACAATTTTTATCCGTATTTGATGAAACTTAACATATACGTCTATGTCCCAACGACCTCAGTCCCTTTCGATATTTGCGCATTTCAGATCATAACTTTCTGGATTATGGCCGCTGATTGTATGATCGTTCGTCGTTCGTTCTTGGTGTTTAACGTCTGCATCTACATAAGTGATATCGCAGACAAGACATAGGAGAGCCGAAGCTGATTCCTGTTTTTTAGAATATGATTTTGCAATCTTTCCATTTGGCCTTAGGCCATGGATTTGGTTTAGTGGGAAGTTCTTCCCTTTATTTAATATAAAAAAATCGTTTGGTAGATGATCTCGTCTGCTTCTGGATTGGTAGATGTCATCGTTTGGGGTTAGTGTTTAGGTGCCAGGCCCGTCTTATCGTGGCCTCCCCTTACTCCACTATCCCACTCTCTGGGTTTGGTATCAGTTTTATTTGTGGAATAGTGTTTAGGTGCCAAGTTCGTCTGACCGTAACTCCCCCTTACTCTACTATCCTGCTAGTTTGGTAGATGTCATCTTTGTGAGGTTTGTGTTTAGGTGCCAGGCCCGTCTTATCGTGACCTCCCCTTACTCCACTATCCCATTCTGTAGGTTTGGTGTCTGTTTTTGGTGGAATAGTGTTTAGATGCCGAGTCCGTCTGATCGTGACTCCCCCTTACTCCACTATCCTGCCAGTTTGGTATAAATCCCCTATGTAGTTTAGTGTTTAGATGCCGGGCCCGTCTAACCGTGACCCCCTCTTACTTCACTATTCTACTTAGTCCAACTGTGTCCATTAGGGCGTGGATTTGTTCGAAGATTTGCAGTTTAAGATCTGGTCGCGGGAAGAGTAGGTTCTTAGTGTTGAATGGTATGTTGTTGGACTCCATTGTTCTCACTAGTTCCCTTCTCTCCTCCTTGTATACCTCGCAGTCTACCAGGACATGGTTGGTGGTACATTCTTCTCCGCACTCACAGATGA